CGTGAACCTCAAAAATAAACTCTCACTTCCTTATCAGCTGAATTTCGAAATATTCTGGAATGAACATAAATAAACTCAATAAAATAACTTGGTTGCTTTTTCGAGTCGATAGTATACTTGTACACATCTAAGTTACCGATCTACGTTACTGATCTACGTTACGGAGCTACGTTACCAATAAACACAAAAGGGCAAAGAAACACAACTGAAAAGCCGTATAAAAATACGTTCTAGAATAGTTAATACCTTGAAGTTTTTTTATCACTTTTACTGTTTTAACTCAGCTCTTTTGTAAGTTGATGTTTCACGGGTTGTGAAAGTCGTCCAAGAAAGAAAAATAGAATGTCTTTATATTTAACTTTCCTGTTAACCCCATATAAGAACCACACTTAAAATGCACAAAACCCATAATAAATATCAGTACACTTTCACAGGTGAGATGAATAGCAGAATTTTCAAAGACGCAACGTTAAGTCCTAATGTGACACGATTTTTGGGGCATGTCCACAGCCCAACCCACCCCTATTATTAAACATTGATTTACCCAGTCTATACATAAGCTACCCTCATTGATTTATACCCTAGGGATATTTGTAGTCAGTCTCCACGAGGCTTTTTTAGCGTTGTGTCGTATCTTCGAATAAGCTCAGCCTGAGAAAAAGACGAGATCAAATCATTAATCAATCGATTCATTCATTCATCGAACCAAAGACCAATCAATATGCAGTCCAACTTTAACGATTAATTTATATGACTTGAGATTGTCAAAGGATACAGTGCAGTATTCTTGCACGATCAATAAATCGAACAATGAATCATTTAAAGAATCAATACATCAATCAATCACTTAGATGTCTCAAATTCCATGACTTTTTGCTGCTTCATAAATACAAGGCATGCAGACTTTATGTATGTAACCTTCAAAAAGTTAATTGTTCCAATATAATTACAACCTTTACGAACAAAAGGATGGAGTGTCTATGGGATATTTCAATACATGTATTGAATTTGTCTTAAATCTATTCCCTATTCAGGAAATAGTGTTCTTAATTTTAACGACGCAAACAAGACAATTTCCAACCCTAGACAAAATTCCATGATTTCCAGGCCTGGAAAACTAAAAAAGAAATTTCCATGATTTTCCAGCTTTTCCAGGACCCGTACGAACCCTAATAGTCAACACTTACTTGTCCAACACGACCAGACTCTTCTTGAGAGAAAGCAAAACCAACTGAATAGAGGAAAGATGGTTCGTTATGTTTGAATCAAAATCAGTACAAAAAATATATAATATCATTCTAAATAACTAAGAGATATAATACTTACGAGACGATGCACCAGCATCTTTCATCTCCTCGAACATTTCATCACGACTCCAGATTTTCCTTTAAAAAGGTATGTGTTATTTAACAATTAGACCTCGAGGTCGAGTGGACTACGAGCTAATAGCCCATGAGGCCGAGTCCGCGAGGCCGAATGGGCTATTAGCTCGTTGTCCACGAGGCCGAGAGGTCTAATTGTTTTAGTATAAACATACTAATCGGTCAGATAATGAAAACAAATTGAAATATCCTTAAAATAATTTATAATTTATTTATTTTGATTTTCCCGCGAGTGGTCTATCACAAATTAGACCATTAGTAGAGTAGCCAATCACAGCGCAGTATGAGTGATAGACCATTAGTATGTTTATACTAATGCTTATTAATTCCATTGTTGGAGGACTCTCGGCCGAGGCGGAAGGATGATGATGATGATTAATTCCATGTTACCATGAAACTTTGAAACTAGCTACATATGTGTATCTTAGTCAGACGATAAACCCCAATAAATTCATTTTAACTTACGCATGTCGGGCGTGGTGTGTCTTGATAAGTGAACTTGGATCTCCCTGTAAGTTTGACGCAGTCAACAGTTTCATCTAAATCATATATTGTAACATTTTCATGGAAATACTTACATGCTTGACTTCAATCTCTTGTATTTGCTCGGTTAAACTCTTGTTGAAAGTTCTTCGTAGACTAAAAAACAGGAAGAACAAAAAAGACATAGCATTGCAGTGATGCACACACACAAAATATTTCTGGACTGCAAGTAACATAATAAATCAAAGGAACAAGAACATAGTTGGGCATTGACACCTGTTTTTTTATATATATATTTCGTATTGTTTTGGTCAGCGGCCCTTGGGCTTTGTATAGCGTATGGCTTATTGCCTCAGTTCATGGTAACAAACCGGCTTACAAAGCTCTCCAAATATAAATCAAGAAAACTGACTATGTCATGTTTTAATGGTTTGAAGGCAGATTCTGGGAAAGTAAAGTTCGCAAATTCTTTCCGTTGCGTTGGTCAAAAATAAAAATAATTGCAAACACGGTGTATTTAGCACGCGTAAAAAGTAAACATAGAGTCGTAAACATATGTATTGCCTTTTCTTTGGTTCCGTAAATCGTAATTACAAACTCACATATTCACAGGTAGCCCAAGCTAGGCATTTGTGAACTTTTTCGAAATATTTAAAATATAACAAAAATAAACATCTCTACCTGTTTGTTGTGTTTTTCATTACATTTCTGTGAAGTTTCAGTCCATTTCCTTCAATTTTGAGCGATTTATGGCTGTTGTTCTCTAGCTTCCTATAGGGACGCTACAACACCCATAAATCGCTCAAAATTGAAAGAAAATGGCCTGAAACTTCACAGAAATGTAATGAAAAACACAACAAACAGGTAGAGATGTTTATTTTTATTATATTTTAAATATTTCTAAAAAGTTGACAAATGCCTAGCTTGGACTACCTGTGACATATTGCGACCTCCATTGTCATTTCTTTTTTGTAAAGCCATATGAACGGTTGAGTATGGAATGGCATAAAATTAACAAGTGGTCTTCGTGTGAAAGAAAGAATTTGTGACTCACATCTTATAGAGGTAATCAGCTAGTAGAGTGATCACAGGAACTATAAACAGCGACATCCAGAATACTGGCGACGAGTATAGCATTTGATCCTGAAAAAAAAACCACAAAGTTAATAAAAACTATGCGTGAGTTTTCAAAGCAGTGGAAGCCAGCTTACCTGTCCCATCATGTCAGGTGCGATGTACAGAGCCATGCCAGGTAAACAGTAGATTAACAGGAAAATAAACCAACTTGCGATAGATCCAAAGATTGATACATAACACACCTAAACATAGGAATTCTCATTAAAGTTTTAACATCCAAAAGTCTGTGTTGCAGATATAATGATTTAAATTCGATATTTATAAATCAAATCTGAAGTAAGTTTTATACCCAATTCCATGCATCTAGCTCCATACCGGCCTTGAGGCAAACAGTAATCACAACAAGCTGTAGACAACAAATTGCAATCACGTGTTTAATACTATTAATCATAAACTGGCAAACTTTAGTTTACTATTGATACAAAGCTTTACTGTAACAAAGATGATTATAAATGGCTTTATTTTGTAAACAATGTGCTGGTTGAATGATTGATGATAATCGCATAACGATTGGCTCATTTGGTTGAGCATTGGACTACAATGCTGGAGGTCATGGGTTCGTACCAAGTGGCCGGATCTCAGGGTCTTAAAAAAATAATTGAGTAGAAGTTGCTGCCTTTGTTTCTCAATCTGCAAATGGTAAGATCTTCACGTCCTCTCGGATAACGACGTTAAATCGGAGGTCTCGTCTACTCTACTCTAACCCTGTAAGTGGACGTTAAAGAACCACTGAGGACGCAGGTACGACCATCCTCAGTGTCTGTACTTCGACGCATAACCTTGAGGGCACTAACACACTAACGCACTAACAAATCTAACTTCCTCATGATTGTAAACTGCACGGCTGCTTAAAGCGCCTTCAATAGCAGTCTGACCAAGTCCCTCACAATGTAATCCAGATGTAATTCAGATCATTGGTCTGCGAGATCTGGAAAGTCGGCTACAGATCTATCTATCTATCGATAAAGGGAATTGCGACTTTGTATCTTGTGAATGCCTTATAGAGGCTGACCGTCAATGCCTTACTACTGCATTATAGAGGCACTAAACTGTACATATAAAAATATGCTTACCGTATACACTACGTTACCAAGATGCCATTCGCCTGTCACCAAACCAGATTTGTATGGAACCTCTGTTAAAACACATCAAGAAAATAACATCTCCAATGCCCAAATATAGAAAAATATAAATAATCAAAAAGTCATTCGCAAAAACGACAAATACACGTTTCTGGTGTAAACACATGGACTACTTTATCATATATGTTATTGACTTACCATGTTTCAACATGAGGGCAGGCAGGTAGAATAAAAGAAGGGAATGATAAACCGACGTAAAGATCCACATCCAGAAAACCTAAGTAAGCAATTGACCTCATTACAATCCTTTATCAATTCTGTTTTTCCATGGATACTTCAAAGAAAACGGCCGTTAAGAAGCCACCATGTATATCAAACTAATCAACCAACCAGAACAACAAAGAGGTTGAAAAGAGAGAAGTACTGATTATGTAAACATTTGAAGTTAAAGTACAATCATGAGGACCTAAAGACATCCTTTACTGATATGTTACACACCTTTTCTATGCAATTCGACGCTCTTCATAAAAGACAGAAACAACTTAATGCAATATAGATTTGATACAGTAGTAACCAGGATGATGTTCTTACCCGTGTGTTGTAAATCTCAGCATTCTGTGAAGTCTTGTATAGTTTAGGGTACTGTAGCATACTGTCCGATGACACAGTGCGGTCAAACAGACCGATGGCTAATGGTGGCACAGATGTGAAGATCTGGTAAAATAATCAATCAATAGTTTCCTTAACGAGAGCGTCCAGCACGTCGAGAGTTGACGTATAAACTTGCCACACCTTTTTCGCCGACTTTGAAATATATTATAGAAAGCATTTACTATTTTTATACTAAAACAGATAGATAGCTTATCCAAAACTGCTTTTTTAAATTTAATTACAATTGATTATTGGCAAACACGCGAAATAAGGCACTTACAACATTGTAGATACCAATGCACCATTTGTCAAATAGAATTTGACCAGAAAAACCATTCTCTAAAGCAAACCAAAGCTGAAAAGCAACAAGAACATACAGTAAGAGGGATCTTTGAATCAGGGCCCAAACAATATCGTGTTTTTCTATTACAATCCCCCTCCCCGAAAACAACAACAATGGCAAAAATAAAATTCCAAATAAATGTACTTACAATGTACATAATGCACAAAAAACAGAGAGTTAGGAAGGTCAACCTATCAATGTGCAAATGTCACCAAACCCCTGACTAATGACTATGGCTCAACAAAACCCTATCATATCTGTTCAAGAACATACAAGAAAGCAGAAACACTTACCTCAATGACATACAAACAAACATTTTTGTAAAAGGAGTAGAGGATTAGTTTTGCTAGGCGTTGATAACTCCATGCACCATGTACAAACAACAACTTATTAAGGTAACGAAACTGAAAGAGTTAAGACATTTATCTGTGAAATACCTAGAATTCTCTCTTTCCAAAAATTGTTATTTACTATTTTCACTAGCATAATTTGCTATATCATATATAAATATATTAATTTATATACAGCTGTTTGCAATAATTCTGACCCCCTCTGCCATATTTCATATATATCAAACTGACCTTAAATATTATGGGATATCATGACTGATATATTTTTTGAGTTGCCCCGAATGAGTACTTTCTCAAAAAAATATCAGCATTGGTATCCCATAATTTCTAAGGCTACTTTGATATATATGAATATTAGTGTAGGGGGGTCAGAATTATTGCAAATAGCTGTACAGCTCTTTGGAATAATTCTGACCCCCTCTGCCATATTTCATATATATCAAACTGAGCTTTAATATTATGGGATATCATGACTGATATATTTTTTGAGTAGTCCAGAATGAGTACTTTCTAAAAAAAATATCAGCAATGGTATCCCATAATTTCTAAGACTATTTTGATATATATGAAAATTAGTGTAGGGGGGTCAGAATTATTGCAAACGGCTGTAAATAAATTAATAAATAATAATAAATATATATTATAATAAATACAGCCTTTTGCAAAAATTATGAGAATTGTCGAAATATCTAAATATCATAATATCGAGTGCATGATGGGTAATCCCGTGCGATGCCCTTAGTCCCTTGTCTTTGTAGTTTAGTTTTTTTTTGGCAACAGACTTATCCGTAGTTCTGAACATTTTCTTGATGTCAACAATGAATTATTCTAGCAAACCCGCGTGTTCCGGACAATATACGGATATGGATATTATGATATTTAGACAATTCTCATAATTTTTGCAAAAGGCTGTATATTAATTAACATATAAATATATAAATTTGTTTATCATATAAATATGAATAAACATGTTTACTTGGAGATACAAATTTTATCTTCTTGTGTTGAAGAACTGTCACTTGTTTACTACACGCACTTGTGAGAGCTTTTTCAACACCCAGTTAAAATCCGTATCTCCTCACGCACATGTAATAATCCTCTATACATATATCAATACCAATCAACTGTGATAATAGATTATTTCTAATAACCTCACTCAGGAAACAAAATCTAATCGTCAATAAAAAAACAAAAATAAATAAATAACTAAAAAATACCAAAAAGTAACAAACAATGAAAGAAAGTCAGAAATAAATAAATAAATTACTCGAACATCTATTTAGTGGGTTTGTGGATTAGTGTTTCTAACACCATATATAGGCAGTATATATTATATTTTCATATTGTTGTGGATGGAGAAATTACCTGTGCAATAGCATAGTCAGATGCACTAGCAGCCTGTAGTCCTTCTGCCCCACTGATACCTACTCCTACATGGGCAGCCTACAAAGAAACGTTTAATTATGTATCATACATATTTCAATCAAAATTTATAATTGTTAGACTTGCCTGTATCATACCAACATCATTAGCCCCATCACCAATGGCAAGAGTAATTGATTCCTTGACATGATTCCTGACTAGTTTGACAACTTGAGATTTTTGTAATGGAGACACTCTACATTGACATGTCAAAAATGTCCATCACTAATAGTCATATTACAATAAACATAAAAAATATTGAATTCCCAATTCTTAGAAAAGTCATCTTTAACCCTTTTGCGCCCTCTCCACCTCCTCCATCCAAAAATATATATCCAATGAATGATCAATATTGACTACCAGTAAAAAAGATCATTTTTTGCAGCTGTTCCAGCCTTCAGTCATAGAGAAAATGCACATTTTGCAATATGATTTTGACATAATGCAATTACCTGCAACAAATGACAGCTTTGCAAGCTAAGGCTAGATCAAGAAAACTCAATTTGAGCTCATCCGTCAAAGCATACAGCAAGTTCTTCAAAATAAAATTATCAAAATTTATATCAACAAATGATTGTAATCATGACTCATTTCATCACTGCATTCCTTTCCTCTCTCATTCATTATAAAAACAAACAAACATCTCTACCTTTCCTGTGATGATCAGAGCATAATCCTCCTATAAAAACAACATATTAGCATATTCAGTATGACAAAAAACAGTCTATTTATGAGTGATGTGATGACAACAGGTATTTCATATATAGTAAATAAATTTACTTCATTCTTTGGCGGTCTTGCATTAGTGCCATATCGACCCATCTGTCGAAGATGCTCATTTAGCCATTCACGTGTGCCCTGCAGTAAAACAACAACATCATCTCTTTTAAGTTTACTTTTTGAAAAATTTAAAATTGTTATTAGTATTACTTGACGTTATGACATATTAAATCACAACTTACAGGCATATTCCAAACATCAACAAAAACAATGTTCTTTTGTTAATAATAACTTACATCAAGGGTTTCATCAGTACATATAAGAAGTTTCATCTTATCTGTGAGCAGACGACATGCATATCCTAATGACACAAACATAAGGAATCCATTGAAATTTCACACTCAGAGATTATTTACAATCAATGAATGGTTATAAAAAGCAATATTATGTTACCAATATTAATGGCAGTTTCTTGCTTATCGCCTGTAAGCACCCAGATTTTTATATCAGCATCAGCCAAAGCCGCAATGCTTTCTGGGACACCCTGAGAATTTACAATATAAATTAGATACATTTGACCCAATTGATCCAAACTATCCCACAAAAACAAACTTTTTAGAGCAAATAAAGAGTTAAAACAAGAGTTACAAATTAAAAAAGTTTAATATGAATACTTTTAACTTTAAAAAGGCTACATACCGCTTGAAGCTTATCTTCAATAGCTGTTGCTCCAAGAAGAAACAAGTTCTGAAGCAAAAATATTCCTTTTACAGATTTTCTTTTTTTTGAGTTGCCCTCTAATAGGCATGCAACAAAGCACAATCAATGGTAAAATGTAGTTGTTTTTTTTTAACATCTCTTAACATTATCTATAAAATGTCTTCTTGGAAAAGATACTTATTACATAATTTTAGCTAAGGAAAGACAATATGACTGATTGGAGTCATAATGTTAGGGAAAAAGTGTGCGGAATACATTTCCCATCATGCCTTATTATAAAAAATGAACTTGCTGCAAAATACATGCCTCCTTATAAAAAATGACCTTGCTGCAAAATACATACTATGCTATGTTATTTAATTACCATCGTATTCAATGACATGAATTTGATCATGCATGTTTGATTATTAACACACCTTGAAGCAAGTTAAAATAAAAACTACTGTTCTATGTCTTTCATGTTTTGATACCTATACACTGGTTACACACTTGTGCTTAATATGTTAAGATATTAAATATATATATAATATATTAAAAAAAACTAAAAAATGTTTTAAGCAAAATTATAAAAAATCATATTTTTTCAGTGAATGCATGACTTTTTTTTATTTAATTGGAGTCTAGATAGAACACTGCAGTACTACATAATCAATTATATTGGTTGAACACACACCCTTTCTATGAGTTCAGCTGCTTCATCCACTTTCTCTGATCTATTGTCTAGAGCTGTGCTAGCTTCATAGTAAATCTTATTCCATTCAGTGTATTCATCGTGTTCCAGTTCAGTCATAGCAATGCAAAGTGTACGAAGACCTGTAATATCAAGATTATCACAATGTAAGGAGGCACACTATTCAACGATAGTACACATTTCAGCTGAAATTATATAATCAAATATATACTACTCTAATGAAGAGTCTCCTGCTGTCATTAATAATTAAAGGAATAAAGCAACCAAACTAAACAGACACACTGTCATTGCCCCACCTTCTTTTGCATACTCCTCTAGGTGTTCTACAGATTTATCATGGTACAGTTGGTTTTCTCTCAGTCTTTCAAATATCACCGTATCCTTTAATAAAAAAACACTTCCTTTAGTGTTAATACAAGTGCAGACTTCACAATGTGTTTTAAATTATTTTATTATTAATTATATTCTTGCCATATTCTCATTAGAAGTAACCAAGAAGTCTTATGTAGGTACCCTCCATCTTGTAAAGTCCTTCAATCAGTATAGACATCAAACAATTTTCTTATACCTAACATACTGCCAAAAAGTTTCTCTCTGAGTCTAAGGTACTTAAAGGACTACTAGGATAGTATAACTAAGTCAGTATGCGACATTTTGAAATTAGGGATTTTTCTTGCAGGTAGCACTTTTTATATAATTGTACAAATTAAAATGGACAAATGGACATCTACTTACTGCTCCCTTGCAGTACAGTTTTATTTTGCCTTCAGGTGTTCTGACCACAACAGACATTCTTTTACGAGTACTAAAAATGATACAAATGTACATCAAACTATCAGTGCCATTTTGGGGCTTCCTGTTGTGACACAAAACAGATTTATTAAAAAGCAATAGTTCATCTGGATGGATGTATATTTTATTCTAAGTCATTTTCAGAGTGAAGTACTATTATTAATACTAACATCCCAGTCACATCCCAGTTCTGTGTACATATTTTCACTCGAGAAGCCATAGAGTGCAAGTCACATAAGCATGAAACAATTCTTAACTATGTAGTGCTAAATAAGACTTAGTTATCAACTAACTAAGAATTGAGAACAATGCTACAAAGGAATTTAAATAATTGGCATTGTGTTTATGCTTTGTTGAATTCTTAGTTAGTTGATAACTAAATCTTATTTAGCAATACATATCAAGAATTGCTTCATGCTTATGTGACGTGCACTCTATAATGTGACCTCAAGTCACTCTGTTTCCATGTAAAATTATGTCTTTATTAATTTGCTCTACCTTTATCATTATCCTATCATTATATCCTACCTATTGAATTCCAAGACATTCAAGATCTCATAGACTTCTTCCTTACCCATCTATAAGCAGAAAAATACTATCTTATTGAATGATGAATATTTATATCGTATTGTTGATATAAGAAATATAACACATTACCTAGCTCAATAGAAGTTTACAAAACAAACAAAATATATTTGTAGTTTTTGCTATTCATAATTTCCTTACAGCATTTATGATGACAGATGTGGGTGTCCGAACATTAAAGGAGAAACCAAGTTTTTTTGCACCTTTCACCAGCGCACCTTCATCTAACAAAAAAAAATTACATTGAAGAGTTTAAAAAAACAAATTGTGTGGAAATACTTACCAAGAGTTGTTAGTAAGAAGAAATGACTGAAATCTGACTAAAAGATAGTGGTGAGGAACAACACATAGCATGTCCCATTAAATAAAAAAAAATGCTAAGTTGTTTCCCATTCTACTTAAAAATGTTTTAACATAATTAAAACTGTAACAGGCTGGGGTTGGTGGGATTACATTGGACTATGGTCTGACACAAACCTGGAGAAGCAGCTTGGTAGATAATTTTGTCAGGGTTGTTTAGGTCTCTTTCAGGGACCACAGTATGACATACTGCCAACAGTGTAAGGAACTCTCTGATTACTGATGCTGTGGGCTAAAGATAACATTGATATTAAGACAATGCCCTCATATTATTTTACCTACAGTAGTAGTAGTACGTCCATGGTCTGAAAAGGGTAAGGAGCAGAAATGTGCAAATTTCAAAATTCATGATACTTCTGATCATGTTTTACTAATGCACAGATCTCAGATTAGACAAGCTATCATGCATAATACAGACTAGGTAATCAATCATCAGTGTCAGAGTGAATCAAAGGGACATTTGTATTGTCAGTTCTACTTACATGGTGCTCTCTTAAGTTATCTAACAATGCAGGATCCTCAGCACTGAACAGAGTAAACAAACAAATTAAATAGTCATAACACTGTTAATATATGTTTGATTTAATAAAAAATTATATTAATTGTTATCAATAATTATAAGTAAATACAATGAATAGCTGTAAATGTGTAAATGAATGAATGAATGAATAAGAATGAATGAGAAAATTAAAAACTGGAGGAAAATAGATGAAGATTACTATAATTATAGCACTTATCAGTATACTTGGATATCTGTATACTTGGAGAAACATTTAAATAAAATATTTCTTATATTACACATGCTAGGAATTGAAATAACTCTGTCTGTGTTTTTACAGAGCCTTTGAAATTATAAAGCTCAAAAGATTTATTTTGAGAAATATGAAAACAAATAAATCTTTAAAAGATTCATTAATCTTTGAAGGAATGAAAAGTTAGAGTAAATGATGATCATACTGAACTAATATTTCATGATTATATACCATACCTGTACGATATCCCTCCAATCGTTGATTTCTTGAACTCCATAACATTTCTGGTCAAAGTCCCAGTTTTGTCTGAGAAAATATACTTTACCTGCAAACAGTCAAATGAATGCAAAATGATTTGAATGAATAAGATAGGAAAACATTAAATAATGATAATAATACCTTTTCCTAACAATAATAATCTTTAATGCAGTAAAACCTTCTACAAAAGGCAATGTATAAGAAAATATATTTTTGTTTCCTGTAAACAACGTAGGACACGCTCACCACGCTCGATGATGGTATTTTGAATTTGCATATGTATTAAATACAATGCACATACAGCCGAATCTCTACTTACGGACGCTCCTGTGAGCGGGCAGATCTACTTACGGACAGCTTTTCAAAACGCTATTTTTCCTCCCATACAAACACTGTATTTTATACTTTCTATTAATTTAAGCATACTTTCTATTAAACGGATGCGGCCACTTGTAGCGATTCCCAAGTAACCTTTTATTATTTTTTTCAATCTCGTAAGCAGACACGTAAAATCAATAAATTTTATTTGGTCTACTTCTAAGATTAATAACAAGTTATTAGTTTAACCAGCTTGTGAATGATAAGACTAACTATACAATTATGGAGCTGAATTACACGTTATAGCGTTCTTTCTTTATTTTGGAATTGAGCCAGTTTGTTGAAAATTCATCGCCGATAAAGTGGTAATCACATGGCACTTCTAGTCAATAGCCTCCTCCACTATTTTCCAATAATAACAACCTTTGCAGTGTCAGTCGCTCTTTTTAAAAACTTTGTCAGCCAAAAGGCCATAGGTGGTCTATACGGCTACAACTAAATATTAAACTAGAATATCTGACGCTGTTTAACCATTTCAAGATCCCTTTGTATTAGACGTGCATTTCTACTTGCGGACACTTTTTTCGTTTCCCGAGGGTGTCTGCTTACGGGAGATTCTACTGTTGTAATTATAAAACAATGACTGAATATACATCAAAATGTCTATGTTGTTCAAAGTTGGTTACATATATTTAATACATACCTGACCAAGTTCTTCATTTAAGTTGGATGTCCTGGCCATTGCTGGTGTATCTGAGTCAACATGATACATGTCCAAGTCCTAATTCAAAACATCTCAGTTACAATATTATTTAATATCTAGTCTTATTCACAACTGTTTTAAATTATGCGACAAAACCAATTATGCTTTTTTCCATAGCATTATCCTTATAGGCAGAGGAACTAACAAGCAGTGCACATTACATGGCAAATACCAATTGCGTTACTAGAAATTTAAGGTGATATTAATTAGTACCATGTTGATGAAGATGGCTTGCATAAACTTAACAACCTAAAAATAAATATAGTTAAAATCAGACGTTAACAATGTTCTTAGTTTTGTGACTGAATAACATACTTCTGGTGCAATGATTGCTGTTTGTAAAATCAAAGTGGAGATCAGACAGTAAGTTCCTCTCTGTTCTCAACTATATATAAGATTGTCTTATCAGCATATCATCTATTACATTTCATGAAATGTCTACAGTATATTCAAATGCAAAGCAAAGCACATTTACCTCAAGCGTTACTGTAAGACTAATTGGAATCAAGTTATTGTACAGAATGATGAATGTCAGGAAGGTTAAACCATAGTTCTGCGGTGGCAATTCTGAAATTTATAACATTTCAAGAAAAGGACATATTCAGTTTTATTAGGCATCAAAATTAGGACAAGTATGCTAAGCTTACCACCAAGTATATACTTTGTCACATACCACTGCACACTTTCAATTACAGAGGAGTCAGAAGCTCACCTTTATATCCTAGATACCAGTGTGTATCACCATGGTCACCTGCAATGACAACAATATCAAGTAATTTCACAGCAAATTATAAGGTTCTAATCTTGGATTATTAAATCACTTCAACTTGTAAAATAATGTGAGTCAAAGAAATTGCCATGGATATATGCTGCCAACACTTTAGATTCAAATTAAAATAAGTTAGCATAAGGACCAGTTGACATAAAGTCTTACAAATTCAAAGTCTTTTTAAAGTTCCTATGACGCCTGACAAAATAATTTCTGATTCTCTGTGAGCTGATTCTATATAAAGTTAATAATTGAACGGTGAAATATTTCTGCATTTCAGTGTTGCATCTTTGAGTTTTTGAAGGTTTAATCTTCCAATATGCTAATGATAATGATATCAAGGGAGGCTTCATTAGATATACGAACTTTGAAACAGTCACTCAAAAATGTTTTCATGAATCCCATCTGGGAATATGGTTATTCCAACATTGTATGATAAATTAAATGCGGCCCATGAAACCATTTTTAATCAACTCCTGCAAAGTTTGTATATCTAATGAAGCCTTCTTTGACATCATTTTTATTAACATATTGTAAGATTGAATCGTCATAACTCAAAGAGGCAACACTGAAATGCAGGAATATTTCACCATTCAATTATTTATTTTTATAAGAACCAGCTCACACTGAGAATCAGAAATGTTTTTGTCAGGCTAGTGAGTGAGTGATCATAGGCACTTTAAATAATAGTGGTAATTATCTACATGGTACCTGTCCAGACATAGAATCCAATTGTGCTAAACAATGCCAAGACCATGAGTAATCCAAACAGAAACAAGATCTGAATGTTTGTGGTATGGTCTACATTGGAGCGTTTAATAGGAGCAGCAGTTGAATTCTAAATTGAGATGTGGAAATCAATCTTATCTGCATAATTGTTTTGAGATAAACATTTTTATAAGACTGTAAAATTAAAAAAAAACTATAGTTACTTAAATTATAGTAAATTGCAAATTTACAAGATGCAGAATACATGTAATTGTAAACAATTTTTTTTCAGTATGTACTAAACTTTAATTCCTGATTAATCGCTTTTAGCTATCTTTTAAGCAGCACGCGACAATAAGCAAGGGAAAATGTTGACTTTTTATTGTAATTAAACAATAACATAACATAAAATCAAATATTATATAAAATGCAAAGAAGAACTGAAATGATGATTTCATTATGAATGATAATATAATCTACCTGCATAAGCTTGGAATCATGACCTGTGTAGACAGCTAGGCCTATGGGAGAAAAATATTCAAAACAAAGTTAAATCTATGCAGGATGACCAATAGCCTCATATACTGTGACTACCACACAATGCTTTGCCTACTAATTAGATAAGAAACTGAATAACAAAGAAAATATTCAGAGCATGCTGGTAGTTGTAGTAAAATGATGCCAATAATAATTCAAATTGCTTATTCCCTTGCAAAGTAATTTAGAAATTGGGCAGATCACAATATATGAAGAAAAACAAAAACTTTTACATCCTTATTATCTCAGTACTATGTACTTCAGATATAAGTAAGCGAGAAAAAAGTTTTAAATGAAGAAAATTATAATGTAGAATTTTGAGCAAAATTGACTAGCTTTAACAACACCTGTGTAATCAATGACATCTGAAAACAATTTTTTTAAATGTTTGACTGCTAACTTCTGTTCACACCAAAACTTAATAATATAATTTTATTATACATTGTAATCAATGACCTAGGGTTAAGAAATTGCAAATTTGCTACATGTTGCATAAACCTGAGTGTATTATCTCAGTGAGGGTTTGAGTTTTACACTAGCTACTTGTGTTGGAAGAAAGCCATTTAAAAAACTTGATATTGTTTTACTGGTTATGGTGTATAAATGGTATATTATACACAATAAACCATTCTCTTAGAGTCTTGTTTTTTAATTAGTAAATATCCAATCTCACCAAAGATCCACTGAGTGTTTCTAAGTTGTGCACCTCTTAGCAATACTTGATCTGGTCCTAAAGGCACAGCCCTGGCACAGTAAAATATTGGACACAATAAATACACTTTTGAGAGCAAATTTGGACAAACGTGGATTGTATAATCTTTTGATAGAGACAGTATACACTTTTTACATACTTTTTTCCAGTCAGTGCAATGTTTCCCACAAAGTCGTAGAGGCGATTGTTGGGACCTTCACACTCTACTCTGCCTTGCATGCACCGCACATCTATTAGAGATGTCATCTTAGCTGTTAATGGTAGAGCCTTCATGGAATATAAAATACATAAAACATTTCATTTAATAATTGTGGAACATAGTGTCCAGTTTGTGTCAATCAAAATGTTCTGTCTATAGAATTTCTACAGGAAAAATAAACATCACTAGAACTAGTATATTTGAGTTAAAAGAACGAATTTAAATTTAAATAACTTTATTTTACGAGGGTAGCACATTACAGTCAAAGACTGATAAACTCGTGGCCCTCCCAACTCACACTCACTACCTCTACATTAAGTATTTTTAGCACACAACACTCCTCACATGTTGATTTTTACTGAGGGAGGAAAACCGGAGGACCCGGAGAAAAACCCTCGTGGCAAGGGAGAGAACAACACAACAAACAAACTCAAACTCACATATGGTCTGTGTCCGGGAATCGAACCCGGACCACAGCGGTGAGAGGCCAGTAGCTTAACCACTAGGCCACCCGTGCCACCCATAAGATAAAAATCGAATCTCAATGTTTTAGAGGTGCTGGAGTCAAGGATCAAACCTGGGATCCTGAATTTGCTAAACTTTTTATCTTCCATGCTTTGGTAAAATTGAATTTCACTATCCTTTTTGTCATCTAATAATAAACTGACTGTACGATTCCAAATATTTCTTGACACCAAAACCAAGCAGCCCCAATTACAATGTAAAGGAAAAGCTACCTGGTGCACACGTCACTTATCCATAAATCATTCTCTCTACAAAGGTGTCACTGACAGCATCACAACAGTGACAGAATAGCGATGTCAGTATTTCCACAGGAAACTTTGATTCTTAAATTTAAGAGACAGTGGAGCACACAAGCACAAGTAATATTAGCATTAAATGCACCAATCACTGATTGAAGGGGCTGCTTTATATCCACCACTATAAGCTGGTCTATGCAATTAGAAAATTCATATAATTATTCAATTGAAAGAATATTTAAATGTTTGACAGATGTTTAAATAGAAATCCCTTTCGAATCCTTTGATCCTATTTCCACAATGATTCTGACAAAATCAATACTAACCTGTCGTATTTTGAGGTTTGTCTCACCATCAAGGTTGCTAGTCTCTACATAACACATACCCATCGGTTCACTGAAAATTTGTAAATAATAATATAACTAGTGACTTTGTCATAGTTATCATGATTATATTATTCTAATAATATAATTAACATTATATCATTAATTATCAGCATGTATTTAGTCAAGAGTATTATATGCTACTAAGCCAATACCACTCTTATTAATAGCAGTGCAGCAAATATCATTCTAGAAGAGTACCTTGAGGACAACAGAATCAAATCAGCTGGGAAAAAATGTCCATTTACAACTTTAACTATGTCGCCAACTTGAACCTTGAAATACATTCAATTTTATATTTTGATGAATTATATATTATTTATCTCATTGATTGTAAGCATAAATTATAATGTCAAAGTATGAATGCTTACCTCAACCCACTGTAGTGACTGTAATGTGCCATCTCGCACCACTGAAAACAATTATTACTGGCCTCAGAACAGATTATTAATCAAAGAAAAGTTACCAACGGCACCATGAAAGATGGTGGGTGTCATTAAACATATCATTACCCTTTACTTTTCTTTTATTGACCAAGTCATCAGCTTTATGTCGTTTCTTGAAAAGATCATAAAAATAACAGATTTTAAATTATTTTGATTAAAATGTAATTATAATACAATTATATAGTACATTGACTGTCAACAATGTATTATAATTATAGATAAAGCTTGATATTAAGTGATGTACATACATAATCTTCAATAATTTCTTTAATTGCAGAACAAGATAAAACAGCTAAGAGAGGAAGAGCAGTAGTGTATCGACCTGTTGGTGATACTCCATCAATTTGCTGTTGTAGTAGAAAAATAAAATAAAATAATTGTTAAAATATTAATGGCCATATTCTCTGCAATCTACAAAGGGGAATTCTAAATACCCATGAAAGCAAAAAGAAGGTAAATCAATAGAAAATGAGAAGAAAAAACAGAGCTGGTTGGAGTTTTCTGGAAAAATGGTAGTTCATCTGCAGATTCAAAGTGCTGAAATTATGATTTACATTATATTTAATATACAGCAATATGTAGACATTATGATCAAATTCCGAGTTTATAAAATATATCAAAAATTATGGGATATCATCGCCAATATTACGCCAATATATTGCCTGGGACTAGTACTTTCTGAAAAAATACTATAGATGATATCCCTTAATTTCTGCTATTTCAAAAAGATCATAATTTCTGCATATTGCTGTATTAAAAGTACAACATTTATAGAGAGAGTACAAACATGAAAATTATGTGTGCAACACTTTCCACTATTTACTACAAATAATTAAACAATAAAAAACAATAGAATTAGCATAATTTAGCAGTATTTAGTGGGATTTATGTTTCACAGTTTTAGTGTTTGTACTCTATAGTTGTACATAGTTACTGTAGCACTAACCTGAAGTAATGCTATAAATAAGAAGAAAATATTGGAATATCTACTAAATTGCTCTAGTAAAAACTTTGGCAGGAATGTGATTAAATTGTACTTGGCAGTGCTAAAATAAAAGACATATGTCAATTAGATTTATTATTTTGATAATGAATTATATTCAATTTTTAAAAATAACTATATTCCTAAAGTTAAAAATATTGAAATTATAATGAAATACCTGATTTTATTATTACAATATTGTCTTATTTGTGGCTTGTTTATAATAATGATCCTTTCAGCATCATGACCATCTGTGGTGTCATCCTGCAGTGATCCATAGTTGTCTGGAGAAATAGAGTTTCATTGGTTAGCTGCATTTATAGTTTCCATTACATCTTAATTACATACAAAACATTAAAACAATTGCTTTTAAGCATTAAATTTCAAGACATAAAAACTAGAGACATTTTAAAAAGTTAATTTCATGGTATGATGAAGAAAGTATTCTTACTAATAACTACTAACAGTTGATTTTTAAGCTCTCTATACTAGGTAACACGATCAAACACTTTTTTATACAGTTCATTGCAAGGATAACACAGATTACCACAACAAAGAATAAATATCAAGTATTCCAAGGTCAACCAAATGGTTGCTACAGTAACATATCCAACAAATTGAACATTTGCAGTTTTCTAATGACGAAATGAGCTTCTGTCAAACTTCTCAATATTGTCAACTTATAAGCCAAAGTATTTCATGAAAATAGTTATCATGATGATAATACGCCTAACCTAAGATTGGATAAAATTATTATTTGCCTCCACAGGTTAAAGTAAACAATATCATAAGACTTCAATCATGATAAAATAAGAATGTATTTTATATGTGAAAAATATTCCCTAAAACAATAATATTACACTAAAAGAGAATTGAAAACAAAAAGAGATTAAAATAATCATGTAAAAAACAGTATATCATGTTAAATCAAATCCTTTATCAAAAATTTGCAAAATTAACAGCAGAAAATTACAATATTAATTGTAAGATCTTATGGTTCAGGCAAAAATTATCTCCATGAAAATTTACTTTTAATTTCATAATTAGAAATTTGACAGGGGTTAAATTTAAAATTACCCCATGTTCCTTTTTTATTCTTCGGCTCAACAACAACAAAAAAAACATCCATCTTCAAATGTAACATGTTATTTCATGTCAAATTCAATAGACAGCAAAAAATTAATCTTCTGCTGTTAAATTCAAGTTGATATTCGATTATGTTATGTAAAATACAAGAGTATTAACACAGCTAATTTAAGCAGAAGGAAAAAAATTGGCATTGTATTTTTGTGGCCAAGGTGTAAGAAGAATTGCTAAAATAAAGGGAGAATCAAATATTATAATTTTTAAATAAAACAACAGTTATTGGTTACCAGAATTCAATTGTTACATTTAATGTTTACAGTAAAAGCCAAATGAAATGCAACATTTTCATGAATATCACCTTTTTCAGAGAATCGAAGAACACCAAGCATTTTCAATCAGTCTTTAGACTTCTTGCAATGGCTGCACTCGCTCTAATCTTGTGCATTAAAGTTTTACAATTGACCATAAAATCAATGCTTGTGGTCAGCAAAGCTCATACAAAGAAAAAACATGCCCAATAATATGGACTTAACAAGTAGCCCAGGGGATATTTATTCATCTCTGCTGTCTCCATTTTAACACTGTTGCACAGTTCAATTTGCTGAGTAGAACAATATGAGATGTCTTGAAGGACTGTATATCATGAATATATTACCATGAAATTTCATCTTATTAACATTCACAACTGAGTCTCATATGCAGCTGGCTTTAGACTAGATCACAAACATCCAAGATATATGATATGAGTATGCACACAAGCTTTTATACGCAGCAAACATTGTCATTTGTCAAATATTTTTGTAGGTACATGTTTATCAATTGTCTAGTAATGAAAACTATGTGTTTGGTCAGAATGATGTGCAATTCAGTGTAATATATTCTTCTTGTACAGAGTATGCCACAATTATCATGGTTAATTGTCAACTTTTCATAGTCTTTGCATTTAAATTTGCTGTTAATATTAGGCTCTGCACTTTTAATATTATTATTACTAATTACTCAGTAGCAACTGTAAAATAACCTGAATACAAAAATATATATATAACACGTAAATATTATTTTCAAGTAAAGAGCTGGATGCTAAAATGCTGTAGAGATGATTTGAGACAATTTTCAATCCATATTTTATAGACCAAATAACTTAAAATTAACACTTGGAATATATTTTTCAGAACTTTGCAGAAAAAAATTTCCTTATAAAGTTGGTAGGTATGCTTGACAGACAGATTGAAAAATAACACTAAAAGGTACACATAAATTAATTAAGGTAGGGTTTCTAGCATTTTTTTTTTAATTTAAAATTGATAAAGAAACACTAACTTCATCAAACACAATCACCTTCCGAACATTCCCGGAGTATTGTAATCTTTATTATAACACTCTTTCAATTTTTTTTCGGAAATATGTTTGAAAATTGACTCTAAGGGACGGTCCATTTGATTTTTTTTTTTTCAACCTAAAAAAATATATCATGCAGCACCAATATGTCAAAAAAAAATATTGAGCATGGGTATTACCGACTTGTTTTAGAACAAAATGAAATATTCAACTCTTCCATCCTCTTCCACTCCATTCTTCGTAGCAGAAGATGCCCCTCAAAATGCTGAAAATCGCATGTCTTAGAGCGCTCTTATTTCAAAATTTTCTGGGGGAGGACCCCCATACGCCCCTTATTACGGTAGCACCAAGTTTTTTAAACCAAATGAAATAATCAACTCTTCCACCTCCTTCTTCATAGCAGGAGGTGGAAAAAGAAATATTCATGATTAAAATTTCACATAAATTTGATGCCTTTTATATGCTCTCCATGCCCCTCAAAATGCTGAAAATCGCATGTCTTAGAGTTCTTATTTCAAAATTTTCTGGGGGAGGGCCACCATACCCCCCTTATTACTCCTGCCTTTGACCTCTGTTACACCCCTCAATCAAAAATATGTATCGCGGTCCCTGAGAAGTGCAGCCCAGCCAAAATGTCCACACTAACCCCACCTTGTCTTCTCTTATCCAACTTTCAAATTAAACTTTAGATGTGTAGTCATGTAATAACAATGCAACTTATAGGGTTATAAAGCAGCAACTATGCTTTTAACCCACCCTCTACAAATGGTCTGTCTCTGATCTAGCAGTTTTCAGGTTCAGACCATGACATGGAAAAAAAAAGTTTAGCAAGGATAATAAAACTTTGAAACAACATGCAAACATATCAATGTTTCTAATCACATGTGAATCGAGATATACAATAGAATTCTCCAGAGTGCATTGTATGTCACACATTGACATACAATGCTACAATTGCCCTGGGTACAAGATTCCTAAGGAACTGGCTCTGACAGCAACTATTGAAAAGATACAAAACCACACAAATTGTTATTCAACATTGTTGTTTTTTACTGATTAGCTGTTTCTTGTTTTTCACCTTGTCTGAGCACTGGAAACTTGTTGCACAACAAAAAGCAAGCCAAAATACAAGGACGTGATATTTTTTGTATATGTATGTTCGATAATTTGTAAATATAAACAAATTATAAGCTTATGTCAAGTTAACTTATATTTCTTATAAGAAATGGATGCTTTGAAGCTATTATTAAGTAGCTTATAACCTGAAGCACACACAGAGAGACACAAAAGAAAATGCTATCAAAACCAAGAGAAATGATGTTAATTTAATAAAGGCTCACAATCCTAAAATTGAAGTCGAATTTTTGGAAGCTCATACCAGTGCTCACTGACTGGCGACGTTTGAATGACGATTTCTTCATTCAACGAACAAAATTCCCCTCGACCACAAAATGAATCGTACAAATACTAAAAAGATGTTTTAGAGGTTTCTGTACTCTGCAAACAAAAATCAATCATATTCACTGGAGAAAGGGCCTTGTCCTATGGACTCGAATATTGGCTTCCGGAAGATGGGCGATTAAAAAAATGAAATCAAAATTTGCATCCTAAACAATCACACGACATTTTTCTTGGACGCTAAATTGAGATACTTCGTAAAAAGAAGTCTAGTATGCAGTAAAACATCGACCGAAAACGTCAGGAAATTCATTCAAAAAGATGATTGATGCAGCATTCTATCGAAACCCAAACGAAAAACCCGAATTGATCGCAACCGAAACACCTGACAGTGACAAATTTTAGTATTGTCATACGCTTAAGCTTAACTCGAGAAATTTCATTGAAAATTCAGTCTTACCAGGGTTGTCCTCCGACTTTGAAGCTTTAGGTGCAAGCTTATACCCTTCAGCCATAATTCTTGATTTCACATTAACACATTTTCGATGGCTTTTACAACTTCACGGCGATTTTCTCTCCGATATTCTGAGAGAAACCAAGTCTACCATTTTGTCTTGACCAGTAGCAGCTGGAAGTCACTACCATAAGGTACGCATGCGCAGGTTTTTGAAAGTGGAAGCAACACCCTGCATTCCCTCTTTCTGTCTTTTTATCTTCTTTTCCATTTCGAATTGGCAAGATTATTTTAGAAATATTTTGAACACAGCATTACTTATTAGTGCTGCAAGTAATTTCAGCAATAACGCCATCTGGATTAATCTTGATTAATCGAAATTAATCTCTGCTTACCTCCGCACCGGGTTTTACTCCTCTTTATCAAATAAATGGTGGGAACTAGCGGTAAACTAGTGTCAAATAAATGTTTCATAAATAATTGCTTACGCGGAACATCTTATGGATACTTGCAAAATCCCCTTTCATATTTTAAAAGCTGCACCTACCTTCTTCGTTTTCTGTGATTATCGACGTTTCGTTACACATGCCAGTTTGCACTATCATAGCGCTTAGTTCCACTTTCTCAAATTCTGTCATATCTTCAAAAAATCAAGCAACCAAATTTTCTCAATGAAATCAATCCCTTGCAAAGGCTAGCTAATATAAAAATAACGTCATAAATTTTGGTAATTTTCCCTCCATATCCGGAATGATGTAACGGGACTCCAAAGCTGCCCAAAGTGATCTTCCATAACCTATATAAGGTAAGGGCGCCAGGACAACCATAACAGTTTTTGAATGATATTACGATTGTATTTGTTATAGCTTTGAGTATCGTAGACATTCACTTATCTGACTTTTTGCGTATATCTTGAGTGTATCCCGAATGTCCTTTGGATAGATAGATAGATTTTTGACGATTGGTGGGCAATTTTCTCCACTCCTAAAGGTCAAAAGCTAACTAAAAGCTGTACGTGTTTATTTCAGTACGCCACGTTATTTAACGGCCGTGCATAATGGGCAAAATTCTGCAGGCCAGGTGCGGTAACTGTGCGGTAACCGTGCGGTAACGGTGTCCCACTCATACGAAATCCGTTCTAAGCGGACGGTACGTACCAGTACGTAAATAAACGGCCGTTAAATAACGTGGCGTACTGAAATAAACACGTACAGCTTTTTGTTAGCTTTTGACCTTTAGGAGTGGAGAAAATTATCTATATATCCAAGTGAATTCGGGATACACTCAAGATATACACAAGAAGTCAGATAATAATTATATAAAAATTCTAAAAATTACAATATAGAAAAAAGTTAAAAAAAATTACTAAAATATTAAATTTTACAATAATAATGATAACGATTAAAATTTATAAATATAACTATGCATTAATTAATTAGTAAAAAGAATGAAACTTACATTAAATAATTTACTAAAGAAACGTCCTATTATTTACAAAAAAAAAAAAAACTAAACTAATTCAAATATCTGCAGAGTTTACATTTAATTTAAAATCGAATAAAAAGTCATTGTTCTTGTAAAAGGGGACTCGTGAACCACGTATACATAAATTAATAGATTTGATGATCTCAAAGGATAACTTTGTTCTTATGTAAGTTATTGTTTCTGCATACGTGTTATTAGTTTTCTTAGCGAGTTTTTCTGTTAGTGCCTTTAAGAACATATTGCATTCTGATCCCGTTCCACCGTTGGTTCCAAAGATGAGGGGTGTGAAAGTTTCCATATCGACATCTTGGACTCTCTCTGCATATTTTCGTTTCTTTTCTTGCTCTTGCTCTTGAAAGATCGTATTGGTGGTCTTGTTCTGGTTGGTTTTGGAGTTGACATGCGTTACACGTACGTCGAAAAATGYTGTAACTCCTCTTTGCCAGAAACTTCCAGCTTTGATGTCGAGGCGTGCCTCTTGACTTGTGGTGGTAGATTTTAGTTTGAAGCTTTCATCATTCAGTTGGATGAGCTTAGGTTCTGCTTGAACGTTATGACATACCTTGCATAATAACGTAGTCAGGAGATCACGTACATTATCATGTCTCTGGGCTACGAAACCTCCCTTCTTGCACGACAGGGCGTGATTGACGTTAAACGGTGAGCCACATGAGCAGGTGTTTGGCAAGTCATGCAGTGGCAGGTTGTAACGTAGTCGGAGGGAATCCCTGAACTCTTGYTTGYTTAAAACGARWCCCTGTTCTTCAAATGGTATGGCATTCAGCCAAGTACTTGACCCTTTATCTCTTGCCTGAGTGACTTGGCGAAGTAGGTCAGGTGGCAACGAGGCATCAATGTGCTCCAGTTTTACCCTTGAATTCTCCGCTTTAACCGATTGCTGTTGCTTTTTAACGCAATCAGTATCCAATGCAATTGACGTAATTTGGGTTTTAATAGCCTCCACATGTGATGCTGTTATTATCTTCGAAGCCGCGTATTGCTGTGGTGAATCTTCATTTAGGCTAGGAATGCCTAACCCCCCCTGAGCAGGACGCATTGACAGGATCTCCGCTAAATCTTTGGGTAGAGCCTCAGATTGACCAAAAAGTGAGATAATTGAATTTCTACGATACTCAAAGCTGTAACAAATACAATCGTAATATCATTAAAAAACTGTTATGGTTGTCCTGGCGCCCTTGCCTAAGGGAATGCGTACATTTATCAATAGGGTGGGAAAGGGGGGGGCGATAATTATGCACTCCCCCCCCCCCACCTTCCCCAAATTTATTTATTTATTTCGTGAATAAAGAGTTCTCGCAAAATCGTGGAACGCTTTTCTTGAGAAGTTTTTAACTTCAATAAGTATTTGCAGAAGTACTTCTATATAGCCAAAAAGCACAGAATCTTTTAACGTTGCCCTTTTCTTTACGCACATAAAATTAGGGACGGTCCATTTAACTTTTGAGGGGGGGGGGGGGGGTGGATGATTTCTTGTGAGCAAGATTTTTTTTTCTTCGTGGCTTTTGGGTGGGATATATTTTTTTTCTCTTGGTGGTGGTAGGACTGTTTTTCTTCTTGTATGTAACATTTTTTGAGGGCTTAGGGTGGTGCAAGATTTTTTTTTAGGTCCATATGTTGTGCACGATTTTTATTTTTGGTGAAGATGGCTTGCAGGATATTTTTTTTTCAAAATCATCGGCCGATAATCCATCGCCATAGGAGGCCTGGAGCCGACTCTTCTCGATAGTCTGGTAAGCCTGTGGCGGGAGAAAGCAGTTATATCTACAGATTATGATGTGCCAGATTGTGTTTTGTTTATATTTTAGGTAGTAAGGGAAGCCATCCATTGTTCACATGTAGTTGTTCTTACTTCAGTTTTGTGTAGGCTATGCCCAGAATAATATCTGGTATATTTAGCCATTCATTCTAGAACTCATTAATAATTCATGAGCTATAGTCCAATGAGCATCAAACTATTGAGTCACATGGGCTTATATATCCCGATAAAGTACTGATGTTTTATTAATCAGTTCTATGTGATATTTTAAAAACGAGTAGGAGTGTTTTATCGTGAGATATAAACACGAGGCTGAAGGCAGAGTGTTTATATCCACGATAAAACACGAACTACGAGTTTTTTAAATGACTTCTAAAACCCAAACCTAAGAAACTACAATAAACATGAAATAAATAAAAAAGTATCAAAAATGAATAATTGATGAAGATATCTCCATCTGAGCATGAGCAGTAATCAACTTGTTTTCCCACATCCAAGCGCCACTATGTTTTAGTGTACTGTGACTATGCAAATAAGTAATTTTAACTCGAGACCTAGTGAAGTTCTGATGAGAGTCTAAAACTGAGAACTTTTCTAGTGTTGGGCATACATCGAGTGTCTGTAAATCAGTTTACAACACTGATATTTCATGCATGAGTGTTATAATTAGATGAACCGGTTAGTTATAAAACTCATGTTTAATTAATCAGTGTTTATAACTTGAGTTATAGATCCTGTCATGTGACCCATAGTTGAATGTTCATTGGAAGAATGTCTAATGAATAATTCATTAGTTTTAGAAATCAGATATAAAGAACTGATGTTTTATTAATCAGTTCTATATCAGATATAAAGAACTGATTTTCAAGGTCATCAGTGCTTTATCGCTCAACACTAGCAAAGGTCTCAGTTTTAATGTCGCATCATAGAACTTTGCTAGGTTTTAAATCAGTTTCTATTAATGTACAGATATGCACTGTAGCATAGACTGGCCGTTCTTACGTGTGGGATCAAAATTCTTACAATTGTGGCACAATGCACATGCTCATTAGAAGTTTAATATGCATTATCATTGTTTTCACACTTTTTAGTTTTTTTCTAAAATGATAACAATTTCTGAATGTTGGAGTTCTAGAAGTCGTTTATAGAACTCGAGTGCGTGTTTTATTGGGTATAAAGATTCTCGCCTGCCGCTCGAATCTATATATTCTGATAAAACATGCACTCTCGTTCTATAAACAACACGTAAAAGGCTGTCCAGTCCCATCCTGGAACCATGGAGACAGAATTCCAGGAAATAACTTGACTGTCATGTTGGCAGTACTGCGCTATCCTTGCCTTTCCCATCCTAAAGTCACATTGCATATGGATGTTATTTGAATTTGTACCAATTCATAAGGATTTTATTCATATTCACTCTAAATCCTACTTTACATATTATACACATCAAATCTACTATCACAATCAAATGTTTATTAATACTAAATTGCAAAAACTCACAAACATGTGAGTTATAATAAATTGACACTAAAGAAATAACAAGGTAATATAGAATGACTAAATAAAAACCATGTCATAATAAGCCTTCTTAGAAGGCAGCTTAACATATAAAATATAATTCTATCAAGACACCATTTACCTAATTTGATCATTTTTGAAATGCATGGACAATGAACAGATTTACTAATATGTCATATTACTCCCAATTGAAGACTTTCAAAATAGTGCAATACAATCATTGCAACTGTACATATGGAACATACCGCTTAAAGGGTTTATTCCTTTGTGGGATCAAGTAAAATTTTCTACAATCTATCACAAGAACTTTTGTTTACAGAAATAGAAGTGAAGTCTTTTGAGTCAGTTTTTTGTTTACCTCTGTTTTTCCTTTCAATGCTGTGTGGTTGAGAACACTGAAGGCTTGACTTTATTATCTTGTAAGATACTGCTAACCTAGACTTTTACAATAAAACAGGAAGGAAAAGTGCCATCTAAAACTATCCAATATTACATTTACATTAGTACACAGACAATTATATTAATTCATCTTCTGGTATCCAAACCTTCTATTTACACTGTAAAAGATTCAAGAGATTTTATATTACATTGGTCATTTACTAGTAGCGGAATATTTGTCTTTAGCTGTTGTCATTTTTCTGATCCCATTTATTTTTACTGGTTTTGATCATGTAGATAAAATAGGTAATGGTTTCTTTCTCTGGGCAGTGCAGCTGTTTGAAGTGTCTTTGAATTGTCTAGAAACAAAGTACTATAAAATTAATATGAAAATTTTTTATACCAATGACACACAGACATTATGTCTTGCAACTCATTTTTATAATTAAATATAAACTATAAATATATATCTTTCAGAATGTAGGATATAGAGGATATTATATGGGCGTGCAGAGATACAGATTTTATCCTAAAGTTATGTTATAGCTTGTCCATAACAATGTAAAGTAGTCTTATAATAGTCAAATTGTAATTCTTAGTTATTTTAGTTGTTTACTATTTAATAAGGTAAGTTGAATGTTTAAAAAGATATTCTATGGCTTTGTGATTGTTGGTGTTGTTAATATTTATTAGATAATTATTATAATACTAGTTAATATTCACCTACAAAAAAGATTGAAACCTAATGTTAACAACAAAAATGTTCGAAATATTAGCTCTTTGAAACACAATTTCTTACACAAATTGTCAGGTTTAACTTATAACAACATCAGATATCGGTTAACTTCAAGACATGAACTTATGAATATTGATAAAGTAGACTTAAGCTTACTTACCTCCACGAGCTGAGCTTTATTCAGCCCTGGTCTGGTTTGTAATTTGAAGTGGCGTTTGTATCTACGAAGAGTGTTTACCTGGAGAGAGCAAAAATCGACCTAAAAGATAAAAACACAGTTAAGTTTAGGTGATTGACGAATATCGATAAAAATTAGATATTAGCTTTGTAAGCTTACATGATTACAGCATAAGAAGGGAAATAAATTTGTTGCACAGTCTTCATTCAAATATAAAATGGATCATTACATTGTCTGATGCAGTAAGTTAGGTAATCCATTGTATTCAAAAGATGAATTTTGCCAACTTACGTCCGGAGAATCGTGCTCGTCATCAGATTCTTTGCGTTTACGTTTGCTTCGGACGCTTTGTATCATGTTCTTGTGGTAATCACAGATGTATATATGTCTAGCCTTAATGGAAAAGAAAAGATACAAAATGAGCATGCCTCAATGAAATGATTTCAACAGCTACGCGTTGACGAAACAACTTAATAAGTTAAGTCTTACATTGCTGTCGAGCGAAAGCTTCAGTTTTCGTTGGCCCACTGTCTTTTGGATTCGCTTGGAATAACTGGCATTCCCCGACTGCCTTTTGCACCTTTCACCATCTTCCACCAAACAGCAAATCTGAGCACTTGTGGTACTGTGCTCTTCTTGTTCGCTACGATATCCGTTCATTTTGTCGCAAATCATATAAATTTGAACTTGGTTGATCTTGAAAATCGCTCCCTCTCTTGTTTGTTATCCACATGTCAGTGACGTCATGGCGTTGTTTATAACAGCATTTTTCATTGGCTAAACCCATTTTAACTTTTTAGAGGAAGACACCATTCTTTTATTTATTTATCTAATTTAGATTTAATATTTTTTTATACTTTGATCGTTCTTCATAGTGAGTCTTTTACTTGTTATCAACTCATTTTATCCACAGTTGAACAATTAGCTTAATGGGCTTCCTGTAGTAACGGCGATTATATATAAAGATCTGTATTAAAGATTAGTACTAGTTACTGCATTGAGACTCAAAAAGTTTTAAATCTGTGTTTTTGGTCCCGCTTAGAGTGATAATGACGAGAATTCCCACCAACTGAGTTTTGTGGTCCCTTTTAGGGTCTTTTAGGGTATACGACGACCTTAAGGTCCTTAAGCCGTCATCATTTCTTTGTATATATGACAACGTCGTCATAAACTCAATACGAGCCAACGGCGTTTGATGCTTGTGCAAAAACACAAATTAAATCGGAAACCAAAACAAAATAACCGTTTATTGATTGGTCGCTGTTAGGGGTGAAATTTCAGCGCTGCCACGCCCATAATCTCACAACACAGGTCCCTTTTAGGGGTATTTTTCAGAATTTCCGACGAGGACCCCCGCCCTTTTTTATATAGGGAGTCCACTCACGGGTCTGGGATAGGGTATCACCTTTTGTCCATTTGTCTGGGGTAGGGTAGTCTTTTTGTCTGGGATAGAGTATTTTTTTGTCTAGGGTAAGGTACAGTCTCATTGTCTGGGGTATGGTGGAGTTTTGACGATCGTATCTGCTATGCTACGCTTTCGGCGCTAAAATAATGTACCTTGTACCTTTATTCTGGGGTAGGATAAGTAAAATCACAAACATTCGTCTGGGATAGGGTAAGTGCGGGTCCTGCGGCACGCCCACACCCAAGTTGCGGAGGGAGTTCAACCCCGGGTTCAAGAGTTCATCTCGTTTCTATGATCAACTAAATTTGATGTTCGATTCACACCTTCTTTCAAGCAATTAATTTAGGACCATGTATACATAAGACACAATCTGGCCAAGTTCAAAGAAGTTCCTTGGAGCGGGAGCCTTCTTCGACATTTTTTATAGCCATGTGTTAGTTGTAGTACTCCTTTTAAGGAGTAAAACTTGCTAAAAGAATGAAAATGGCGTACGCCCGTTTCTTCTCCATCTTCTTTTATTTATATATGAAAATTCATAAAAATGTCCCCCAAAAAATCGCATGAAAAATAGATAATTCATTAAGCCCGGTCTACACGAGCAATTTTTATGTGAAAACTATGTGACGCTCGTCCACACGGGCAATTTCGATATGTGACAATTTTTAGGGGTTTGTAATATGGGCCCTTTAGTCAGGTTATGACTTAACCTAAAGTTTATAGACCTAGCCCCCCTGCGAGACTTTATTGAATGCTGCATTACCCTATAAAATTAGACGTTTTTATTTATTTCATAATTTTTACTTTTTTTGCAGAAACCCTCACTTGTTTTTTCGTAATGAGAAACGAAATGAGGTGAAAGAAGGTCTAACCAACCCTACAGCAGGTGAAGTTGTCAAGATACTAGGGGAAATGTGGGCAAAGATGCATGATGAAAAAAAAAACAGAAGTACCAAGAAATGGCAAAAAAAAAGACAAAGAAAGATATAAAGAGGAAATGGGCGAGTACCTGTTAAATAAGGGCCAAAAGAAGCAGTTAAGAGACCAGATTGTAGAATGATAGTTCATCTTATTATTTTTAGCCCTGTACAGTAACTCTATAAATTTTCTTTTAGTTTTTAAAATCTGGATGTTTCAGTACATTTTCTTTCAAGGCGACTAGCATCATCTTGTTCGGATTTTTAAGTCAAATGCTGAATTATCTGAATCTTAGTAGTCTAACTGGCACGTTTTTCAAAAGAAATGTTAATCTTTGAAAATTGGTATACTTTTGGTTGACATTAAACACTTTCGAAAGTTGTAAGAGTTGGAATGCTTTGCAATCACCATATTTAGTAGGTAAGATATAATGATATATGCAAGTGGTCAGAATTAATCTGTGAAACAAATACAACTAGACTAATCAATAGAGTGATCGCACTTAAAGCGTGCAACTGTACAAAATCTAAGTAGTATTTATTTGTACTAAAAGTGGACCTGTATCAATTCAATTTAATTTGCGTACCGCATGTACGATTTTTTTTCTTCTTTTTTTTATTATTATTAATCAATTAAACTCAATTAAACAGCTATTTACAATTAATGAGGAAAAACGCTCATAATGCGTTCCTCTAGAATTTTTTTTCTTATTTATATTGGTTACAGAATTTGTGTAGTATTCCGCATGTACGATTTACTAAATACAACTAAATAGAACTATTTAGTTTGTACAGTTGCACGGATTAAGTGCGATGACTCTACTAGATAATGTTGATTAAACAATAGAAAACAAAAGACATCCTAACATAAAAGGCCGGAGTCCTCGTCGTCCCTGTTAGGGTATGAAATCAGTGTTTTGGTCCCGCTTAGGGTGATAAAGACGAGAATTCCCACCAACCGAGTTTTGTGGTCCCTATTATGGTATGTACGACGACCCTAAGCCGTTATCAAAAGATCAACAACAACCATAACTGCTATCTAAGTGTAAATTAGTCATCCAGTCGTGATAATTAAATAAAGTGATAAGTCAAATACTGGACCAAAGTTGAAACGATTCACGACGATTCGATCGATTACACCGATCTTCCTCAGGTAGAATAACCATAACTGCTAATTAGATGGTTGATCTCAATACGAGCCGACGGCGTTTGATGCTTGTGCAAAAACACAAATTAAATCGGGAAAGCAAAACAAAATGACCTGTTATTGATTGGTCCCTTTTAGGGGGAATTTACAGCACTGCCACGCCCACCATCTCACAGTACAGGTCCCTTTTAGAGGTCATTTTCAGAATTTCCGACGAGGACCCTCGCCCCTTTTATAAGAGAGCCCCCCCCCCCCCGGGGGGAGGGGGGGGGGTCCCAGTGAAATTTCAATTCAATGGTGATCAATGGAATTTAACTTGCTAGTGTACATAGCTCTTGTAGTCCTTCTTTGTTTACCTTTACCCTGAAAAAAAAACCTCTAAACAATGACTACAAAAACAGATTGAACAAATAAATAAAGCCAAAACCAATGAAAAGAAGAAAAGAAAAATATAAAAAATGGAATAAATGAACGAAATACTCTGAGTGATCAAAGTAGGAAGGAAGGCCAGCGATATACAAACCTGATAACTCAAGAATAAGCGAAGATCCAGATTTGATAATTGGTCCTGTGGAATTCTTTGGCATCCTGACTATCACCTGTCCGTTTTTCTAAATTTATGAAAAACCGCTTTTTAGTACTACGTTTGTGAATCTTGGGGAAACATTGTTATAAGAAGATTTTCAACCATCCGTACAAAATTTTCATCTCAAAACGCCATCGGAACAAAACAAGTTCTAAACATGCTAAAGGGAGCGCGGCAACTAAACATCAAACTAAAAATATTAATATACAGCATCCGGTATACTAGTATCAAAATAGCAAAGTATAGAGAACGAACGTCCCGAGCCAAAGTATAGAGAACGAACGTCCAGAGCCACTTGGCGTTATTCACTGATAAAATTTTACCTTCAATGTCTGGACAGAAAAGTTCTCGATATTTTCTCCATCGGTACAACTAGCGGTTATCTTGGAGGCACAGGAAACAAAACTCAGTTCAGATAATCGTAATTCGCCAAAACTAACAGTTAACTGCAAAGAGAATTTGAAAATCATTTTAAGTTGACGCTCTAATACAGTACGAACTCGTGAGGGAGATTTTGAACTCACACTGATATTTTTGTCCGCCCATCCCTGCGACTTTTACTAGGCCGGTTTACCGCCAGCCCACAGAATGTCGAAATCCATTCGAACATTGAGAATTTCATTTGATTAATTATTTTGATCTAGATACATTAGAGTTATTTATATTAAGAACACTTGTTATAAGGAATTCTAGTATCTTCATACAGCAAAATGAATCGCTGATCAAGCGATATTCTCTTTAACTAAGCCTGAGTATCAGGCTCTGTCGAAGTGGATTTCGGGGTAGCAGGCTACATTATACTGTAAATCGATCTATTATTGGAAAGTGAGGTATATTTGCTAGTTTATTAAGATTTTTGGCGCATCATATTCTTAAAATGAATGATAACTACAGACGAAGTTGGACCTGAAAAATACAAACAAACAAAACACACACAAACAAAACAACAACAAAAGATCTCACGCATTGCATTATTTTTCTACTTCTTATCCCGGCGTATCCTTGGCACAATTATAGTAAATATCTATGGGTTAATAAACCTTTGAACCTTTTACGTCAATACTTGATTTTCAATGCATCAAACAAAAGAAATCCGCCATGTTCTGTCCCAAACATATAATTCAATGCATTTGAGTATAAGGTAAAAGGTTTAGTGGTCCGGCTTCATCCGAACAACATTTATCGCAATAACCATTCTATCCTGGTTATGATAAGATTAAGTCTCCTTTCTGGGAAACGAGTGAATGAATAAATACAAAAATGCAAATTATAAAAATGAATTGCTGTCACTACGCGAGAATTGATTTTTTAAAAATCTCGGAAAAAAGTACATTTCAACTTTTTCCTCAATAAATTTACCAAAATCTTTGGGGCTCGTGCCCCCTTCCTACGCTAGTGGTCACTACGATACGTCACAATAAGGGACTGCGCAATACTTATCAGGGGGGTGGGATGTGGTTGAGAAATGAGCCAAAAAATCAAAAAAGTTGATAACTAACCCCCCTCGCAAACGAAGTAAATTACGCTTTGCCGCCTCCCCGTGAATCTATTTATATTTATTATTCGTGAATAAAGAGTCTTAAATCGTAGCACGCTTTTCTTAAGAAGTTTTCCACTTCATTAAGTATTTGGCCAAAAAGTACAAAATCTGAAACCGTTGATTTTTCCGTTTCCAATTAAAGTTCTAGTTAATTTTACACGCTGCCCCCCTCTTAAGGCACATAAAATTAGATTTTTCATCCCCTCTGGTTTTTGTAAACCCCCCTCCTGAACACAAAATCCACACTGAGTTTTATGAAAGCTTTAGCACGGAAGCCGTTGAAAAAAATTTTTCGTCAAGCTAACTAAATAAATAAATAAATGATAACGGGATGAATGAGGTACAACCTGGATAAAAAATCGAATGAAAAAATGAAAGCATAACAGAATGAATGAAAGAGTCAATGAATTAGTTCATGTTTTGTATGTATATGTAAGATTGACCGGGTACCCGGCCGGTAAAAATCTCGAAATATTTTTCCAACCTGAATACGTCCATTAATAAGACCAACATCTCCTTTCTGTACATACTGTCCCCAACAGCAACCAAGAATGAAGAATCCACGGAAATCACACTCATTGATACGTGGAGCAAATCGCAGATTGACAAATGAAGGATCACCCTTATCGAAGTTCCAGTCCTGAAAGACAATACACTATCACATATACTATCATAAACAATAACTATCAATTATAGCAGTCGTCGCTTTAAACGGGGAGGTTTCTGATTTCCTTTGTACTTTCTATGTACTTACTTGACCAGATGCAGTCTCGAAGAGCAAGAACGACGACATTGGGCGAGCATAGTGATCACCACACTCGATCTCATTCCATGGACTACGCCTTGTACCGTCATATTTGTTCCTTGTGTCAGTAAGAACTAGTAAGTAAAAATAGTTAAAAAAAGAAAATAAACATAGAGTACAAACGCTAAATCTGTGAAATACTTTGCAAACTACTTGCTGCTGAATAGTGCTAACAGAACAATAGAAAACAATACAATTGGCATAATTTAGCAGTGGTACTTATGGCGCTCACGTTTAGTGTTCGTACTCTGCTGACAATAACATGAATCTGTATTTCAGCTATATATCGCTTAATGGTTTAAGAAGAGTTGGCCCGTTGACACTCTCTGCATGGCTAGAGGTCCCATTTAGCCGCATCCGCAATAGTAAGGGTCTGTAATAGCTGGAATTAGTATCAAATAATTTCCTTACTTTTTTATGGTCCATCAAATTATTGTCAGTTTTATTTGATTCATTAGAAACATTACCCATACTAGTACACTGCTAGTTATCCATTCATAGTTTAGGGATGTTCTGATCCTGTCCTATCCAGTATTAAGTTATTATCTGTATACTATATTACTACTAAAACACAATAAAACACACCATGAATAGCGATGTCATTGAGGCCTTCGTACAAGCACAGTGCGGCAAACTCATACTCCAGTCCAGACCAGGCTCCCTTAGGAGATAAAGTGAGGTACATTTCATCATTATTGCCCAAACTGATCATATGATCACCCTGATCATCTTCAACACCACCATTACGACTACCACTCACCCTGATCATTCTCACCACAACCACTCGACCAACACAGCTATCACATCACTTGTACCACCACAACCATCACCCTGATCATTCCTACCACAACCGATCTACCAAGACAGCTATCACATCACTTGTACAACCAAAACCAATTGACCCTGATCATTCTCACCACAAGCACTCTACCAACACTGCTATCACATCACTTGTACCACTACAACCATCACCCTGATCATTCTCAAATAAACGAATAAATAAATAAAGTCTACCAACACCACTCTACCAACACAGCTAACACATCACTTGTACCACCAAAACCAATTGACCCTGATCATTCTCAAATAAACGAATAAATAAATAAAGTCTACCAACACCACTCTACCAACACAGCTAACACATCACTTGTACCATCACAACCAATTGACCCTGATCATTCTCACCACAACAATCATCACCATTAACCCCATAACAATCAACACACCATCACCATTATTATTAATACCATTCTTAATTGAAATGACTACCTCTGAGTAATAAACTAAAGGTTTTTCTGGTACTTTGTCAGGGAAGACACAAATAGTCAGCCCTGCATCTCGTTGGTCAAAGAACTGTCGAGGTTTTTGGGTTGCTGTAGATAACACCAGTGGATATTACTATTCATATAATATTCTCTTTATTGACTAGCATCCACTTAATAATAATATAATATATTTATTAAGCATTCAGCTTTTTTGTTTGCCCCAGGGTTAAGTTTTGAGACATGAACTTTGAAACTGTGAGCTATGAAAATTAATCTAGTTCTATCTTTTGCTGTAGATAGTGTAACTTTACAGACAAAAATTGGCATTGCATAAATTGGAATGACAACAATTTACTTGGCTGCCATTGAATGAACTCTACATTTTAATAAATGTTACTGAAATTTTTTTTCAATCTATTGTTTGAATATTGTTATTTATATAGAGGGCCACAAGTTTGTCATGTGTTTACCCTCTTAAAATAAAGTTGATTATTATTATTATATTATTATTACTATTATTATAATAAAGAACCAGTCTTTAATATTTCACATATCTTGTATAATTATATGCTGATTTGATGCTGAAAAATATTTCAGGCTGTGGAAAAAATACATCGGCATAAAAAGCAAAACTGCAAGGGTTCATTTTGATCACGAATTTTAGCCATGATTATGGAATCTCGCAGAAACCAGACTGATAAACAAATGTCTAAGCCAATCAAAACACAATGTATAAACACATTGTTTCATGATGTTTCATTAGAAGAAGTAAATTTGAGAAATGTGGAGGGTTAGGGTTAGGGTTAGACAAGAAGATCATAAATGAACTTGACAGGGTGGAGAGCATCATACCTGGGTTAAAGCTATCAACGTGGTTCCTTACAAATACATTTTGCAATGTTGATTGTATGTTTTCTTTCTTCAGTATGTATCCAAGGCCAAGTGAATGCGCCCACCACTGACCAACAAGACAGTCAACCCAAGTACCTGATGAAGATAGTATTAATGCACACACAATGTAAATAAGCATGGGCAAAATAAAACAGTTTTAATATGTAATATATAAAATATGAGCGTGAATAATTTTTGCTTATCAAATTCCAACATAAGCTAAAGCATATTTTACTAACAACCTCACGATTATTATTTTTAAGAGAAAATAAGTAAAAGTTGTATACAAATCAGGACAAATCTCTTTCTCATATGCGGTCACAACAATGAATTTCGATTGTGTTTACCTGATGAATTATTAATGAATTTGATAAATATATATAGAGAGGGAGAGGATATTACATGTGGGTGAATGGAGAAATGGATTTCACACTTTTAGAAGATAAAATCTGTATCAACACTTGCCTATGTGATATTCTGTTTACTAACACTAGTGAGAACAAAAATTTTTATTAAACTATTAATAAGAGATACAGATTTTACCTTTTGAGTTTTGAAAATCAATTGCAGATCAAATCAAAGATCAAATCAAAGATCAAATCAAAGATCAAATCAAAGATCAAATCAAAGATCAATAGTGTGCTGGAAAAAAGGACTTTCACTTACCATCAGCAACTTCATTTACTTGGTTCTTTGGATCAACAATCTGTATATAAATCAAAGTAGCATTCAAAATTATGGCTCCGTGACAATGAAGAATTGCACATTAAAAAAAGGTTGTTCAAAAGTGTGCCATAGATTTTCAAGAAAAGTTGCTGGAGGGGTGGTACACTTTGATAGTGCAGCAATGCGCAACTTGCTGCAGTGCAATGCGTAAAGTAGACCTCAAGATTCAATTTGTCTGCTATATGAATATTTACCAACAATTGTTGAATTGTCTATGTTAACCAAACATCATGAAAGCACTCATATTGCTTTTAATAGAATGATCCCTTAAATACTCTGATTGATTACCAATGAGGCAAGAGTAAAATCTCTAAGGGAAGACTGATTTAAGTACTTTTTTGTTCAGTTGTGATTTTTTAAGCAAATTTATAACAAAAAAGAGAGATTACCTGTGTGTACCACTTGCCATTGAAGCATCGAGTGTCTAGCTGGTCGCGACCTGACAGAAACCTCTCATGATAGATAGCAGCAAGATCCTGTCAATAATATAATATACAACTGTGGTGAACTGGTTTGTAGACCAACAAGAGAACGAGTGCTTTGATTTTCCCAAAGAAAATGTCCAGGAGGGGGATAGGGGATGTTGTCTGAATCTACAAAATTGTCAGAAAAAAATTGCTCAAATCCACAAGAAAATTTACCAGTTCATCAAATCTTCAAAATCTCAAAATGTGCACTAAAAAATGACTGAATCTGCTGATCTCCCCCAAAAAAGGTTTCTCCAGTGTTCCAAATAACCCCAAATGAGGTTAATGACAAATGAAAATCCAAATTAGACGATCACACATTACATACATTGACTTCCGAAACCTGACTTCCTGTTGCAATATTGACAACTTTCATAATGGCCATCACCAATTAGCAAATTATTATTAAATTTATGATGCTGACAAAAGAAAACAGATGATTTTACAGCTAGAGATAAAATCTAAAAGTTTTACAGAAAAATATTAATTCCTCTTCAAGTTGTAAGGGTTAGAAGAGGCACAAAAAAACACCAAAACAAGGCTACCAAGACGATAATTGGTATAGAGAATGTTATCAAAAATATGATATAAATTAAATAATACTGTATCCAAGGACTTGCTGGAATAATAATTGCAGATAATCCAAGATTGAGAAAAACACATCATTGTTGATTCCTTTGCAAATATAAATTTTATTCAATGCTGACTTTCTTGTTATCACAATTGACTGCCTCTCTTGGCTCTTTTAATCTTTTAAATCTTTAAAGCATGTCCTTCCTCAGAGCATGCCATGTACATATCATTATTTAATCATATTAGTCATGTATTACTAAAATTAGGTCTTAAAATTTTTACAAAATGGCATGAAATCTATAAAACACTTAACAGTAAATTAAAAATATATGTCATGCACATATGAGATTATAAGAATTGAAACTTACCATTTCACCTTGCAGCTTTGCCATTTCTTCTGCTGCCCTAAAAAGTTACAAAGTATATATGTCGAATACAGCCCACACACTTTCTATTGAATACACTACAACTGCTGATGAAGTACACGCTTTTTCTCATTTACATTATTCAATTTGCTGAACAAGCCTATGGTAGACCTCACCTCAAAGCAGCTAAGTAATAACCGCCAATATAGACATTTATTCCATAAATGGCACAGTCGTAAGTATTTGGCTGTGGCCCAGTTATAACACCTGTAAAATACATAGTAGGAATAACATTTCTACTATTCTTTTCTATTAATTATAAAAACAAATATAAAAACCACAAAAAAATTGACTGAAGGTCATGACCTTGGCCATTGTCTAACTGTGTCATCCATCTTGACATAATCTTTTTTACTTTTGGCCACAACTTGTTAAACCATTCATGTGGAGCTCCTTGCCTCACCTTGAAAAATAAACTTTAATTATCAAATTCATTAATAATTCATAAGGTAAAACAATGGAAAATCATTGCTGTGACCGCATCTTTATTTGAGCAAGAGATTTGTCCTGATTTGCATATGACTTTAACTTTGATTTTCTCTTAAATTATGATATTTTATCTTAACGTTTTTTTGCAATTTAGGCTTTAGCTTATGGTGGAATTTGATAAGTAATATATAAAATATTCCTGTCCGACCTTTATGGGCTCTAAAACTTCTCGCTTGCAGCTCATATTTTATGTGCTCGATCTATCCTTTATAGTTTTTTGTTGTATATTTAATCTGAAGACTTTCACCTGAATTTCTGGCAGATTGCTTTAATGGTGTCATGACTTACCTCTCTGTACATTTTAAGAACTGTACCAATTTCACCGTCTACACAAATAGTTGTTGATGATTGATCAATGGAGTAATTGTCCCAATATGTCCAAATACGACGGAGCACCAAAGGCACAATGGTACGACTGTAGACAAATGAAAACTTTTAGTCCACCTACATAGAGAGTTAATATTTTTGAAATTTATCAAGATGCCTTTAAATTTTGAGTTCTTTTGTACTCTCATATAACGGAACTTTAACTGTGGACTTAAAATTGCTAGGTTTGTCTGTTGCATTTTAAGAATTAAAAAAAAATTCAACAATAATTGTAAATTCAAATAAGTACTGCTTGCCAATGGGCTCCCTATGTTGAAATTTCCTAAACTACCATATGTGACCACCTGGTGTATAACAAGGATTCCTATGTACCTTGGTATGACATCATGAGGTGTAATCTGTTCATTCAGGTCAACATTTCTCATTGTTTGCTCAAGGTCAGGATAACACCTGAAAAAGAATGCTGGTTTTTTTCTGTCTTTCTTCCCCATGTTTTTTTCCCCACAATTATTGCTTGTCATGGAAGACATTATTATGATGTTGTTTATTATTTTATGGATTTTCATTATCATTACAGCCTTTTGCAAAAATTATGAGAATCGTCGAAATATCTAAATATCATAATATCAATTGCATGATGAGTAATCCCGCGCGATTTGTCCTTTGTCTTTGTAGTTTAGTTTTTTTCGGCGGCGACGGACTTATCCGTAGTTCTGAACATTTTCTCGATGTTAACAATGAATTATTCTAGCAAACCCGCGTGTTCGGGACAAAGGDYYKCGCGCKGGATYACCCABCATGCACTTGATATTATGATATTTAGATATTTCGACAATTCTCATAATTTTTGCAAAAGGCTGTATGTATTATTTACAGAATATTTCAAGGATATGAATACATAAGAAATTATGGGAAATCAACGCCAAATTTTTTATAGACTGTAATAGAGCTAGATAGCCAACTTAAAAAAATATCAGCAATGATATCCCATAATTTCTGATATATTGTATAAATTTATATACTTGGAATATGTCTCACTTCAAAAGGATCACAATTTCTGCATTTACTGTATTATTATTATTATGGCATCTTTATTGAAAACTTTTCTTTTTTTGTTTATAATACAACATTGCGGGCATAACCTAAGCAATTGCTGCAGTCCAAGTGTTCCTAGTCACGAACGTACATGTATACTTAAATAAACTCATAGAATTTCTTAACTATTTCAGCATTTTGCGATAGGAGCCATTTTTGGCATTTTGTTATGATGAAAGTTGTTTCTTTTCTATCGTCTGTTAGGATGTTTATCCCTTGTTCTAGCTGGGGATAGTACCCTCCAAGGAAGTCAAAGACAATGTTTATCTGAGTGACAGATTGATTATTATTATTATTATTATTCTTTTTTTGTTTATAATACAACATTGCGGGCATAACCTAAGCAATTGCTGCAGTCCAAGTGTTCCTAGTCACGAACGTACATGTATACTTAAATAAACTCATAGAATTTCTTAACTATTTCAGCATTTTGCGATAGGAGCCATTTTTGGCATTTTGTTATGATGAAAGTTGTTTCTTTTCTATCGTCTGTTAGGATGTTTATCCCTTGTTCTAGCTGGGGATAGTACCCTCCAAGGAAGTCAAAGACAATGTTTATCTGAGTGACAGATTGATTATTATTATTATTATTATTATTATTATTATTATTATTATTATTATTATTATTATTATTATTATTATTATTATTATTATTATTATTATATTGCTCTGAGTAACGTTTTCCTGAGCACAATAAATTTGGCCTAGTAAGTATTGTGACGTCCTTCTTCTATCAAATTTATTCAGTGTCAAACAGTCCTCCTTAATTACCACACAAACATTCAATGAATATGATGTAAAAAATCCACAATTAAAGATAAGTTCTTAAAGGTTTGCCATTCTTATCATCTTTTCATTATATCCTCTGTTAACTCTATTTGCAGTCATCTCCAGTCTAAGCTGCCTATAAGAACATTTCATAATTTTACCATTCGCTACACAACACCCTTGCTACACGAAAAAGCCTATTTAAATGGGGGTCGTCACAAAGTCCTGATTGCTCTTTCTGCCTTAATCATTAATCACTGCACTCCTCTATGATAATGATGGTTGCCAGCGCTACCTTAAACACTTCACCTGGAGACATGACTCAACTCTTAACTTCATTGTTACCTCACTTAAAAATGCAAGATCTAATTGATTATCGAGCTAGTGATTATATGCGAGTTAAATTTATTAACCTCCCATGAGTTGTCTGGGTATTTTTTTCAAATGAATGCTCCACCTTTCTAGAATGTTTGAACATTAAAAATTAAAAATGACATTGGGATTCACAAAACACAGTGTCACTATATTATAAGAAAAATGATACATCTTGCTGTTAGAGCCAGCCCATTGTATATTTTGTTGTAGAAATAAGACATGGGATAGCCTCATATAATTATCTATGAAATACCTGTCTATACTTCTCCCATTTCGTAAAGTTGATATTTTCACTAGTGAAAATAACATGTTATATAACATGTTCTCTTATATAGTGAAGTAAGAAAATAATTTGCTTTCATATACAATTATATGATAAATAGAATATGACATGGTCGCTTGGAGATACAAATTTTTTGCTGCGCTCACTCGTGAGAGATCTTTTCAACACTCGAAGATAAAATCCATATCTCCGCACTCCCCTGTAATATCCTGCTCTATTTTCATTTGATTTTAGTATTTTATAAATTCATATCTGTATTATTATTATCATTTCAAGTAGCCAGTTGTAAATTGTTTATAAGTAATGAGATTTACAACTGCAATAATCTATAAACAAAAATGAACTTTACGTTTTTATTGTTGTTGCTTTTGTTGTTGTTATTGTTATTTCATTATATCACAGGATATTTCTATTGAAATGAATTCCTGAATACAGGTCATTTTGCCCAAAAGATTGTTCACACAAGTCGGTTTACACAATTTATGTAATAGACAATTTTGTACAGAAAATGATCTAGTTAAGTCAAGCTCCTTCCCAGAGACTGACTTCGTCCATACTCCTTACAATTTGACTTAAATTATTATTTTGCTATATTTAAACTTTCTGGATCCTGAACAAGGATAAGTGGAACTTATTAGAACAATAGGCTATATAATTTGCATTTATTAACAAACTTATTATCATCAATTATTATTATCATTATTTTTAATATAATTATTAATATTATTACAAGACATGCAATCCAGAATTGAGATGAGCTTATTGTTGAGGTTATTATGATCATACTATATTTTATTGTTATCCCTTTTTTTAGGCAAATAATTATAATTCATCTATAACTAGAGAGTAAATTAATAAAAACAAAATTACAACTGTTAAAACACAATCCATATTCAATAAAAAAATAAAAATGTCTTTGAGAAAACGGAACAATATAAAAACAATGTTTGTAAAACATACTTGGCCAGAGCCATTTCATAATTCCACACATGTGTGCAGTTCAAGGGACAGCAACCTACACAAGTATAAACACCAGTTTCAAATAATATATGCATAAACGCAACATCTATGATGAATAAATTTATAAAAATACATAGAATTGCACTCATCAAACACTTGAAGACAAACTAAGATTTTGCATTTTAAATTCATTGACAGCAACTTGTAATAGTGATAGTGAATGCACAGTTAATTACCAACCTTTCTTTTCGCTACAACCTGTTATAAAAGAACAGCTGAGCTTTAGTAATTCTATGAGTCTCCTGATGAAAAGTATATGTTTAGTTAGGTGCCCTCTAGTATAGGTTCACTGATACGTAATTTGCATTAAGTCAATCATTGCATTTTCTAGGGACCCTCATGATATACACTCCAAGCTAACTTTCAGAAAAAAAAATATAATGTGCAAGGGTGGCGGTGCCTTTTCTGGCCCTGGGGGGCTAAGAAGATTAATCAGTAATATATATTGTGGTCAAGAAATCCTTTTTTATTATCAAGCTTTCATTTTGCAGTAGATATAGCTGTTAATGAATTACATTATAGGAAAATACAACGAGCTCTTATCATGAAATAAAATAAAATTTTCGAAATACTGAGGGGGAGGGGGCCCAGCCGGTTCTGCCACCCCTGATGTGTAGATAGAAGTCAAAATAAATATTTTAGTCTATTATAAAACTCATTAATATTCATAAGGCAAAACACAATAGAAATCATAGCCCATGAAGAGAGTTGTATATTACATACAGATTTCTTGTTCATTTGCATAAACTTTAACTCTGATTTTCTCGGTCAGATTGATTTTTTTTTCAAAAGTTTCTTTAAAACCTGAGCTAGTTTACCTCAACGTTTCATAAGTAATATACAATATTCGCGGGCGATCTGTATGAGGTTTAAAACAGCTCGCTTTCAGCTCGCTGTTTTAAATCCTCATACAGATCRCCCGCTCATATTGTATATATTACATACATGATAAATTAATTGACAGTTGTGGAGTTACTGAATAAAAATAATAAAATACCTTCAAAAGCATAGAAATTACCATCAGCATTCCACATACAAGTAGGTGACCTAACCAATATTGAAAAATATCAAAATCTTTAATTGCAATGGGAATCGACATTTCACCTAACAAAATAATGTATTTGACATTTAGTCCATTACACTTTTTAGTGTTCAAGAGACTTGAAGCTAAATCATAAGAAACAAGAATCGAATATTTGCGATGATACAACTAGTCATTTCAAGTTAGCTTACTTCAACACACTGATACGCCCAGCTGCACTGTCAATCAGCTGCCATGGCAATGTTGCTTCAAACATTGAATCTCTGAAACTCCTTGTGAATGATGTTAAGTTGTCAAGATTTACAGCTGTGTAGGTTAGTACCTGGGTAGGGAGAGCTTGACATGTAATTCATTATGTACTTCATATTTTCATATTTGACTGAGTGTGGGATAGTTGTATTACCATGCAACTGATCTTTTAATTAATAATATCATAAGGCCAAAACATGTTCTTTTCTACCTCTTTGATGTCTTTCCAGAAGTTACTGTATTGATTGCCAATAAAAAATGCACTGTTTGGATTTGAATATTCAAGTCCTGGCTGATTCCAATCTACGTATCTAAATGACAAAATACATTCTCAACATTGACCTAAATTTAAATGGTCAAATACTCAATAAAAAACAAACAATTCCTTGCAAACCTGTGAGGAAAGTGCCAGGCCAAGAAAAAAGTGAATATCTATAATGAAGAATTAAGTTTTGTTTTAATGATTGTACAATTTTAATTTTAATAAATTATTGTCTTCATGCGGTACCTCTGACGTATTGGGCTGAAGAGTTCTGGTGCACCACAGTGCCCCATTCCATGTTGTACCAGGCTGAAAGTACAAGAATAAATAAGATGATAAATAATTCACGTTTGATATTATAACAGTTCTAGGAAATTTTAAAAAGACCTAATGTTACAAGTTCAATTACAAGTTCAACTTACAGGAGAAGGGCCAGTTTGTCCCTGACCAACAAGTGCATCTTTTGTAAAATGTTCCCACATCTCTTTCACTGAAGAATATTGAAGCTCACAACTCAGCTTGTCACCATCTTTGGGCATTACTGAAATGAAATTATATTATTGATCATTATGTCCTTTTATTAGCTCGCCATGACAAAAATATACAGTCAAGTACATAAATGTGGTGAGCATACCAGTGATACCCACATGTCCATTTGAGTTGATCTTTTCAGGGAGTGTTGGATTGTACATATCTATTCCATACATATCACTATGAAATACCATAATATTTAGTCACAACACAGGCATATTCAACAAAAACAAATCAAGGGCTGTGTAATCCAGGACTTTCTTCATGGAGGGTGCAGGTGACTGTAAAAGCTGGATACTTCACTATCAATCAACTATTGGTACCTGTTTTGAATCAAAGAGTTGATGTTTCCTCCATAGCCAGCATTGTGCACTGGAAAGCAGGGCAATCATTTGACCATTAAGTGAAGCAAGAAAACATGAGAGCAATTATTAGTTGTTGATGCAATTTATTATTACTGGACAAATCATAATGCCATCCTTTTCATTAGTCAAAAGGCTACCAAAAGACTGGAAACTATAGCAGTGAGCTGCTGGTAGAAGTCGATTGCTTAGCTATTAATCATCCACACACAGGTCTATAATGATAGGAATAGTTGCTTAAAAGTTACACACCTTCTGAAGTTATATCTGATGTTCCATCCCAACCAGCAATATTCTGAAGAGAACCTAGCAATGATACCTAGAAAACAAGATACTTTTTCATTTTATTTACTAAATGATACCTTTGTTTTTTGATACAGAGAATTTTAATATGAATAATACATCTAACGATTAATTTTTAGTCAAACCTTGGCTTCTTCTTTCCCGGTGTTGGTGACGGTGAAATTAAAGATTACAACAGGTAAAGCACTGTTCTTTGAATCTAAAGGGATAGTAGGGCTGAATGCTTCAAGGTGAATCTGAACAGGAACCTCATCACTTAGATAGTCCACTGGAACGAACAAAAAGAAATTTTAGGAAGAAGAAAATATTTAATTGCTCATGCAATTTTATAGACCATTGTCTAATCATACAGCTATGCAGACTAAACTCGACCTGTACCTTCTGCAATGGGATACTTTGCTGTAATTTCTAGAGTCTTTATCCCTGGAATGTCACTTAACAGTTGCTTTGAGGCTTCAGGCACCACTGCAAAAGATCAACAAATTTCACTCAAAAGATTCCACAATTTTACATCTGGCAAAATAGAACAATCATATTAGTTACAGAATATAATAATTACATTTGCTATAAAGCCTCCTCCTTGATACTATATTGGATTTCCCTTAGACAAATAGGAAAAGTGACACACTGGTAGGAAGGGTAGTTAGAGAGAGGAGGAATATTACATGAAAATACAGAGTCTGCCAAGTGTAGTCTATTGCATACCATGATCAGTAATATATGCTGCTGGAACAAAGCCTTCTTGGTTATACCATGTATCTGACTGCAGTGCAACAGCTTTTGATGTACTGCCTTGATCAACTCTACATCAAAACAGACCAGTGAGAATAATATTTCCTTAACCCTCTTCTTGCCTCAATATATGACACTAATATTATGCAAAGTTCTCCTTCAAACTATTCCTAGATGACTTTCTTAATGCCTTCACAATAAAATAAACCTAGCACACTGTTTTATAGACAAAATTATACCTTATAGCAAAAAAAGAATCTGGTGCAATGCCAAGGTGGTTGACTTCATTACAGATCTGCCACTGACGCAGGCCTCCATCACCAGCTAAGGCAATATTACCACCACCTGACCACCAGAAAATACCACTTGTTTGTTTGTTGTTTTTTTTCATAAGATAATTTGCATTATGTTTATCCATTCAATTGAGGATATTTGTTACAGTGTTGGCATTAGATAAGGCATTATGTTATCAAAATACAGATTGTACACAATTCGAAATTATTTGATTTTTTTTGCCATCCAACATGATTGCTAACAAAATTGTACAAAACCTACCATACACTACAACATGGCTATCTTATAAAGTTTAGAATAGTAATTGGTAGTCTTATTAAAAGGAAGTTACCAAGTCCTCCAAGAGGAAGAGCTACAGCTCTTAATGCTTCATTGCTGTACTTATATTCACTCTGGTTCATGTTTGTTCTAGTAGTAGATAAAAGAAATGTTATAAACTTTTTGATATATAATGCACACTCTGATTGGCTGATGACAATGTTGACATATTGCGCCATTTTTGAAAGTTGTGAATAACACAGCCACTTGTGTCTCTGTCCTTCTCACTTGAGAAGCAAGAGAAACACTCACTATGTTTGTGCTTCTAAGCTTGCTTTTCTCATGTTTTCAACTCCCACCGTGTTTATATCAGAGGATAGAGACACTTGCGCTGTTTTATAGTTCTTAACTATATCATACATTTCTACATAATATTTGAGATAATATCAGACCACAGCTCCAATGGAGACTTTTAATCATATTTGAACTAAATGATCACAGACCGTTTACATGGGCTTCCTCCAGTTTTTGATGGGGGGGGGGACTAAGCAATTTCCTATACCCATCCACTCCTATCATTCACTGATTTCTGACGGCTCATTCTGTGCCCGAATACCCAAAATAAAATGGTGACATTTTGACAATTTAGGTATGTTTTTGAGCACACAACGCCATATATTATATCATTCTCTGTATATTCCTCATGGAGACACAGTTGTCAAGGGAGTCACTATTCTCCAGGTGTTCCTCGATGCCAATTTGAAGCAGACTACACTGACCACGAATGCTCATTTTAAGACATGGTCTTCCATAGGATGTAATTGGTTTTAGTGCATTTTCATACTTTCAGTGTTTGAAATCTATACCTCAGATTCCCTAAAGTTGGGACCCCAGGATACCAGCCAAATGACTGGTACACATTATTACTATTGTTAAAATTATCATTATGCACTTACACCTTATTTGGGATTGTATCATACAGAGGTGGTGGTTCTGGAATAGGTCTGCAAAAGTCACCACAAATCTGCAATACAAAATTACATGATTATATTATACATGTATGTGATTGTTGTCAGAAGCCTGAAATTAAGTGTAAATTATGTGAAGATGTTTTTAGAACAGTTGCCAAGTTTCAATCATAATTTTAAGTCATTTTTTGATTCCTTGAATTTTTGTTATCCATTCAGTAATGATATAATTACATTATCATAACATACCTTTGAGCAACAACCAGATATGCTGCTTCTCTCTTTATTGTTTGACTTCATAGGAAATGCACTGATGTGCAAAGTATTTCTGTTCCCCTGTAATTCACATCCTGTGTTTATGGCCTCTTTCCATTCAAGTTCCGTTTTCCCCTAATAGCGCATCAATGATTATTCCTGTCAACTCATTGCTATCAATCAATCTCCTCAAAATCAATAGCTTTGTTTAATTATAAATCTCAAAAATAAATCTCTTATCATAAAAATACTCACAAATATCATATCTTGTTCATCATCAAAGTACTGGAAAAACCAAGCATTCTCTTTGTGTGACACTTGTTTTTCAAATAGTTTAACCACATCAGACCAACTGTAATAATTGAAGCACATGAATCATGAAAATCAACTTGTTTAGAAATTATTGGCACTTCATAATAGGAGATTCTCCTCCAAGCGAAGAGCCTCTTTATGAAATTTCACCATATATTCTATAAAAATCAAAACACTGGAAATGTTTACATGTTCACTTGGAGATACGGATTTTATCTTCTCGTGTTGAAAATCTCTCACTTGTTTGCTAACATTCACTCGTGAGAGATTATTTCAACACTTGAAGATAAAATCTGTATCTCCACGTGCCCATGTAATATCCTCTATGTGAATTACAATATATAGAAGCATATAGAAAATACATGAAATACAATATAAATACAATGTGGTAATGGCATATTTAACAAGATGTACAAAATTTGACAAAATCGATTTTTCCGTCCTGGGCCGCCAAAAATATCAGATTTGTTTGATTTGTATGGACATGCTGTCTAGAAAATTCTAAAATATGATCACTTTCCAAAGATGTGTCCCCCGGAGGGGGAGGGGGGGGGGGTACTCCCCTATATTCGCTACACGGGGAAGTGCCGCCAACCAGGGTATCATTTTCAGCGATTTTACTCTGGAACTGGGTATCGTTTTTAGCGATTTTACTCTGGAACAGAGTATCGTTTTCAGCGATTTTACTCTGGAACAGGGTCAGGGTTTTGAGGTCCCAGCGGCACACCCCCACCCAAGTTCCCCCCCCCCCGGGATGTGTCCTTTGATCTATCACAAGACTATCATTTCGTTGCATATCATACAAGCAAGGTTGGGCTGCCTGTGATTCTATCAAGGAATCGTTCATAGAGAGCTGTAACACGCAAAATGTTTTAAATAATCATATTTTACTATTCCCATACATTTACACAAATAATTAATATTCAAGTAAAAGAAAAAATATTCGCGATTTTCTATTTTGTTTTGATTCGTTATCGCAGTTTCTCTCGTGACTTCCTCTCATGTTCTTCTTAACTCATGTTAAATAATTTTTATGTTACCTGATGTCTTTGTTTTCTCTGAGCAAAATGCTCTTCTCAACTGTGTGTTGTTGATCAGGAGAGTACATGCAAATATGCACGTGAATATCTAGCTTGTCTGACATTTTAAAGCAAGTATTGTCAGAAAAGACTTCGCGCCTGGTCCTGTACATGCACGAAACCTGAATGGTCGGTCTCCTTATGGTGACGTAAAAATGACACAGGGAGACCACTATCACACACTCGTTCGGAGATCAAATAATCCATGCATCATTTATTGAAACCGTCAAGAACCCCGTGGAATACCGGGGAAATTAACATTTCAACAATGGCCGGCCCTTTAGCGAAAAAGTCCGCTAAACTGATCATTTTCTTTGATTTAGACGTAATTACAGTGTTAAATCTCCAGAATGCTTTAATTCCCCTGCCCTCACCGGGGCTGGGTGGCCAGGATTTCAATATGACTGATGCATTAATACTCCGATTTCGAGTTCTGGTTTCTTCTGTGTTAGCCTCAAAACCAAGCAACATATTCTTTTGTTTCAATGATAGCCCGACAAAACGCATGGAATTTGAAAAGAAAGACAATAGAATTGATTTAAAATSTCACACTTTTATTCTCACCATTAGGAATATTTTGCGCACAAATGAGGCTAACACAGAGCATTGGAGAATTCGAAACTGGATTATTGTCGCACAGCCAGTTCTTCGAAACCAAAAATGCCTCGAACCTGGCAAAGGCATTTTTGTTACATTTATTATCAATAGGGCATCAGTCTTATTCTATTTAAGAAAATTGGTCTGTTGTTGTTGTAGTTGTTGCTGTTGTGGTTATTTTTCTTTGTTTTTTCTTCTTGTTGTTTCTTTTTCTGTCATGATCCAGTGGAATTTTGAATCCTTTCCTCCAATCCCTGGAATTGTCTTTTGATATATAGATCTTCCTTTTGGAACTTAACTCTAGCTTTTGTCTTAAGGTAGGCTATGTAATCTTTTTCATTTGTGTTCATCTTGTCACATAAATACTTATTATACGAAGGCACGTCTTCCTCGATTTTAAACATAATTTCGCCAGTATCGGGCTCAATACTAGTTGACGTTATGCACTGCTTTTCAAGTGTCATTTTCTTCATTTTTAATTCCTTCAATTCGTTGTAAAAACTGTTATCTTGTTCGGATATTCTTTTCCATAATGTGTGGTTAAAGTATTTGTACAGGAGACTGTCTGCTTGGTTCCACTGGTGAATTTGCCTCTGCAACAAAGAAGACATTACACTTAGATACTTTCATTTCAATACTGACTGTTGAACACGGTTGCCGGCTTAGTTGTATACAGGTGTATTTAGAATTCACTACGGAAGATCTTTTTCCGATAGTGAAATTTTACTGCGGACCACAGACCGCGTAACCACAAGTCCCCAAACAGTAGGACGGGTATTCTATAATCGCTCGCATATTTTGTTCTCAATTTCTCTCTTACCATCATTTCAGACGTGATCTCCAAGTCTTTATAATCCTTATGCCTTTGTTTGTGTGTAAAATAGAGGACATCGTCAATATCCCAGCATAAAGCTCTCTTCAAAAGAACTAGGGATTCGTCCATGTATTCAGAAATCAGAACTAAGTCAATTATTTCATGAAGTGCTTCTATTGTTCTACTGATTTCATTTTCATTTGTGAAATGAGTTCGCATGAGACCCAGGTCGAACATTTGCCCTGGAACATAAAGCACTTTTTAAACTCACAACAGAATGCAAAACAATCCACGAGTTACAAAGACATGCTTGACTCAAATAAATTGACTAAAAGAAACTACGACGAGTTAGTTAATACTTTTAGTGACTAGCTACACAACGCGTAGTTGGACTGCTGACTAAGATTTCATAGTAATAGCAGAGGGAACTACCAGTCCACTCTACTAACTCTGCATTTTTTCCCGCAACTTGAGTAACTAAGATTTTCAGCTTTTCAACTTACCATTAACAGCAAGATTGAGCTTTGTGTCAATTTTTCTTTCATTTTTCAAGTAAGTTTTGAAAGATTGTTCAGGGGACTTGAGGAATTCAGCAAATGGATTCGAGGTGTTCTCCAGTCTGAATAAAAAGTCCAATTGTTTGCGGTAGAATGACGACTCGAAGTGGCTGACGGGATCGCGCACCACAGCGATTAAGAAAGCACCCTATAGGAAAATTAATATCAGAAGCCCAAGCAAATTCTTCAATCCAGAATATAAAAAAGCACAACATTTTTGCATTTTCTCTAACGGAACTAAGTTAAATATAATTTATATATATTCTCCGGAGGAATTTAAAAAGTACCCTCCCTGAAAGGTACCCAAAAGACTTAAAGGAGCTGGGGTGGCAACAAGATTCTAAAAGATTCCAAATTTATCTATTTAAGCATGTTTAATTGTCGTTTCATGAGAAATGAACTTCAAACACCTATGTCGAGACGTTGATGTGTTTACTAGCATACCTCCCTCTTCCACATTGCCATAGAATTAAGATGGAGCCGTGCGTTAACAAGCATATGAGGAGGACGAGAACTGTTCAAATAACGTTTATCGGTAAAGCTTGGGTTAAAGGGGACTGGCCAGTAATATTCGTACGAAGATTCCTTAGGTAAAGCAAACTCGAGGTCGTTCAAATCTCCATATCTGTAAAGAATGTTCGCTAATGTGCTGCTCCCCGTACGATGTGTTTTGAGAAGGACAACCTTCTGTATGGCGTTCTTGCCGTCACATTTAGGCCTGGTTTGGAAAGAAAGACCCAACGGTACATATATAAGTAGCTGTCTGATGGGATATTGGGGAACAGTTTTCATGCAGTGTCCCGCGTCCATCATCGCAGCTTTGGCTATTCCGCGCTACAAACACGAAGCTTCGTTCTAACTTGGAAAAATACGTCAAAATTTTATAACTTTACAAATTATAAAGTATTCTTAATATCAAAATCATATTTGTCAAAGAGCCAATTATTCAAACAACATTGATGTTGCAGCGATCGAGTTGTGTCCTAACTTTACTAAGGAAGCTTTAGCGGCTTCAAACCTTTTTCTTGGTGACGCATCTTCCTGACTATTCAAGTCATGTAGATTGAAATTGTAATCGATGGTTTCGTCTCGTTCAGCTTCGTTTTCTCCGTGCATTACGTCATATCCATTTAGATCAGTTTCGGCAACTGTTGGCTGTAACCTTGAGATGGGCAGGCTGAGCGTTTTGTGTTCAGTTGCTTCGGACTGTAGCGCAATTCTGTAGCCATGTTTGTCAAGATAATACAGCCTTTTCAAGCTAAGGAAAGATGGAAAATCAAAATATGAAATAATGGTGACAAGATAGTAATATTATATTAATTATAATTTTAGAACGCAATCTTAGCACCCCTAAAACTTTCCCGAGTTGCTCTAAAAACACTGTTGACCATTTCTTTCATAGTTATCAAGTGGTATAAGTATTCCAAGTACTTAAACAACTGCACACTAGCGGTATAAATAACTAATCAATATAGTTTAAATACATTTTTATTTTGCATTATTTTCTGCATTTTACAAATTGTATTTTACACAATGGTATCTTTTAGCACTAAGAGAATATGAATGCTAGTGTCTTAATTTACTCATTGTTAGGTTTATTTTAAACGCTCCTGGAATTAAGAGGGGGTTTGCTTTGAAAGTTAAAGTACTGCAACTTAGATAAGGAGTATGTCAGTTGAGAAAAAAATTCAGAAATATTTTTAGTTTTAAATATACTCCTTCTCAAAGATAACGCAAAACATGGCACCGTAATATTGCGGTTATATCTTCTTATAATGACTATATAATGATCCCAAAATATATCAGAAAACCGTTATGTCTTGTGGTTATATCTATAACGATCCCAAGACATCATCCAAATACTAAAAACGGGAAAAAAGAGTTTTGTGAAATCAGCGCATACTTACATATTGAAAATATGCTAGATAAGGGTTTTTCATATAAAGTCATATTTAACACCGAGTTATTGCGTAGAGGAGCCACAGTGCGAGCACTGTATAGCCAATTCGGCCGTTTCGCGCTGATACATTCACGGCCGTGAGCGTGAAGAAACGCATCCTATTTTGATAAACCCTAAGAGCTAACCTTGGCAATTTTGTAGCGTACAAATGACGGCTCATCTTCCATGACTCAATGGTATTTTCCACTTGCTCTGAATATAGCGAAGAGTTGATACTATTAAACACAACTAGGACAATGACAATACCAAGAAATATAGCTGATATAATAGACGAATTCCATGCGTTACGATACGTTTTCATGTTTACAGGAATGTGGACTGCATAGTTTCAGTTCTTATAGTACGATGCAATTGCGACGACAAAAGACTCATTGTAAACAAGAGTACGTTCCCTAGCTTCTTTGAAAGCTAGAAAACGCGAACAAGTTGATCACATGGTTGATTCAAGGAACCTGTTCACTTTTAACAGGTATTCGAGAAACACAGGGAGTCCGTAATTTTGATTGCCAACACCAACAATTATTAGTCCACTTACTTAATGAATTAGTAAATGGACAAATACTAAAACAACCAATGTGTGAAGCATACATACAAGAGTAAGTTAGCAAGTACAAATAATAGGATAGTAATATATTTTACTGCAAGATAGTAGTTTTTGATATAGCCGAAATCGTAAAATTGAGTTATTATTTTTACTTTTTTATTTGTAATTGTTTATCAACGAGAAATAAAGATTATTATTATTATAGTAAAAATAATATCAATCACTTGTCAATCATATCAAGCGACTTCTCGTAACAAGTAAAGAAATACATCAACGGGTTCCCTCTGAGTTCCCTTCAAGTTGTAGGGACTTTCGAAGTCTATTTTTGATCAATGCCATTGACCTTCATAAAAAGTACGTTCTTAAAAGATACGGAGCCACTTTTTTAATTGTACCGGATAGTAAATCAAGTGACCATTAACATATGACGATTTGAAGAGCTATCTAAAACTAACATTTTGCTCTCGAAAATCGCCAATGTTTAAACTGGAATTAGTCATTTCTTGTTCGTGAACGGAGCTTCTATTTTCCGACCAAAAACTAACTAACTAACTAACTAACTAACTAACTAACTAACTTATGCAACGAAAACGAATATCTCTAAATAAACCGGATTTGAGAAAAAGCACGGAGCAGTAAGTTAAGGAAGATCGTAATAAATGGCCAAATTGCAACCAAGTTTCCGTATATTGGATTAGAATTGCTATCATATATTAAATCTTTCCTATGACCATCATGCATAGCAACATTCTAAGAATGATTGACAGTTTATCGCTTGATCGCTTTGCATATGATTTTTATCCAGCAAACGTTCTCTAAGCTGCCACCATGACTTCATATCGTCAACTGTTCACTTGGGTTTTGCTTGTACCTTATCTCACGACATCCATAGGCACAACCCGAGGTCTGCCTAAATCTTTGCCTACGATGGGTCGTAGTAAGGTAAGAATGATGCTATATCAAACACTTGCTTTCGACTTCCTATCAATTGTTAGTTCATCAACTACTCTTTCTTTTGTCATGGTTATAGCCTAAAAAATTCAAACTCAATTCGATTTTAATTGAATTTTTTTCAAACAAACATTTTTTTTTCAATCAGGACATATTACTTAGCTTTGAAACTCGGTATGTATTCGCAAATCAAGGAACACAATGTTGTCCCTAAGAAATTATTAAAGTTTGTCAAACTTCCTGTTGTATATTTTCTTATAGATAGAAACCCAAGACACTTAAATTTCATAGAAAATATTCGCCAAATTGTTGGATATCCAGTGTGGAGTTTGTTCTATTGTTTTTAGCTCTAGTTTTGCGTACGGTTTTAAATTTATGTATACAGAGGTCAACATTTGACCGCTGAAAAGGATTGTGTATATCCAAATTAAGTTGAAAACGTAATCAAAGAAAATAAGAAAAGACAATATCACGGGCTTTCCTAATAAAATCGATGAAAAATTTGTATGATGCTATTAGAAAGCCTCAAAAAGGACCGAAACACAACTAACTGCAACTATAATTAGGGAAAGCCGAAATACTCAGCTCACGAACTATCTCGAGGCATATATGATATTTTCAAATTATCGCCTGCCGACAGGGTACGCAATCTATTTACATTATTTATTGTACAATTACTCTTCTTTCGCCGTAAACTGTAAACAGGTACCGACAATCAATCTAGTACTTGTTTTCTCTCGAACATCATTGCATACAAGTACCCACAGGTAATCTGAGTTACAATCAAACGAAAATTAATGAGTATTTTCAAAAAGTCTTTTTATAGTCATCACAATGGTATACATATTTTTTTTTGCGTAGGGGACTGTCAGCGTAGGGTGAATTGTAGCAGAAAATACTCAGGTTACTGACTACAGAATAAAACCTACAAATGTTTCTATCAATTAAAACAATATTATATTTTGATAAAAGTTTATCAAATCCTCGAGATTCACCGGCCTTGAACTTCAGTGAGATTTTACAAAGGTAAAAAAAATGCGGCGTGGTTAAGGCAATTTAAGGCAGGCATTTTTTGTTACAGTGGATAGCCACCGCACGAGATCGCAAAAGATCTACATACTGCTGACTGGTATTTTGAGTGAGCACAACTATGAGGACGCGTATTTTAAGAAGAAATCACCTTGCGGCTTGAAATAATTTTACATGCATCAGAATTAGATTTTAGATGTGGAGTGGCTTTTGACTCGAGGGGAAACTAAGGAGTGTTTCTGCTTTTGACTTCAATATTAACCCTGTTTGGCAAAGATGTCAAAGATGAAAATTTTGGGCATTATAGATGGACCCGGCGATCGTCGACTTGATCGATTAGGTCTTTTTCATGTCCAATTCTATCTGAGAGTCTCATTGAAAGAAGCAGGCTGGTTTCTTTTGCTTTTTTCCCCTGGTGACACGTGACCGACCAAAAACAAACAACCTATAATCCGCTTCAAATATTCAGATCCTAAGACTTTTAAGCGAATATTATTGAATGCCTTTTAGAAAATACAGATCAAAACTATCCTAGCTAGCATTGGTGCTAATTGCAAACTGAGATGCCCAATCAGACTCTCTGAAAATGTGCAATGGTACATTAATGGAAAGCTACTGAACCATACCCAAGAGACGGCAAAGTTTTCAATTAAACGACGTCATAGAAAAGAGATACTCAAGATATCAAAAGTGATGATTCAAGATGGTGGCACGTATTCATGTTCGGTGAACGACATTACAACATCTTGGAGGGTTATTGTCAAGAAAGGTTAGTTATCGTATTAGATATCTTTCAATTAGGACGAAATAATTGTATTCTATTTTTACAAGCTACATGAGGTTATTGGTAATAGTATAAGATGATAAAAGCTGGGGTTCAATTTTGGAAACACAAAGCACGAAACAAAAGACAGGGGTGGATCCAGGATTTCCCCCAAGGAGTGGTGCGGGACTCTGAGGAGGGGGTGCAAATCATAACTATTGAAGATACAAAACAAGGAGCCACCTGCTGGATCCGGCCCTGAAAGATTGGAAAAATTTTCATTGAGTTCGGGACACGAGAGATAGGGAGCCGGCATAACTTGGTTTTATGATATTTCAGATAAGAAGAGTGGATGTAGACCAAAACGTCACACGCCAGGTAAGAGATCATTCTATTTGTCTGCATTACTTCTGCATTTTAGAAACTGAAGTTTGGAGATTAAACAATCCGTACATGAGCTCGGGGGGAGGGGGCGCATGAGTAACGGTGTACAATGGGAAAACTTAATCAGCCTTCTTTATAAGGAACACACCGTCGATAAGTGCACTTTGAAAATATCTGCTATTCTTAATTTTCTTCTATTATAGCATCTGATGAATGTCCAAAAAGATCTGGCACAAAACGTAACTATTTTTATCATTTGTTTGATGAGAATTAGATAAAGTATTTCTCGACATTTTATTATTTTGGAAAGTTAATTATGATTGGAATTAATATACATGTGCAGCAAATTTTTCTTTAGTTTTGCAAAATTTATTTATAATATTTTTCTATGCTGTAACTCGTAGCATTAACCTATTGCACCCAAGCTTTAAATTTCGAAAAGTGTTCATCCTTTGCTGGAGTTCCACAAGATTTTAAAGTAATCGAGTTTCTTCACAAACGCAAACCAGTCATACAAGCTGGATGGAAAATGCCAAGAACAGGTAATCTGATTAGGAACATGCATGACTTCTTTCGCGTTACATTGACATCTTGTTCTATATGTTCACAGGCGCGTCGCGTCCTTTTATACTCATATACGCACTAGTAGCAAGGAAATATTGAAATTTTGGGGATTTAATGCCTTTTTTATATTCTCGACGCCCCTCAAAAGGCTTGAAATCGCATTTCAAAATTTCCCGGGGATGATCTCCGACCGCACATAATACTCCCGTCTTCGGCGGTCGTTAGCCCCCCTAATCCAAAATATGTGTCGCGGTCCCTAACATGTGCGTACTAGCCAAAACGCCCACGCTACGCGCCTGGTTCAGAGTTAGATATGTTCCAACTTAAGATGTTATATGCCTCTATTCCATAATTGAAACATGCCTGTAGTGCCATAAACAGATCAAAAGTTAAAATGCGAACTTCATGGATAATCATGCTAAAAAGTGTACGTTTTTGAAATTCATTAATCTTGAGCTTAAGATATTTGATCACTCAAATCTTTATCAAATCCCGGAGATAACAGTATTTTATAAACATAAATAAATTCTTCTTTTCGATTTCTAAGTTAATTTATTCATTCATTTATTACAGGCAACAATGATTTGTGGGGATATGACCTTGAACTTGTTGGTCATAGAGGAGATCTTGGAGAACGACAGTGCGTCGAGATTTACCAAAAAGTAAGATAGAGTAACATAAAAAATATGTTTGACATTTCTCTAACATCCAATATAACGTAAATATATAGCCAATAATCATCGTTTGTAAGGGCCAGGCTGTACTTTGTAAATACAATCAATCCATTAACGTTGTTCAGTTGTAAATAAATAAAGACAACAACAAAACCATTTGCATGAATCATACAACATTCAGTTCCAAAACGTTTTCACAATGTCACTGAATAACATTTAAATAGAGTTTTAGAATTAGAATTCTTCCTGGGAAACCTTTTAATGAAAATAACTTTGTTGTTTTCTTTAGGTCTTAACAATGAACAACTTTAATTTGACTTTTATAATTTTAGTTGACGAGTAATTTAAAGAATATGGTCAGCCAGATTCTTTTATAACTGACGCACTCATGACCGATTGCTTTGATTACATCGTTTTACATAGGATTTAACATATTGGAATTTTATGAATCTCAAGTTTGGTGCAGAATATAACGTAAAACTGCGGAGTCTGCCTTCTAATACATTTCACAAACTGAAAATCAAGATAAAAGGTAACAATGATGATTGAAAAAACATATTCTGTTTCGGAATGTAACATCTTTATTCTAATTGTTGTGTTGTTTAAATAAAACGAGACTGTGTGTTTTATCTATTAAACTTCTAATGAGCATGTGCGTTGTGCCACAATTGAAAGAATTTTGATCCCACACGGAACAATGGCTAGTCTATGCTAATTACATGTCTGCACATCGATGAAAGCTGATTTATTAAAACCTAGCAAAGGTCTATGATGCGACATTACATGGACCGCGGAGCGTGAATTTGTTTGGGGGGCGGCTAGCGGCGAGGAGGTACTAGGGTCATTTCCAGCGTTTTGAGGCGTTATCAAAGACATTTTTACCGCACACACGGTCAGCGATATTATCAATAAATCCTAAAGACTTCGCAAAAAAGCTTCAATTTTAATTGTTCACGTTCAGTTTTTACACAATTTTTATAGAATATATATGGTGAAATTTCATAAGGAGGCTCTTCGCTTCTTTATTTAAAAAAAATCAAAATGTCGGAAAAATTATTGGGGGTCCTGTAGCCCCCCCCCCCCCCCCCCCCCCCCTGCTCCGCGGTCCATGCATCATAACTGAGACCTTTGCTTGTGCTGGGTTGCGATAAAGCGCTGATGAACTTGAACATCAGTTCCTTATATCTGATATAGAACTGATTAATAAAACATCAGTTCTATGTATCTGATATCAGAACTGATTAATAAAACATCAGTGCTTTATCGTGATATAAAGGCCCCTCATGTGACCCAATAGTGAATGAATTATTAATGAGTTCTAGAAGACAAATTAAAAAACGATCAAACAATTATTTCCTGGAAAAATATCGTTTTTAAATCATTACTTTTCAGAGAAATGTCAATATGAGAAGTTTAAACTGGAATCAGCGGCATGCTGTAAGTTGTACTTATCTAGTTTTCTGTTATTTCTCTAATGTGCAGTAAATGTGCGTACAGACTTCTAAAATCGATATATTAAGTGTTTCTAGGCAAATTGATCAAACAAACGACATCAGTTTATGGTGCATAATGAATTCATTATAGTCCCGGGCATAATTACAAGAAGCAGTGCTCAATCAAATTCGTAATTCAGACAATTACCGAATGACCAGACAATTTCTTTTGCCGGACAGGCTTACTATCAGATGAAAACAGCACACTAGTCGCTGATGAGGGAAAGATTCTTCTGTCATGGAAGGTTCAGTGCCCAGAAAACGGGATTTCTTTAAACCGCTTCACTATTTACTGGTCCAATCTACAACTCTTCAATAGTCAAAAATGTACCGATGAGGCGACGTTCAATCAACATCCAATTTCAGAAGTAAGTATTTAATAACGAACGCAATTGGTTAAATTATGAAGACATATAAACACGAACATATTTTATCTTTTTTCAAAAAGGCTTTTAACTATACAATACATCTAAATGAAGAATGCCAAAGATACAACTATTCCATAAAGGTAATTATTCTAGCTACGCCATAACTTACTTCCATATATTGATAATTACAGCCTTTTGCTAAAATTATGAGAATTGTCGAAATATCTAAATATCATAATATCGAGTGCATGATGGGTAATCCCGCGCGATGCCCTTAGTCCCTTGTCTTTGTAGTTTAGTTTTTTTTTGGCGACAGACTTATCCGTAGTTCTGAACATTTTCTCGATGTCAACAATGAATTATTCTAGCAAACCCGCGTGTTCTGGACAATATATGGATATGGATATTATGATATTTAGATATTTAGACAATTCTCATAATTTTTGCAAAAGGCTGTATATGTGTAATGAATACAAATGTATAGATCGCCCGAAAACGTTTTTCTGGCTTCAACGAGAATCGAACCCATGACCTCTGCGATGCCGGTGCAGTGTTCTACCAATTGAGCTATGAAACCAACTATATTGGCGAGCGGTCATTTTATTGGGTGAAACCATCCATACATTTATTAATAATCGCTTAGATTATTTTACACTGCGACGATTATATTCATTACGCAGTTCGAACCATTGCTTCATCACATATAATTATATGTTAGACAGAATATTACATGGTCGCTTGGAGATATGAATTATATCTATTCGTGTTGAAACTCTTTCACTGTCTTTCTCTTTCTTATCTCTGTCTTTCCAAAATATCTAGCTCGACTTCACGCTCTAAGAGCGCCTAGGTCAAAATTCACGACTTTCCATACTCAGGTTCAGTGACCACGAACAAAGCATTGAACCGAGGCGTCAAGGAACACTGATCACAGATCATTTCTTTTATGCTCACTGTACCTTGACGCCTCGGTTCTATGCTTTGTTCGTGGTCACTGAACCTGAGTATGGAAAGTCGTGAATATGCCTAAATTGTCCTGTAAACAACAAATGAGTACAAACACTAAAACTGTGCAACATAAATACCACTAAATACTGCTGAATTTCAATTGTTTAATTAACACTATTTTGTAGTAAATAGTGGAAAATGTTGCACACATTTAATGTTCGTACTCTACCATGTTTGTCTAATTTAACAATTTTTAATGCAATGTTTAAAGAAAAGAACCTACTTAAAGTATGCTTGTCGAAGTTTTTATGTACATGGACCAATTACTAGTCAAAGGAATCTCTAAAAAAGTAACAATGTGCATATATCTATAGCATTTGTTCCACCTGTTGCACGAACACGAATTTGGTACGATAGGAATGCGAAAGGTAAACTTAAACTAGCCCGACTAAAAAGGATTTTCTTATGAAGAATAAAGACGAAAAAAAGGAAAAATTAATGATCGATTTCTAAGTGTGAGACTCGAACTCTCGTTACAGTCTCTAGGGGAGGGAGGAGAGGGCAAACGGAAGGGGTTATAACCCCTAGAGCCACTTCTCAGATCGACTACACAATAGCCTGGACTGCCTGTGAGAAAACGATCAACTTCTTTTTCTCCATTTAGATAAATGATTGTTTGGATCTTATACAGGTGTATGGAAGAGACAGCAATAATACGAGGACCGACAAGGGAGTTAGAATCGTTGTTGCATTTCCTGAAAACACAGGTAAATGCGAATAGACCGGATAAACCGGGCCCCCTGATAGAGACGATGAGACACACATTCCAATGGAGACTTTTTGCAAAACAATTTCATGCAATATAAATCATTCTTATTTTTTTCACTTCAGTACCAATTCAACCACCTCCATCACCCAAGAAATCAGGAAGTGACGATAGTGATTTGAAGATCATTGTTGCTGTATTTGGAGTTCTCCTTGGTTCGGCACTTGTTGCCCTGTTTTTTGTTTATAGACGTTTTTGCGGGACAGGTAATGCATCTAGCAGCCCAAACTATATAATGATCATTATTTCATACTTGATTCAGTTTTCTTTGTTATTCATAGTGTTGTATCTCGCTTATTCCSCAGCTCGTTGTGTATTCAAGTGCTTTATATCGAAGTTTCAGGGATATATCTAGATATCGCCCCCATTTGAGGGCAATATCTATATATTGCCCTTGAATACTAATGTATATTGCCCTTGAATACCTACTACTGCGTTCAACTTAGAAATTTTCCGTCTGAAACTTTAAACTTGAAAGAAAGAAAGAAAAATTCAAATGACACCAAGTAGATTCGAACCCACAACCTTAGCTTTGAAAATCCTATACTTAACACGTTATGCTAACTGACCAATCGATGTCAGATATGGAATAAAACAGTTATTTAACATTGTCCAGTTACTTGTTACAAGGTGTATTGTTAGCATTGGTCTCATGGGACTAACGAGAAAATTGGTTATGCAAATTATTCCCGTTGGGAATGGTCAATAATGTAAATTTCGGAACATTTCTAATCGAGGTTTTGGTTTTTAATTCTTATGAAAACGGCTTCTTTGCCTATTTAAAAATGAAAATATTCATGCAGTGCTTGGAAAACTTCTTCAAGTATGAAATAAGCCAGTTAAGGCCCTCGGGATGTATTAGGCTGATTGCCTCCGTTCTCGGTATGTAACTCTTACATATACGAGGATCAGTATCAAATATAATGGCTTTTATTTCAGTCAAACTTGAGCTACCACAGAATGCAAACGATTCACATGGAGATAACAACGACGGGGCATTAATAATGAAAGGTGAATCTATGGTCGTATATATGCCAATAACAGTATAAGGCTCAAGAGTCCATTTAAGAGTCTTCCTGGTTGACAAGCTTTTGTCACCTGGAGGGTTTACGGTTTACACTATTAACGGAAAGATGCTTGCCTGAATTGCATGTGGAGGTTAAGCGCATTATAGTTTTGCCGTTTTTCCATGATGGATGATGAGCTATTATCATGCCCAAACAACACAGACTACCGGCTAGTATATTGTCAACCAAAAGTGCACAGCACTTTTCTTATTGTAAAACTAACTTGAGCAATTTCTTGTCTCTAAATTCAGAAAAAAGAGTTTTCATAATTCACGCACGTTGCTGTGATAAGTGTGACTGGGTGATCCATTGCCTTGCAAAGCTTTTAAATTCAACCAACGCCATAGAAGCAAATGTTGACTTGTGGCACTTACAAGATATAGCCTCAGATCCAATGAGGTATGTAATTTAATTCAACCAACTCTTTGATAAATGGATGTAGCTATTAGAGAGACATAACATCTAATTTCATTCCATTTAGAAGATGCAATAATCGCTCTTTGTTGTCTTATTACTAGATGGTATGGAATGGAAGTCGCTAATGCCGACGGCGTGGTCATTCTGGCGTCCCATCACATGAAGAAATTGTACGATTGTAGAGACACGCCAAAGACCACGAAAGATTGTAAGAATGTATTTAAATTTTAACAAGGCGACATTGGAAATAAATGGTTGATATTATCATATATAATTATTCAACAGTGTTACCTGTTAAAGCACAACTCAACTTCGTGGCAGGCGAAATTCGTCAAGAGCCAGGCAGTCGAAAGTTTATCTCGGCATACTTCTCGTACAATGGGCAACAAACCGACTTTCCTTCATTTCTCAACTCAAGGCTTGCTCACAAGTTACTTAAAGACCTGGATAGGTTCATCTTTCACTTGCTAAGAATTGAAGCTATTCAGCCTTATCGTACTCAACCTATTGCCATTTTAGGCGGAACACCGGCATTTAACTCGAAGAAAGAAGATCTTCTGCGCGCAATTAGCGAAGCGAATGAGTATCACGTGACAAAAGATCAGAACAATGCAATGACAACCCTTTCAACATAGATAGATCGTCAGTAAACCATGTAAAGAACCAAACAACAAATAAATTACAGCACCATCTCCTCCGAATCAGAACTAAATCAAGTTTTCATGGTGTTTGGGGTATTGATCTCCGAAAATGGATCTACGAAAATGTACCAACATGGAAAAGGCTTAGAGGGGCTGGCGCTCCTCAAAGAAATCGAAGTGGTAACATTGGTTTTCATTGTCATTGAAACAAGTTATTAGATACCAAGGAAATCCGTTTAATTTACTTAGTGCTAAAATGTTTGTCAGTCGGTTAGATAAATTTCATGATTCTAGTTTGAATTCACTGGTTGCTTGACAGGTTTATCACAGGATGCTTTTAAAAATGATAGTAATTCATTGTGTAGATAGTACCTAAGACTCGCTTATCAGATCATACATATACTAAGCCATAGAGATTGCGGAGGGACTCGAGGAGGAAAAGGGGATTTTGGAACAATCTTAGTAGAGAAAAATTGTCTTGAATCTTCTAAACTTGATGACTGCTAAAACAGGACTGAAAAAAATTGATTAATGAATTTTAATGAAAATAGGTTGTCAAAGTTCTTTCAGTAACATGACCTATTCAGTTTTTTTCCGAAGTGCCGGCTCTTTTGTACCCCTTTCGTCCTATCTTTCTAGGGCTCCAACATATAGAAATTATTATCAGCAAAGTTAGAAAAGCGGACAAATAGAAAGTGCTTCTGTCGATCAGAATAGGACTCGGTCTGAAAAACATCTAATTTGGCGTTCACGATCTATGAACACCAGTTTTTCAGATGAAGTCTTCCAGACGAAATTCACTGATTCTCAAACAACTCCTGTATTTATAATACGGTCGGTTTCAAACAGGGACTGAGAGGTGAATAGTCTATATGGTAGATCGATATCCAGAAGCCTGTCAAAATCACCGGTAATTCATATAAAAAGCATGTCACAATATTTGAGAACACTTTGTTGTGGAATAAAAACGATGTATAAACAAATGTTATTCCCGCATACCTGCCACTGTGTAAAGATCTGTCAGGATAATTAAGACTGACGGTCTTCCTGTGGCGAAATCATAAGTGCTCGAGGGAGTCCAATAACAGAGAAATGGCACAGGTCAAACATGAAAACGCACGTCAACTCTGCAAAACCTAATGGGCTTGGACGTTCTCAAAACATCGATATTTAAAGTTGTTTAGAGAGTCATGTCCTCTTTGATTGATCATGTTAATGTTCAATTAATGTTAACATTATATAAAGCTACTGGACTAGGATGTTACATTTTGATCCTATGATCAGATCAAACTAATGGAACTCAGTAGAAGATCACTTACAACAGTATTGATTGCTTTAAGTTCTATCATCCTACATGAGAACTATGGTAAAAAAGTGTCCCGTGCTTTGATTAAGGTAAGTATGTTAGCAATTCTTAGGTCCATTTGTGCAACGAGATTATTATATTGATCTTGATTATAATAACAATGCATAAACACAAGGCTCACTTTGCGTTGTGTCGTGGTATTTATTTGGACCATGTTACTATTTTTGGCGGCATATAATTTAGCGGGATTGATATCCCGTTGGATCTTCCCGTAATCCGCCTTCATTTTCTTTGTTTTTCGTTTTTTTTTATTCAAGGCATACTAAGTATTAACGGAATTCACCTGGAAACGGAAATTGATCAAAAGTATGTGTTATCTCATTCACATGGAATATCTGTTCATTCAGAGTTATCGACAGTGTTCCATATAAATTTATTCATTCATTAATTGGTGGTCACGTGAAACACTTGCATATCAAGCAAAATTACGAGAATTACGAATTTTCGGTAATAAATAAATAAATAAATAAATAAATAAATAACTCTATTTTACGAGGGTAGCTAGCACATTACAGTCAAAGACTGATAAACTCGTGGCCCTCCCGAGTAAAAATGTGATTACTGTTCAAAAAATATTTGAAATTAGAAGGAATATGAGATTTGGAGAATAGATATATACACACATGGTACCAAGCTGAGTGTCATCTTTCTCTTGTTAATAACTGTATTTTGGTCAAAATTTATGATGCTCTAAAGTTTGCTATGTCGTGTAAAAGCAGAACGATCGTACATGAAACTATTATACGTACTATAATGTAGAAAGTACAAGGTATATTATAAATCTAAAAATAAACTAAAGAATAGTAACAATAAAAGTGCAGCCTATACATGGCATTTGGGGGGGGGGGGGAGTAATAAGTATTTAAATAGATAAAAACACATGATAAAAACCAATGAGCAAGCTATTTTAGGCCAACTGAATTTGGTTAGATGGATTGAGTAAAACTTTTAAAACTTTTTCTGGTAAAACTGTCACTCCTTATTAGTATTCTATGTTTAGAGACATAAATCAAAAGGTCCAGGATCCTAGCAATGGTGTCAGGGTAATTTACATCTCTCATTCAACATGAAGTTTCAACAGGAAAACAGGCACAAGCATGACACATTTAATGTTGTTGAATGAGAAACATGCTTTAAAATTTTTACAGTGATTTGTATGATATTAAAACACTCCATCTCTCTTATTTTTTGTTTTTTTAATGGGATGCAAAGAGCAAAGATTAGGTTTATATTGATAATATTCTTCGCATTTAACCTTGTTCCAAATCATACAGAATTTCATTACTTTTCCAGGAAAGAAGCACTATCTCAAGTCAACTGCAGAATTCAAATGAACAATTGAGTGCATTAGACCCCTGTGGAAGGCCTATTCATCCTAAAAATGGTAATAGCTAGATTTATATTCTTTATGTATGTAGCCCTTCAAGTGCGACAGATCCAGTGTGGATTAAGGGGTGTTAATAAATTCCTTCCTCTTTTGTCGAGTGGTGAAGGGTTTTTTTACATTATCTATTGGCCAAAAATACACCCTGCAACCAGTGAAAAGTAATTAGCATTAGCCATGATTTATGAAATTACCTGCATTCACAACCAGTGCAATTACCAGACTCTAACTCATGAGGTAAGAACTTAGGATTTCAAAATACAGAGCCTGACCTGCAAATTCCAAGAAAAACTATTGTCTTTGTATTTTTAGTTTAACCTACAATCCTGAATATAATATTGGTATGTTATTGCAGAGTCAGATTGTAAATCAAAGACATTCAGTAAAGAACAATATCCTAATTGTCATTCCTTTGCTGGAAAACCATCCAGAGTAATAGTAAAGCAAATATTTAAACATGGAAGACAGCCAGGGATAATTGTTGAATTTAACCCACCCTCAACTGGTATGTAAAAAGTATTTGATTGTATATGAGCATGCATAATGTTGCATTTTCTACCAGTATCTTTAAGTTAGAATAACTTGAAATGTCCCTTTGCATGATGGGATGATCAATTGTATCTTTTAGGGGTACAAATTTGGGATCTGATATCTTTTAGGGTGTTTTAGACCAAGCTGCTGGTATCTTTGTAGATAGGAAATGATGACGTTGCACTTCATATCCATGGAACAATTAAAAATGCTTATTATTTTTAGTAAAAATCTTAAGTTGCAAAAAGGGAGCTCCAACTAACCATATCAGCTGTCGACGCCTGTGTCACATCTGGACAAACTACGTTTTTTTGTCCGGATGTGACGCAGGCTACTGTTGACATTGCAGGTTTTAAAGACTTATGGGCCTTTCGAGTTCGACTTATTGACCTTACATTAAACCATCCCAATGTGAACACTCAATGCAAGCAAATCAACTCAAAGGTACATAAAGCTGAGTTTCACTATATTTAATATAGATGATTTGCAAGAATATGTATTGATCCACTTTTCAGATGAGAGACAAGTTTGTTGTTCACTTTGAGAATCTTGGTTATGGCGATCACTATAATTTAAGAGTGCAAAGCATGCCACCTGATGGTGACAAAAGTACAGTCAGTCATGACATCTTCATTCAGGGTAATAATTATATGACCACAATATATATATTTATCATAAACTTTAGAGGGTTGTACGTTACTCTTGACCAGCTTGGGCTGTATATGTGGACACCATACATTATATTTTTCAAAATTTTAATATTAATAATTTAGGAAATTTTCTATTTTTATGAGTTATAACGAAATGAATCTTGTAAGGTTAATGTGACTCAATTCTGTCTGTTTAAACAAGGGATCATGCATAAAATACAATGAATTACATGTATGTCTGCAGATTCCCAAAAGAATAAGATGAGTGATCTTAGGAAGTCAATACATGAATTATAACAATTGCATTAGAATTGAAAAGAAAAATTGTTGGTTTTTACTTTTTCAGAACAATGCGACATCCTGCAATTTCAAAAAACCAAACACTGCTGTAAGTCATTTTTGCAAGGAAGCATAATATACTCAGCTCCTTTGAAATCCTATTCTGTTTAAGAATAAATTACAATATAGTTTTTTCACAGGTTATAATCTGAAATTTTCAGGTCTGTTTTCCAGTGTTTCATCCAATAAAAAAGATTATAAAATAAATGAAAACAAGGCAGTTGTTACCATCAATATTACATGGCAGTTAACATGTGAGTCAATACAACAGTTTAAACTAAAATGGAATACTGATGACTCTGATTGCAATGGTAGTGCTGAAGTAAAGGTGATTACTACATGCTTTATTCATGTGATAAAGGAGGCATTGAGGAAGGGGGGAGGGATATGGAAATTATTGCATCAATGAATTCAGGAAAGAATTATAGCAAATTATATGCAACTGAGCACGATCATTTCCTGTCAATGCCTTAAAATACGGTATGATTAATCATATTGCAATATTGCATTGTAATTGGCCATGGGAAATTTGATTAATGCATATTTGATTGGAGACTGTTAATTTCAGGGAAAACATTTTTACTCTTTAAAGTTGCTTGAAAGATGTGTTAAAAACCACAACTACACAGGAGAGGTAAATAAATTACAGAGTTCAAATAGTATGGGAGCCTTGGTCAAAAATGTAGAATTCTCAGTAAGTTAATGAATTCCATTTCAAATAACTGCCTAATGTCAGTAATGTCCTTTTTTCAAGACCTCCGGGACCTTTTAGTGGTCTTTTTGGTACTTTTATCCCAGGGTCCTCCCACCACCCGGGGCTAATTTCACCACTTGTTACAGGTAACTTTGTCCAAAATATTTTGTTTCAGATTTATGGCGTTATATCTGACCAAGAAAAGACAAACACAGAACAGTTTTGGTTTACTGTGACAATGAAATCTCCATCATGTGAGTTAGTCTATGAACATTGATACTGTTACAGTAAGTTTTAAAATGAATCTCAAAATAAAGCTTATAAAAAATGGATCTTGAACTCTGATCTGGGCTTCTGAAGCCTTCATTGAAGGTCAAACTGCAACTCAAATCTTAATTCACTTCATGCACTAGTCAAAGTAACCCCCCTCCCAACCTGGGACAGGGTGTGGATATGTGGGGCATTTGAAAAATGGACTTGGCAAATGTTGGTAAATACCCCACATCGTGGGGGAGAATGGGAAATCAAATCTCCGACCCCGTGGGGACAAAAACCAAAACAGAGAGAAAACTATTAAAATATAACCATGAAATTTAAGTGAAACAAAATGCCATTTTGAATAAAATCCTTTGTTTTCTACATAAATTTCTACATGACCAGCTACCAGCCATGCAGTTCAACTTATCTGTACATGCATGACATTCATAGGGCCACAGGAAGCCCAAGTTACATTTAAGAGTTTCCAGGCCTTTTCTAATTATTTGACCAATCCCGACCTTATGCCCCACTATGGCCCGACTATATTAAAACTTTTCGTAAAATATCCACTATCCCCACCCCCTTGGGCATCATTGCTGGTCAAATGTGATCCCAAGCCCCACATAGTCCCCACCCTGTCCCGGGTTGGGGGGGGGGGGTACTTTGACTAGTGCATTATTTAAGTACTATAGGGATTCATTTGTTATTCAAAAAGCTTTAACCCTCTAAGCTACAGCAGAAATAATTGTAGTCAGATAAGAGGTTTGGCATTACAAAGTCTGATGGAGAACGTTTTAAATACCATTCTAATAGTTGCTTAAAAGGAAACTAAGTTTATATCTTTTTGGCATTAGTAAACCTGATGTGAATCGAATTTCTGTACTTTTATAAAAGTTGATTAGTTTAACATAACTTATTAGCAAGTTAACTTAAGTTTAATTAAGTTCAAAAACCGTTTTTTAGCCACATGTCAAGCTCCAACCTCAGGACAGCAAACATCATTGAAACATATGGAAATGATCGCTGCTTTTAGCAGTGTAGGGGCAGTACTTGGTATAATTCTGCTGGTGATGCTACTTAAGTTTTACAAATTCAGAGGTAACATGCATGTTTTTAAGCTAATTTATATTTCATTTAAGTTATGGATAAAGACAGAAAGAACTTCAGTGGCGGATCCAGGATTTTTCAAAGGGGGGTTCCACTTTGTTTTCGCATTTTCCCAAAACGAACTTTTTTACTGTGCCTCTCGAACTGTAGCAAATACAACATGAATGTATATGATAAAAATTCATTGTACAATGCGTTTTCATTTTATTTCATTTATTATTATTTATTTATTTTTAAGCTTGAGGGGGGTTCCTAGGAACCCATGGAACCCCCTGGATCCGCCACTGAACTTGGGCAGAAGACAGAAAGAAAATTATAAATTATAGACAGCATACCTCTTGCCAGCTAGTGAATTAGTGCCAAAAGTTTATGAAGAGGAAACTCGTCGTGAATTTTGTAATCAATTTTGCTGTTTTTATCCCCATACTGATCTTAATAGCAAGACCAATAATACGGATCAATGAACGACGTCAGCCCATGTCTGAAGCTAGAGATGACAAAAGTTTGTCAGGTAAAAAACACCTCGAGGCTATTTTAAGTTATATTTCAAACAAAATATGCATATCAAAAGCTCTTACCTCAAAGTCTAAAATTTAAGCTTATATTATTACCATTCTTTGGTAAAGTTGCACCCTTTAGGGACGTATTTAGGGGGGCGTCGGTGAAGGGGCAGTTCCATGATCCATGTAGTATCTGAAGAAATCGCGGGAAAAACGAACGCGCGCACAAATGTTGTTTCCAGGCGGGAAGCGCAATTACAAATGATTCTTGTTTTTTTTTTCGTAATTCAGATCCCGTTAAAGTCCTTATCATTTATGCAAGCTGCTGTATGCCATGTAAGAAAGTTATTTACAGTTTATGGGATGCTCTTGACAGTACATGTCTTTTTGACATACGGCTAGATATGCTAAACGAACCGCAGTTGAACGAGAACCCATTGAGATGGTACGAAACGCAAATCAAAGAAGCTGAAAAGATCTTAGTGATGACATCGCACGAGATGTTGATGTCCGACTTAAATCTCGGTTCAAACCAGAACAACCTTTCAGACTGTAAGTAGATAGGATTTGAATATTGGAAAACCTCTCGAATATTTAAGCTTATATTTCAATACACAGCAATATGCAGAAGTTATGATCATTTCGACTCATATTCCAAGTGTATAAAAATATCAGATGGGATGTCATCACCAATATTTTTTTCAGAAAGTACTTAAGGAAAAAACAGCAATGATATCCCATAATTTCTGATATTTAATATATACTTGTAATACAGCCTTTTGCAAAAATTATGAGAATTGTCTAAATATCTAAATATCATAATATCCATATCCATATATTGTCCAGAACACACGGGTTTGCTAGAATAATTCATTGTTGACATCGAGAAAATGTTCAGAACTACGGATAAGTCTGTCGCCAAAAAAAACTAAACTACAAAGMCAAGGGACTAAAGGGCATCGCGCGGGATTACCCATCATGCACTTTATATTATGATATTTAGATACTTCGACAATTCTCATAATTTTTGCAAAAGGCTGTATTCTCAAAACAATCATAATCTCTGCATATTGCACATTTATACATACTATAGGTGGGCGTACGATGACGTAGTTTGTCTACATCCAAAATATAAAATTAAAAAAATAAGCAATCTGAACTCATATAATTCAAGATTATATTAATGTCAACAATACCTGAAAATTTTAGGGCAAGCAGCTTTTTACATTTCGAGATATCGGCATTTTAAAACTACAAAATCTATAGAAAACACTTCAGTGCTTGGCAAAATAATGCCAACCATGGTCATTTCTTTAGAAAATCTTGCAAATTTGGCGCTTGATATCTCTTAAAATATCTAACCAATTGCCTTCAAATTTTCAGGAATTGTTACAATTATGAGTTCTTTTCATTTATCGATTTGATTTTCTTGTGTCTTGAAATTCGATTTCTGACTTTTATGCAAAAATTAGCAAAACCGTAAACAATGGCGCCCATCTATACTTATAGTAACAAATGAGTCTTTCAGTGACAGGACATGCTGATAAATGATGAGGCAAGATTTGAGAATGTTCACCTTCATATTGCTTCTCATCATGTCTTATAAACTATTAACTATCTTCTCATTAATACTGGACAGAATGTGCGATGGTTCCACTCACATAAGCATATTCACACCCTATGCAGTTAATAAACATATTTTTCACTTTTTGCCAGATGTCAACATTCAGTTTCAACTAAATTTACTAAGAGGTGAAGTAAGCAACACAACTGACATCTCCAAATTTGTTCCTGTCTACAACACCTATAATGGCAACAGACATGACATCCCCAGATTCTTATCAATGTGCAGGGCATACAAGCTACCAACAGAACTTGATAAAATTATGTTTCATTTGCTAAGGATTAATTCAATTCGAATACATTCAAGAACACCTATTGTACAGATTAGTTCTGAAAATCATCCATTCCTAACAAAAAAGGATGAACTGATAAAAGCTATTGATGATGCTGCAAGTTTTCATCAGCATATTTCTTGTACACAACTTTCTGAATTTGTGTAGAACCGTCTCACCAATGTACAAAAAATATATAAATCCATAATAAAGGCTATCATCAAAATTTAAGGAGTTACGAACTTTTCAGACACCAAGCTCAAATTATTATTAGTAGTAGTAGGGTGGGCCATAACAACACATTTATGATGTTACAAAGATTTTATTATTGCATCACCTATTACAACAATTAAGAACGTGGTCTCTCCTTCTTTTCTTTAAACAAAGCTAGAAGGGATACATTGGCAACTTTCACAACTTTAAAACGAACACCAGGAATGTCACCAACGGCGTGACCTCTACGACCAAATCCAGAGATTAAAACTTCATCATTCTCCTCAATATAATTTAAACATCCATCATTAGGAACAAAGGCTGTGATCTTTTTTCCATTTTTGATGAGCTGAACTCGGACACACTTTCTAATGGCAGAGTTAGGCTGCTTAGCTTCAACACCACTGTGAAGACAAAGAATAATATTAGTTAGTATAATTTCATAAGTGAATATCATAATTCTAGCGCGCTGATTGGTCGAATTTGACGCTTCAATGAGCGACATTCACCTATAGGTGAATATTGGATTTTTTCGCAAAATGGCGTCGTCCGTGAGTCGTTGGATTTAACAATTGGATTAAAAAAATTGGATTAAACCTTTTTATAGGTAAGTTTTGTTTACTTAATAATAAAAACATTGTCTAAAACTACTTTTTTATCTATCTTTTTACGTCAAACAGGCTGGAATTTGTAGGTTTTCGCCTTGTTTGTTTACATTTTACTTGATACATTTTTGACAGAATGGTTTCAACAACAGTCTGAATTCGGGGAATTTGGGGAGTAAGGATGGCAGAGCGGTTAAAACACTGGTCTATCACCGCTGTGGTCCTGGTTCGAATCCTGGGCCGGGACTATATGTGATTTGAGTTTGTAGGCTGGTTCTCTTCCTTACTCCGAGGGTTTTTCTCCAGGTCCGCTGGTTTTCCTCCCTCAGTCAAAAACTAGCTGTGAGGAGTGTCGTGTAGTAAAATAATGAATGTTGAGGTAGTGAGTATGAGTGAATATATAGAGGGCCACAAGTTTATTAGTCTAGAGACTATTACGTTCTACCCTCTCAAAATAAAAGAATAAAAGAATTTCACTGTCAGCTTTGAAGACATGGATACAAGTGAATTAAACAAGTGTCTATCAAAGTTTTACGTGTCCATAAGGAAGAAAGATGGCAATTATTACAAGAAGACGACTTTGCTGTCAATCCGAGCGGCCCTTGACCGCCATCTTCAATCCCCGCCACATAACATTTTACGAAAATGCAGTAGTTCTTTTTTCTCTATTTTTATGAATATTCACTTATGAAATTATACTAAAACAATTATTCACCTTGGGCTCAGTGATTATCAATGAATATTTACCTTGAGGCTCGCAGAATCGCCCCTCGGTAAATATTCATTGATAATCACTTCGCCTTCAGTGAATAATTGTTAAATATGATAGAATGCCATTTTAGAAATAAATAATGATAACCTCAAAATTTTAACTATATTAAGGTTGATGATACTATGTCCACTACAAACATCATTTTTACATTTTTTTAAATTTGTGAATGCATCTAAACAATATCTTATTACAATTGCTAAAATTGTCTTATTATTTATGCTCATAGCTCTGCACGCAATGAGATTTTATCATTATTGCGGCCAAAAAGCCTTCATTATTATTATCTTATTACATTTGACCATTTACACTGGAGATGAAATTCTTGTCTGACAAAGAACCTTGACTATCACATTTTATGTCTAGTGAAAAATAAAATGATAAATATGGCAGGTTTCCTTGAATCTAAGATGAGAATCTTGTTTTCTAGTAAAGAAAAAAGTCTTCATAATGTTCATACATTATACAAGAAACAATAATGGCTTAGACTACAGATTCCATTTCACAAGAATTTTGTTGTTAACGAGCCACATATGATGCAGCATATGTTTACATCATCTTATTGTAATTATTTTATTATGTTAAAATGTTCACACTTAAAAACTTAATGGTATAGAAAAATCTTTTGGTCATAATTTTACAAATTTCCTATTTTGTCAAGGCCCTTACGAGCTAAAGCTGAGCAAAAACTGATCGGAAAAAGATTTAAGTTGGATTATTATCTGCAAAATGGCAAAACGGTTATTTGATGTTCAACTCATAAATTTGGAATTTTGCAGCTTTAAAATGCTAGAAACTTCAAAAACAGGAGTATAGCCAAGACACTCCTGAAAATTCTATATATACTTCATAATATCGAGTCCTGTACATATGCACCATTTCTTGCAACAGTGATTTATCAATTGGTTTACGATCCATATCTTAAATTGAATTGAAGTTCTTTACACACGAAAAGCAAACACAACATATAAAATCTCTGACTCACACTTTCTCGATCACAATTCCTTTAGCGTGAGAAGCACCTCCAAATGGATTGGCCTTCAAAGCTGTTCCCAAGTGAGCTTTCTTGTAAGTCTTGTCGTGCCACCTTTGATCACGACGATGAGATCGAAGTTTTCGAGCTGTTCGAAGTCCACGGGGTTTTCCTTTTAGCACAATTAGATCAATAAATTACTATCTGGTCTTTCTATGTCCATTTATTGGCATATTGTTATCATTTCAAGACAAAATAACGATTTTTCGCCAGACACGTGTAGTTCTTACCCATTTTGGTCGACCACGATCTTGAAAAGAGGATTGCCCATGGTGCTTCACGGCCATTTGAAACAACAATGCATTGCGCGCTAACTAGTACTTAGGCTCCGTTGAAGCTCCTTGTAAACAGGCAACCCAGAGATTACATTTTTATAACACTATTCTTGCTCCTTCCAATTTACACTATTCCATAAATTTCATTACCAGCAGACAACATGCTGTGCTGTATTCCTTCTGAAATACAAAAAGCACCCGTAGACATGCACTATCTTAACAACAACTACGGTCATCCTGGCCTACGTTTACTAGTTTTTTTCTTCGCGAACAAGCCCTAAAACTCCCTCCCAGCTCATGTTGTTAAAATGTCTGACCTGCCTGATTATAGATCAACCGCCATACCTGCCACAGGTGCTGATCTAGACATCTATAAATTTGTGCTTGGTCTGTCAGTCTGTCTGAATTATGTAGCTCATATGAATAATCGTATCAGTATGAGGAATCCCATTAAAGAGTGCTCAATACACATATGTGATATAGTGTATAGCTAAGTATACATATATAATGAAGAGGCAAGATTTGGAAACTCCACGGAGTAACAGCAAATCTTGCCTCTTCGTTATTGTACATATAGCTCATATGAATATACATTTCTATATGTGTTCAAGCAGGACTAAAAGGAGGTCACCTACCCCCGTGGCAACCTCTTGGATCTACTTCTGTTGCCATTATAGATCTTTAATTAAAAGTGCCTATTCATCTTCGCAGGCTATAGGCGCCGCTACAGTATGAGCGAGAGCTAGTTAGGGTGTATCTTTTCTAAGTTTACCTCGAAGTCACCTGCACAAACTGCGCATTCTATAAATTATTTTGCTTGCTTTGACTGTAAAGTCGAAGTCAAATTCAGTACAAACACTTGTATCTTTTGTTTATGCTCGTTATCATCTCATTACATGTGAAATTTAGTGTTTGACGTGCGTCTAAGATTACATGCGCATGAAACATGAATAAATGACAGTTTTTCAGAAAAACGTCCAAAATACTAGCCAATACAGTGGCAAAATATCATGGCCACGTTTGTGGCGGAGGCTTCAAAGCAAAACCTCACATAAAAATCCTAAACAATATTCTGAGTACGGCAATGGTAAACATAACTTCCTATTTAACTATTAATAGCTATTAATATTCTATTTGCTATTATCAGTCATTAAGTAACAAAAACCTGACGTAGAACCGTAGCTCTTGTGATTGTTTAGCGTTTTTCTGAGTCGTGTGTATCAAGTTGGACGAGAATACGGACATCATTGACAACTATAATAAAACACTACAGTATAACTGATGTGGGCGTAGCCCTTTTTTCGGTCCATTCTTCAATATCAATACTATATTATTTTTTATTTTTAAGAAAGTTCCAGATGCCTTATATGTGTAATAATAGTCATGGCAATCAAGCTCGTTACAAACTCCAATATACGTGGGAAGGTTTTCCCACCTTTGTACTTCTTGACCTCTCTTTCTCGATTTGTCGCTGCTTTACTAATTCTTCACTCGCACTATTTGACTATAACATCTGAATATCCAACATGTTCAAGCAGTTTGTAAACGAATTCGATAGCATTCAACATTTTTAGCAACTATATCTTGAAGAAGAAACTTGGCTGCTTGATGATTTACCTTGCTCATTAGTCAGTAACATAAAAATGTCTTAAAAAAGAAAGACTATCATTAATTTTGAGGTTAGGACAATCCAAAAAATTAATCAACATTGATCGATGATCGCGCTCATCAAACCAATTCTTTGGTCGCCAAACGGTTTCAAATATAGCAGTACATCAAACAAGACGTGAAAATATTGAGCGGCGGTTTTGACGTTGAACTTCAACTGCGCAAGGAGCCAACAGTGTTAGATGGTGATAAAAAGATTTCCCGTTTGGAACTATAGTTTAGACAAAGTGGACGCACTTGAGACATAGCTGAAAGATGCTAGAATTTAAGGGAATCAAGAAATCATCGTTAGTTAATACTTGTTTTGCAAAAACCGTGTGATACGTTTTTCGAATTGATCGGAATTATGAAAGAAACGCGTTTTTGTACAACCATAACTTTCGCCATTTTTGCCCAAATCCTTTGTCAGTGTGCTCAGCAAGGCTTGCCATTTGAATTTGGTGTGAACATGGTGAACCATAACGTTACCTGATTCCACCAAATGCAAATTGGAAAAAGGAAGAAAAAGGGTTGCAGGGTCAACAGAACAGTTCTTGACATCTACATATTAGGTCGTTCGTAGGCCAATATACACAAGTATCTTTAACTGAAAGTTAAAAAGCTCTCCCATCATTTTCAAAAGCAAAGCAGAGTATCAATCGATTATGGAGTAGAACAAAATACTAACAATTTCTTTTGATAAAAATATTTCTAAACTGCTCGCGTTACCCTTTAGTTTTTTTTGTTTTTGTTTTTCTTTTTGGTAGTTAATCAAACCTTCGGGATGTTTTTTCTGGTGAAAATTCAGATCTGTAAAATGAAAATTGTAACAATCAGAACACACAAGACACTAGACAATTTGCAGACTGAAAACTAAATTGCAATCTAAAAACGTTAAGATTCAGCTATATATAGCTATCTGAATATAGTATCTGAGTAGAGAATGAAAATAATACAGTCTTTTGTCACCATATTTTGATGAAAGCCTTTGTTATTTTTTCATTATTACTATTTATACCTTAAAATGAAAAATAAACCTAACCATCAAAGTTTAGAAGTTTGTTTTGGCAATTTTTAGTAAACATAACTTGTGGTTGTGGTTTTGAGGGGCAATCATTCAAACTGCGTCACGGACAATCCCGTTGGGTCTTCGCTTCTATTTGAATGACCAGTAGAATACAACTAAACGACGCGTAACTGACTTGACGACATTGACCGTTGTGAACGAATCAAGCAAGGAAACAGCTCATATACGACCGGCTTTTTCAGCTGGTTTCAACACAGATCGCGACGAAAACTCATGCAAAAGTAAGTTAAACTCAACAAGCCGTAAATATCGACAGCATGATTTTTACACATAGTACACGTTCTTTGACAGTCACTTTGTGTAAGCTCTTGAGCATGAAAACATATTCGATAGAAAATTGAATGAATAGTACATCTCAAAGGAACTCTATTACATTTTATAGGAGCTAAAATGTCTTTTCCAAGCCAAAGGGATTCGACCTCAGACGTCTTTTATCCTGATTCAGGTACGTAGAATAACGAAGCGTCCTCTTTAGAAAATGCGATTCATACAATTCGCGAATGGCCTTTGCCTATTATAATCCGCTAAACAAACACGACAAAATCAACTACATCAGAAACTATCGTGCAGTTTTATTTGCTGTTGTGACATAACTATCACTTTTTCAATTTTGAGTGCGTTTTCATGTAATACTATAATTTCAACGAATTATCATCAATATTCTTGTGCGCGAATTTAGTTTGAAAAGCGCTAAAAAGATTATGATAAACACTTAACGCTGTACACAACTCAACGAGTCACTGAACGAAATATCAAAGTTTCATAATTTCTTTGATTTTTTTTAAACTCACTATATTATTGATTTGTAAACGCGGGAACAAGCATTCAGAGATACCTTATAGTAACTTTTAGGAAATTTTTGGCATTGTATTAGCTTTATATTCTCAACATGTAGTAGGATAATTAAGTCTTTCCCACCGAAGAAAAAATGATTATAAACGAACGCAAGTTTTTTATAGAAAAAAAAAATGTCGTAAAGGCCGGATTTGATTATTAATAACTGGATCTTTTATTATTTCGAAATATCTGATAAGTGTAATGTTGTGCAATAATGCATCAGAGGCTTGTTCGAGCTTAAGGTTGTAGAAATCGTGACATTATTAGAAACATCCAAACAAGCCGTAAAAAATGACTAACTAGTTATGAATGGAAAACGAAATTCTACATAATTTATTTATGATACATTTCCTACGATGCTACGATTGCACATTACGCTTGACTGACCCTTTAGTATTATTTAGGACTGTTAAGAAATGCAAATTCGAAGTATATTCAATATCAACAAAAGCATACAAGGACACATACGAATTTTTAGTCCAATTAGAATACGTGTTCAATATTCAAATGGCTTTGCACATGTGAATGAACTCGAGTACTTTTAAACAATTCCATGCATTCCATTTGGATGAGCAAGAAGATTCTTGACCAAATACTATGCCGTCAGATACCTGCTATTCAATTTAAACTATTGCAAGCCATAAAAAGCCGCCATCTTGATGCGTCACACGGTTGAAATGAAATAATTGTAATAAAACGAGGCCTTGTTGAGGTTCTTGTTTACATTATAGTTCGAGACACGGGTTGTCGGTCTTCTGTTGTTTAAAAGCCAGAAATATTTTTGGTCATCATTTATTCCGCCATTCTATATTGTTGACGGCAATTGTTGAGCTACTCTGTGATACATAGCTGAATTTGAAAGCGCATCAAAGAGAGAACAAAAGAAACTCTTGCAGCACCGTCGATAAAGATGGTCTCATTGTGGCTTCACCCAACAATTTTGGATAGTATCGGGAAGTCAAGCATTCCCCGTTTGACTACGGATGAATTCCTGAATGAAAACGAATGAGATAATACTAAAGGTTTTCTGATATGTTTCATTCTATTCATTGCACTCACTCTATCTCGAGTACACCGGGGAATGATTCACATGCAATCCCCCCGGCCCTCCCCTCCGTCTCCAAGACAACAAAACGAGAATTATAAACCAGAGGCGCAGCAAGAATTAAATTTTGTTGGGCACTAGACATTTACAAAGTCCCTTAGCTTGCTCAATTCTCAAGATTTCCTTTAATTTTTTTGGGAGCCCAAAGAGAGTCCGTGTCAAGTCTGCGCGCGGGCACACATAGTAAGAATCGTATATGTCGATTTTTTCCTTAATACATTTATTAAGTTTTCCAAACTCCTTGGAGGGGCCACATGCTCCCCTCCCTACGCTAGTGTTAAAAGTGAATGCCTTGACTCTATCTTCGATGAAGCAAAATTGACTGCCCATATCCTGGTTACTTTTTTATGTCCCTTGCACCTTATAGATATGATATATATCATAGGTGTTTGAATTTCAGCACTACGGCCACCGTATGGTTTATTAGAATAACATATTTCACTGTTATGCTTAGGACCAAAGCCATCCACTCCATCTAAACCTACAGTGCAAGGATTAGAGCACATACTACATTCTCGTGGTGTCAGAAAACCCAGTCAAGGCGGAGGTCCAAGACCACCAAGCGAGGGTCGTGGTAGAACTCCAAGTCACCATGCAGATTATGACTCAAGAGATCGACCCAGTTCCCGGCAGTCGAGCAATTATGGACCCCCGCGCGATAATGGGCCCCCGCCGTACAATGGAGCTCCAAGACCACGAGAAAATGAGCCTCCTAGATACAAAGACAAGGAACCATCAAGGCCACAAGGAAGAGATTACGAACCTCATTCAAGGCCACAAGGGAGAGACTACGAACCTCCTTCAAGGCCACAAGGAAGAGACTACGAACCTCCTTCAAGGCCACAAGGAAGAGACTACGAACCTGCTTCAAGGCCACAAGGAAGAGACTACGAACCACCACGGTATGGAAGAGAAGGTGAACGATATGGTAGGGATCCACCAAGATATGAACAACAGGCGACAGATAACAGACGAGAAAAAACACACAGTGAACGACGGCAGCAAGGCCAACGAGGTAAGATATGATCTTAATTAGTGATACTTTCCATAATTATTGCACGCCCACTCCTCCCAGCAAACTCTCAACATAGTCTGTTAATAACCAACGTGAAAAGCAGGTGTGATTTGTTCTGTGTGGCAATAATCTGATTTCAATACTGACAAAATTCAAAAAATGCTTCATTTAAAAGATACCAGAAATCAAAAACGAGTGACCGAATCCACCCGTAACGTATTGAAGAAATTTCTATGCGCTTAGAACTCAAAGTTAGTTAACTGCTACCAGGAGCTCTGCTGCTACGATTTTCGTAGGGAAATACGACTTCCACACTTTCCAACGCGTATAATCAATTTGATTTCCTGAATATTACCTGTTTTGAAAGCAGAGACTGGGGACAAAGTCTTGTGTAAAAAAGAATCCAAGATGGCGAACACTTTTATAAAATTTTTGCGCTGAAGAATCATGTTGGTTTCTTTTCCATTTGACTTTTCAAAAAAAATACTGCTTTTGCGATCTTTTCAACTCGTTTTCGCTCAAATATTACTCAAAGCGAATTTAACTTATATCATATTATATTGTACGGCACGAATTAAAATGGCAAACTTTACTGCACTGTATATACTCTGTTAAATATGCAAACCAAAATAAAACAATTTATTTACTTTAATCCCCTCTTTCGCGTTATACTCCCGTTATACACCTATTTCAAAAAAGGTTGTCGGATAAAATGGCGAACAGAAATTGCACGACAGAAAGGAGCCATGGTTTTGTTTATTGCTGGGAAATACCAACAGATTTATCTGTAAAATTGTCTGTGGTATCTTCGTTAAGTCTCCATTTTCGCGCAAGGTGAACCTATCCAGTGAAATTTTGAATTTCAAACCGCGTAGTCACTTTCAATGCAATCATGCTATCTCAATTCGACAATCGCCCTTCTCCATTCTTCCCGACGTTAGAACACGCATCCACTACTCGTTTACTAACGATGCACTATTTTGAAAAGCCTTACATGGTTTGGAGTTTTTTCAGCAGAAACATTTTGTCCTTTAACTTTTAAAACCTGGCAAAGTAGTACGAAGAGGTGAATAAATGCGCTGACAAAATTTAATGTCGTGGGTGTGACGTTTTTGAAAACGCGTCATGATGACGATATATATGACGAATGTAATATAGCTAATCATGACTAATCATGCGTTGTAAAGTACACAAAGTTTTAATATTATTAGTTCCTTTGGTTTTTATTCCCAGTCCCAAGAACAAATTTTGAATTCAGGACAAGCTGAATGCGCGGGAAATGCCATCAATCGTTTAGATACAACACAACCAACTTTAAAATTGTAAAAATAATTTCGAAGAGAATGAAATCTACACGTGAAAAAAATCATTTGACCTTTGCGTAGTTCATTGCTTATAAGGATTGTTAATTGCTTTTGCGCAATGAAACATATCTTGGAAGGTGCCTTACAATAGCTGCATCCGAACAAACGTCAAATTAAAACAGAATTAATTAAGGGCGGAATGTGACTGTTGATTGGCTTAGTATAGCTATATACTCATATGTAAAGTTGTGAAGCAATCAAGTGCGAATTCAGCAATCACTGGTGCAAATCTTTTTCGAAGTGTTCAGCATATTTCTATCCAGTTAAACATACAAACTACGACCCGAATTTTATTACGTTTGATCGGTATCCAACACGCAACTATGGCGAGCCAAGGTAAAATATTTTAAGATCTGTTACTTTAATGTGCTAAGTACACATACAAATTGAGAAACTTATATAATCTTAACCAGAACTTGTTTCACACCAAATACTCAATGATTTTAACTTCTAAATAGACGTGTACAAATAATCCGGCGCTGATGTTTAACTACCTGGTCATTCCGTATTTAGCTAAGTTTCCTTATTTATTGTTTATAATGTTTAACTAACTGTCTTTCTGTATCTACATGCCTTTCTCGGATTCGTTAAACCACATTCCATGGCCGACCTTACCTCTTCTGCTTTCTTTCCGCTTAGACCCATAAGATAGGGAATTGAGCATACGTGCAGACAAGTCGACTGACCAACTAACGCCGCAAGAAAAACATCTTACTTCTTTTTTTTCCCGCTTAGGCCCACAAGATATGGATTTGGGCGTACGTGCAAACAAGTCGACTGACCAACTAACGCCGCAAGAAAAACATATAGAGTCTTCCAAAGTAAATGAATTGGAGGAGGACGACAAACCTCCTGAGAGAGAAAGTTGGGGCCATAAAGCTGAATTTATTCTAGCAACTATTGGTTTAGCAGTAGGGCTCGGTAATGTTTGGCGTTTTCCTTACCTATGTCAAAAAAACGGAGGAGGTGAGTAAATAAATTAGAAATGCGGTCTTTAATACGAAATTTCGGGGCGTTTACATTGAAACGAAATTAGCAAACGAAAAAAGGAATCTGAATCTTTAAGATAATAGTCTTCATCAGTACAATGACTGTTTTATTATCGAACTTTTATATTCAATGTTTTAATAAACTTGTTTTGTATACTGCTGAAATCCGATCGCAGGGACTGAATTCACTTTCTTTGTTGTCAGATAAATTAAATTTTCCTTTAGCTTCAAAATTGTACATCCTTCAAATACATTTTTCAGCATGCACATTATTGATAAAGCTATTTTGAATTCTCATTTAAAAAATGTGTCAACTGAAGGAACTTTTTCTAATTTCATGAGCAGCAATCAGTGTCAGTTTCATGTTTGATTTGGCGGTTGTCACTCGCTTTATCGAGGTCGGTTGTCGACTAATTTAATCTACGGTTTTGAAATTGCTTTGAAGGTTCCCATGATTTGTTAATCCAAGCGAAGATTATTTTAACTTATCCACGCATGAATGCCTTATATCTCAGGACATTCTCGATACGAATTTATTACAAAGCGCAATAAGACGATTCGATTGGTTGTATCGGCATAGTATCATGCGATCACGATTCCAAGTCTAATCAAGTTTAGAGCCTGCTAAGAAGGGTTGGCAACCACCTGGTGGGAACCTGCAATTGGCTCCATCTAAACAATGTTATATTTTATAGCTGAAATCACAAATCTCTCCATTGGGTCTTGGCTTCACCAAGGAGCCAGCCGTATAAATATTTACACGGCATTTTTAATAATCCGTGGATCGATAAACAGTCTATAGCACATCCGTGTGAGGAAGGTGCTTCCAAGTGCAGTAAAAAAACAGTCGCCTGATATTGTCATTTATGAATAGAACGTTTTGATCATACTATATTTACTCATGCTTCGACTAAAGGGAACTGAGAATAGAACTTCGCTTAATTTCACGGAAACAAACACACAAAAGAATTGCGTATTACTCATCACAGAAAAGACATTGTTTGGACGACCGGGCCTAAGTTTAGTGGAACTTAAGTATACAAATAACTATATGAAATAAATTTGAAAAGATTCAAGTGCAACTGAAACCTTTAAAAAAATCATTTTTAACAAAAGGCAAATATGATGCTACTAATGTTGTTTTGAAAAATAAAACGTTGTTTGAATTTTATTTGCTGAGTTAGTGAGGTATTTGAAAATTGAAAATGCTAATGAAGTGACGTCAAGGGAGGCTTCATTAGATATACGAACTTTGAAACAGTCGCTCCAAAATGTTTTCATAACGATAAATTTAATGTCATGAAACAAACTTTTAAGCGACTCCTTTAACTAAAATAAAATTCAAGCAACAATGATTAGCATCATATTTCCTTTTGTTAAAAATGATTTTCTGAAAGGGTTCAGTTGCACTTTATATATGCTGTGTATATACGGGATTGCCGTTTTCCCTATGACTCCCGGTACAAAAATGAAAAAGCAGTTTGAAAATAGTGACAATAGTATAATTTAAGCTCTGTCAAAGAATATATGTTTGTAAGCTGTTTGCATTTTTAGGATTCAACATCTCGAGTATAACTAGTGTAACTTGTGTCACCACCAGGTGCCTTCTTGATACCTTATGTGATATTCATGCTCATCGAAGGCCTTCCACTGTTCTTCTTGGAGCTCAGCATTGGTCAAAGGATGCGTAAAAGCGCCATCTTGTGCTGGAGAGATATCCATCCAGCCCTGTTTGGCATAGGCGTTGGATGTCTTATGGTATCACTGATGCTTTGCTTGTACTATGTAGTAGTTATAGCTTGGTGTTGCTACTACTTCTTCATTTCTTTTACTTCGGACTTGCCTTGGAAGAAAGAAATTCTCTGTCACAACTGGGATGCTTACAATGGAATTTTATCAGCTATAAAAGATTGCGAATCCGGCTCCAATCCCAACTGCACGACCAACTCGACTATGTACAAAGCTTTAAAATACAACGAAACAACTTTTCCTGATTGTTGTGTAAGAGATCCACCTCAGTACTACTTCTATCACCATGCCCTTCAAATATCCACAAGCATTGAAGACCCTGGTATCGGCATGAATGTTAAACTCCTTGGCTGTCTGGTCTTTGCCTGGGTTATTACGTACCTTTGTGTAGTCAAAGGGATCAAGTCCAGTGGAAAGGTGGGTTACACGTTTCGATATAACCGCGCTACTTGTTAATTCATCCAATATTGCGGCATTGGTTGATATGTTTCTTAGGAGACTGTTGACATCGAGAGAATAATGTGATATTTATGATATTTCAGGTTGTGTATTTCACTGCTACATTCCCATACATTATCCTCATCATCCTGTTTTTCCGCGGAGTAACATTGGAAGGAGCTGGTAATGGAATCAAAACATTTTTTACCCCCAAGGTGCGTTCGTATTGTCTCGTATCCTTAAGTAATTTTCCAGACAGGTTGTTACGATCGAAATCATCGCAGTCGATTGCCATATAGCGTTTTGTCTGCCAGCTGCTTGTCTTCAATTACTGTCGGTATTGTTAGCAAGGATGGGAAATAGTATGACGTTTGGAGGTTACACATTACCTATTCCATTGTATTGACTAATGTTTGTCATCTTTCCTGCAGTGGGATCTTTTGTTGGACGCCAATATCTGGAAAGACGCTGCAACACAGATGTTCTTCACACTTAGTCTTGGGTTTGGAGCTCTCATTGCGTTCGCCAGTTACATGCCTATTCATAACCAAGTCATGAGAGATGCATATACTGTGGTATTTGTCAATTGTGGAACTAGCTTATTCGCTGGTATTGTCGTCTTCTCCATTCTTGGATACAGAGAACTGAAAACAGGCATTCCTGCTGACAAGGTGAGCCTTACATCCAATTGGCTCAGTCTTTTCGAAATATTTAATTGATAATTCGTTTCTTTCGAATACCCCGCCTATACTAAAACGGCTGCCTCTTACTAGGTTGGCTCGGGACCTGGACTGGCCTTCATGACATTCTCCGACGCCATGCTCCTAATGGATGTGTCCCCACTCTGGGCAATCCTCTTTTTCCTTATGCTCATTCTCCTTGGAATCGATAGTGAGTTTGGCACACTGGAGGCTGCCATTGGACCAATTATCGACCTCAAAATCTTCCCAAAGATTCGAAAGGAATTTCTGACATTACTAGTGGCCGTAGTCCTGTTTTTGTTTGGCTTATCAATGGTTTCAGCTCCAGGCTTTTATATATTCCAAATGTTCGATGATTATTCAGTGACCATTCCACTGCTGGTAATCGCTCTATTCCAATGTATTGGTGTTGCATGGGTTTATGGCAATAACAGGTAAACTGCAATTTGCTTGCTTTTTTGAAATTAGTTTAAATATTCACTGGAAAAAATCGCGCGCTTTAAAGGTTGTAAATTTGATGTAAWTATGWTGTAMKTKTYCAAAATTCTGYAAATTTAATGGAAATCATTTACATCAAATTTAGAGAATTTTTGGCACTTAATCATATTTACATCAAATTTACAACCTTTAAAGCGAGTGATTTTTCCAGTGATTACAAGAAAAGTGTTTCCATTTAACAATAATTCGAAATAAAGCTATTTCAAAATGCAACGAAAGACTATAACGGTGGTCGTTGTTTTATTTGACAAAATGCACGCTCCTGTATGAAGACGTTGCCTTTTTAAATACTCCCACTGATGATTTAGAAACTGGAGTATTGCAGCAATCATGTATGCACAGTTCCACAGAACTGTACAATACAAATAGAGATGGATACTATGTATTTTCTGTGAATGAAAAGAATAGATTAGAATCACCGATCCTTTTGTTTTTCCAGGTTTGCAGATGATATAGAATTCATGACTGGTAAACGACCATGGGTGGGATGGATGATTTGCTGGAAATATATTTCACCACTCGCTTTGTTTGTTGTTCTCGTCGCTCTCATCGTCCAGCAAGCACAGTCGAAACCAACGTATTCCAAGTTTGTTGGCTGCGTACAGGTATGTTTGTTGTGTTTTTACAGTGTGCTGAAAACTTGTTTGAACACTATTAATTTGTTGGTGGTGTTCACTTTTAAGAACCAAGTTAGCTGACACAAAGAACCGAGGAAATACTAAAAATTTGACATGCGGGCGTTGAGCAACAAGGCTAATCAATCAGAAAATATTCATATTATAATTAGTAGATATCTAAACAACAACTGTCTCCTAGAAACCCTTTGGCGACAGTGCTGGTTCTGTAGATTGGACAGAGAAAGTAGCATATCCAGGTTGGGGCATTTTCGTGGTGGTTATGATAGTACTTGTTTCTACTGTTCCAATATTAATCTGGCTCATCAAAGACTGGCCTAAGGACTGGGCTCGCAGCTTCCACAAAACCTTCTGTACCGGTGTTAACAACTACTTGCCAGATCCAGAAAGAGACCCCAATGAGAATCGCCCGAAAGCTTAAATGATTTCGGAATTTTCCTTTTCGTTTGTATTTCCACACCATACCACTGGAAAAAATCGCTCGCTTTAAAGGTTGTAAATTTGATGTAAATATGATGTAAGTGTCCAAAATTCTGTAAATGATTTCCATTAAATTTTCAGAATTTTGGACACTTACATCATATTTACATCAAATTTACAACCTTTAAAGCGCGCGATTTTTTCCAGTGTACAGGGGGGCTACTGTAGGTTGACGGTTTCTGGTGATTTTCGAGATCGGTGTTCACTATTGCACTAATCATTTTTGCAGCGGTTTACGGTTGTGAAGATATCGCTCGGTTGCGGAAAATTGCCGATTTTGCAACGCGGTTTATGGTTCAGATTTTGGTATGGAGAATGGAGTATGGTACAAAAAGGCCCTGTTTAAATGAGATACAGTGCCTCTAGGTAGTAGAGACAAACTATTTTGTTTTAAATTCTCCTAGGCTCCTAGGCTCTACTTCCTTAGGGGCACCCAATCTCATGTAAACAAGGCCTAAGGATATCATAGCTCATCGATTTTTTAGCGTCGGTTAGCGGAAAAATGTGAAAGTCAGCCTAAAATAAGCCCCCTATATAATGATCGACAACTACTTTTTGAAATAGGAAAAATCGGAATCAATGATATTTTTCAACGATTCTGTAAGGGGATCAGGGCTCAAAATGTACGGAGTTTTGGGATTGGGATCAGGTTTTTAGGCCGTTTTGATCCGGATCAACAGCAAAAAAATATACCTCGTTACTAGCCTGACCATCCAACCATTGTCAATCATTTTTTCAAACTGCAGCAAACTTTTGTATTTCAATATGATTCAATAAAAATATTTACGTAAACAACGTGTTTAGTTAAGAGTCGTACTGAAACTATTCAAAGATCGTTCTACAGAAGCAATCCCAATGAAATTATGAAACCAGTGTACTAAAATTTTATTTTTTACATTACCGAACATAAGGAATGTACAATAACTTGCTTAAACATGCTTCTATGAATAACCTTGGACTATTTAACCCTAACCAAAAGGATACTGAGGAACTACTAAACGAGTGCAAATCTCAAGTACAGAGTTTATTCAGGAAACTTGGTCAAGTCCAAAGTGAAGACACGGCTTACTGTGCACTCATGGTCAGGCTGAAAAATAATGTTCAATGTTACATTATGCAATAGCCTACGTTCCATATTTTGCTTGAAGAATTGAAAACGAGGCTCCACGGTAACGATAAATAATCATACTACATCAAAGGTCATTTTGTTTTTCAGAAACTTCATCTTGAATTTTGTGTGTGTGTGTGTGTATGCTTATTCAACCAAGGCCACTAATGATGCAATCGTATTTATATTCTGGCAATTGTGTTCGCATTCCATACAAACATCAACTTAACAAAGTAAACAATTTACCTCTGCTGTGATGCCTATAAGTGCTTCAGCTCGAGTATAAAACTCCTCTTTGAGAGAGATGACAATACACTGGAAATGTTCACGAGTTTGGTTGATGATATATCGCGCAACCTAACAGACAAGTGATCATGCCGGACGTTAGCGCTATATGACAATAGTACTTTGTGTAAATTAATGTTGAATGCGTACTTTATTAATATTGGTGTTGTCGAGTGCTGCATCGATCTCATCCAGAACGAAGAAAGGAGCTGGTTGATAGCTGAAATACAATCCAATATCTTTAGAATCATACAAAAAATGCTAACCTGCATACAGGCAAAACATTTAGGATGACGAAAATGAAAAAATGATAGATAGAGCAATCCGTGCAACTGTACAAAATCTAAGTAGTATTAATTTGTAAAAAGTGGACCTGAAGCAAGACGGTATTGAATGCTTCATTTGATTCAACTCAATTTAATTTGCGTACCGCATGCACGATTTACTAAATAAAACTAAATTGCACTGTTTAGTTTGTACAGTTCCGATCACTCTATCTGATGATTAAATGGCAAAATAAATAAATAGTGCAAATTGACAAAAATAGATCTACATTACCTGTGAATACTGAACAACAGAGCGAGCGCAGCCACTGTTTTCTCGCCACCAGACAAGTTATCCATCGGTCTGAACCTGCATTACAGAATGGTCTCATTTTAACAACGTATATGAAACAATCTCTTTTTTCAGTAATCTTTAAGAGTTTAAGGAAATGTTTTGGTTTGTCTGATTTTGGGTTTCACTAATCATACTTCAAAACTTATATTAAGTTCAAATCATCGAACTGCTTCCAATGCTCATGAACACTGTACTGAATCATATTGGAGAATGAAGTGTCAAGCATTGGTACTTATAATAATAATATATGTTTTTGAAACCTGGTTCATACCAAGAATGATGTTCAATTATATTAAGACAAGTCCTTATTTTTCTAAAATTACCTTTTCCCAGGTGCAACACAGTTGTAATTGATACCACCAAGGTATGGCTCCTAAGATTAAACAATGCGTTACATTATATCCAATAACGGCATAAAGTGATGTCTACCAAGTACTATACAGCTTTGGAAAGAACTCTTTGGAAAATTTGAATATGATAAAAAAGTTTAATGTGATGCAAACCTCGGCATCTTCTGGTCCTAGGAATGCCTGTGCACTAGGATTGTTCGCCAGTTCCTGAAAAAAAGAAAAACAGTGTCAACGGCATGTCAGAAATGGACACTTAAATAGAAAATAATATCAAAAATATAGGCAAGCAAACAGGACAGAACAAATTTTTTATCGTTTTACCGCACTGCTTCGCACCCAGTGGTGCATAAGGCCTTCCGGTTTCTGTAATGGTAAGTTCTGTAATAATAACTTATTACAGAAACCGGAAGAACAGAAACAGTAACAGAAATTAATTAAACAAAAAACTCATGACATAAATAGTTGGAGATGGGTATTTTACATTACCTTGTAAATATCATCAATTCTTGTAGAAACATGTTCAAATGCGTCCATAAATCGATCATATCTACACCAAAGAACAAAACTAAGATCAGATATGCCAAGGACAATAGCTTATGTAAGAGTGAGATTATTGTGAGAATAAAAGTTAAATGGATACAGACAAAATAAAACTCTCATCAATAGAATACATTATTCACCTTTGTTTCTTAACAGACTCAAATTCTATTTTTGCTTTGCGCGCTGTTGACCGTGCCTGCTCAAACTCTGAGTTGGTCTCCTGAAAACGAGAGCTGGCACCTTCCAATCTGAATTAGAAAGACAACAATGAATTCATTAATAATTTATTAAATACTATAATTACTGCACTAATTGTATCACGTAACCTGTGAAACACAAACTGAATTTTGGCGTGGAATACTCCAGTTGATACAAAGAACAAAATAACTGGTAGTCTACCAACAATGTCACGGCTTAAGTGTAAGTGTTAATTAAGTGTTAATTTTTATAATTTCTCACTTTTCCAATGCCTTCATATTTGGTGCTTGTATTCGCTGTAGTGTGGACTGTATCTTAGCAACCTTGTTGGTAAGTTCATTAGCCATGTTCCTTACTTCAGCAGGGTCTTCATGGTCCTTCAGTTTACGACTAAGGGATGAATAGTCAATGATTATGTTGGCTTCTTTTTCATTGGTTGAAGAACGAGACTGTTGACTACTAGAAGCACCATCAACTTCCATGGCTGACGATTCATCTTCTGGTTGGCTGGGCTCGCCAAGATCAATGTCTTCCATCTTGCCTCTTTCAAATGGCAACATAATGTTCTCCATCTACAAATGCATAAAAAAAATCATTTATGCTAATTATTTTATTGATTCAAATATTAAAGCACAATACTGCAATGATAAGGGGTGCAGGGGAACTATTGTTTCTACCTTGCATGATTTCAAAAGACTATGTCTGTCTGCTTTCTTCTGCTCAAGTTGTGTTTCCTAAAATATCAGACAATAACTACAATTATTATAACTTTACAAAATACCAATATTTCACCAGCTTGTTTGATTGTGTTGAAATGAAGACAGAAAACATTCTAAAAACACCATTCAACATTCTCTTATTAGATGTTCAGCATCAAAAGCCATTTTGGCTACTGACAGAGAAGTCTTAAACTAAATCCTTGTTTGAATAAAGGAACTTACTAATGACGTGACTTGTTTTTGCAGAGCTGTAGCCTCTTTGAGATGAGCATTCAAAGACTTTCTAATCTCTTTCACTTCAAGGTCCTAAATAAAGGTAAAACAATCATAATCTTTATGCAATCTTTTATCAAATGCAATTCTAATTAAAAGTAAAACTACAAAGTAAAACAAGAAATTCAAAGAATTGAGCCATGCACGTATTTTGCCTTTGTATTGTTTTTCAGTTTCACCTACCTTCTCATCAATCCGTGACTTCTTTGCATTCCTGTCCAGACGCAGTTTTTCAAGCTCATAAGTTTCAGTATCAATCACCTTTTAAACCACGAAAATCCCTTAAAATTGAATTGAAAAACGTTGATTTGGGAAGTCATGGTGTACCTTTAGTTGCTCCTTTTCTTCTTGCTTCAGCTCCTGGATTTCTTTCTCATCATTTTTTATACTCTTCTCAATTTTCTTTTTCTGGGCTATAAAATTAATGTTAATCAGTATTTAGAAGTGTTAAGAACTCTATCTTAATAACATTAATAACACAGTACATAATGCTACACGGTATTCATAAAATAAGACATACTTTTAGTGTCTCTACTCTCTTCATATGCAAGCTGCAAGACAAGTAAACAACATGTTTATCCATAATACTAAGGGTACAGCTACTAAATTGTCTTCTCATTTGATATCATCAGCCTGTAAATGGCTGCTGCAATCACAGTATAATTTAGCATGCAAGGAACACAAATCGATGGTTTACAATGTAACAGTTTACTGATGATGGAAGTATTCCAACTTAGATGTATGATCTCGATAACAAAGCAATAGTTATGTATCCACTTTGAATACATGAATAATACACAAGCATCTTGATAAAAACTAAAATATTATAGACCTAATTTTCTAACAAATTACACTATATGTTACTCCCCAATTCAATAAAAAAAAATTTCTAGGAGTTCAGCTGTGAATCTTACTCCTGGGTGGTTTGAATTGGGTGGAAATGTTTATAGCAACATGTATAAAATAATAGTACCTGATTTTGAAGTCTTGATTTTTGTTTGGTAAACTCAAGTCTCTTCTTTGACCTCTCCTGTTGGGCTTTCAACTGCTTCTCCTCATATTGCCTTTAAGTTATTTTTTTATTTAACTCCTTAGTAATTCAATACAAACACCATGCATCTAAAGAATGTTAATACCTGATTGTGTCAACTCCAATGGTATTACAGAATTCCTCAAACACCTTAAATACAAAACAAAGACCTAAATACACCACAATCTGTATTGTCTAGCAGTCATATATCAATGCACAAAAACAATGTAATTTACAACACACTATAAATTGAACAATTAACTACCGTATCTTCAACTTGGTTCATTGAAGTTTCTGTCTTCTTTATTTCTTGCTCCCTCTCTCCCAGTGATGCTAAAATACGGGCTCTTTCAGGCTAAAATACAAATACCACACTAAAAATCATGGATGAATGATATAATCATTAAATGATGACTAAGTAACATCAAAGGAAACATAATACACTTCCCCACTTATTACCCATCGTAGACCAATGCAAAACATACTTAATCAATACTAAACAATGAACACTCACCTCTAATGCTTCCAATTTATTGTCAATTATTCCAAGTTCACGGGTCATGTCATGTTGAGTTTGTTGTTGCTGTATAACAATAATAATACAATAAAATACAATAACTTAGCATTTACAAAAATTAGAAATGAAAGCATGATATATATAATATGCTGTTTCCCTGACAATGAATGTACATATGAACAACAATACAAGCCTTTTTGAGTGCTCCCTTAGTAAAGAACTTCTATTGTTAGACTAGGTTTTGAGTTATTGTCCATTATTTTCTCAACCAGTCATGAGGTTCATTCAAATTGGTTCATAATGACCCTCTGAGCTGTCAATTAGATGACCTAGCTAATTACCAATTGATTAAGCTTCATGTTGGGTGACAATCAATAGCTATACAAAATGCAGAATCACAAACTTACTATGGCATCTCTATCTTTACGGCAATATCTCAAACGTGTATCAAGTCCATCAATCTGGGACTGCAAGTTCTGCAGCTCAGGTTCTCGTCTACGTTGCTTTGCTAATTCTTTCAACTCATTGAGAAACTGATCTCTTTTCTTTTTCAAACCATCAACTTGTTTCTCATCCCAACGTTTTGCCTTTGCTTTCAGGTCACTAATATTTAAAAAAACAGAACTAAATCTGGAATTCAATTTGACACTTCTTAATTTACCCTTTATTTCAAAAGCAGATATATTTACAGAATGCAAGTCGACAATGCATTACTTCAGGGAAAGGATGAACAAGATGTAAAAGATGATTGTCTGTAGGTGAAATGTTGGTAACAGATGCCATCCAATTTTTTTATCATGAAAGATAAGTTTATACCTGACACCACCTGATATAACACCAGACTTTTGGAACAATGTTCCATCAAGTGATACAGTCTTCTTTCTTTCAGAGCCACCAAATGCAAGTTTCCTGGCTTCTTCCATTGTCTCACAGACCAAGGCATTGCCACATGCATATTGCAATGCTTTCTGCAACAAGAATAATGAAACATCCATTGATTTTAAATTCTGAAGGATCATTTACAGCTAAATGGTCACACATCTGGCTCACAATGATAACTGCATTTAAGACAACAATCTTGACTCATTGAATTACTTAAAGATAATAATTAATTCTTGAGCTGTACCTTAATAACTGGAGGTTTGTATTTAATGACATCGATAACAAGTTTTGTGTTACCACCAATCTGTCTAAGTTGTTCACTGATTGGTTTGACTTGGATGAAGTCCAATGCCAGAAATGTTTCTCTCTCAGCTCTCTGGTATACCATATCATACATGTTAGTACTGTCAGTAATCTAATTAAAATATACTTGACAACATTGTAACCAGGGGTGGATTTAGGATTTTGTTTGACTAGTTCCAAGCAGGATACATAAAACGTTTTTGAATTGCTTAGTAAACAGATATTACCTAAAAAGTGTATTTTAAAAATTTGTATTTGTATGTATTGAGCCGAGTAAAGTAAAATCTTCTAGCTCTGCCGCTCTCTGGAGAATACAAAATCACTTCCAGGGCACCAAACTTTGTTGATCATTTCAAACTTCTGCTGGTTGAATTGTTGTAATTTGCCGAACAACACTCCAAAATCAAAGGTGAACAGTTTCCTTTATCTTTAACAGGTTCTCCACGGGCCTGAGTCACGCTATTCTGTGCCATTTTAACATGGTTAACCAGTATAAACCTTCAATTCCTTATCGGGTCACGGCTCATAGACTATTTTGACCCGGCATCGTGAAGTTACTCAATAGTTCCAAACAGTTCCCTTATTATTGGTAGCCAATAGAAAATGGCTTTGACTAGTTCCACTTTTCGCATAAGCCAATAGAAAGCATTTTTGAGTAGTTCCAGTTAACAAAGACTAATAGTTCCAACCAATAGAAATCAGTTTTGAACTGTTCCACATGTAAAGCAACATGACAAATAGGATTAAAATCTCCTGAGGGACCGTACCCTAATATATTGTTTTGGAAACCTGATCTTATTCTTTTAATTTTAAACAAACAAATGACTAGAAACGAAATTAAATTAAAATATACAATGAAACATTCAAAATACAAAGTTTATTGCTTACATGTGACATGGTGTTCAAGAAAAAGCTTAAACATAATTAAAGTAAATTAATTAAAGAAATAGATACGTTGATAAATCTTAGTGTACCATCATAGCTCATAATCTGTAGTGCATAAGAAGACTGGGGTATCATTTCTTTTGTAAATGTATCAATTAGAAAACAATAAGAGCACCAACAGTACCTGTTCTTTCAAGTATTGGATGCAATCTTTAGCAGTCTTTTCTGTGTCTACTATGACAGCATCCATGTTCGAACCAAAAACTTTTGTAATGGCTAAGTTGTACCTACAGACATGCATGAGAAGTTATCTAATCATAGGACTCAAGTAAGATTATGATTTTATGTTTATCTCCAGTCTTACTTGTTTTCTAAATTAACATACAACAAAACATCTTGAAAATTAAACAGGTCTACAAGGCTTTTGATCAAAATGTAAATCAACATCCTATTCTTGATAGATCAAAATAAATATGTTCAATGTTAATTAAACAATAACTTACTTCTTGTGTGATGGCTCACAGAGATCAATCAGTCTGCCATACACACCAGGAAACAGTCTTTTCATACTCTCCATCACCTCTTTTCTCTTTTGATGCCGTGCACTCTCATGTTTATCTGATCTGGCTTCATTCAGTTCTAGCTGAACATCTTCTAGAAATGAAGATACTTCTCTATGTCGTGCATTGGCATTGTTAACCTCCTCTGACAGCTGTTCATAATCATTCTTCAGTTTATTGACAGTTTCAACATTTGTGCTGAAAGAGGCCATAACTTTTTTATCAATATATGACTGATAATGAGCAAACATGATTTAATAAACTCACTTTAAGTATTCTTGCAGCTTATCAACTCTTTCATTTAACTGAGCTCTGTAAAAACATGTACCAAGGTGTTCAGTAATATTTGGAAGAAAAGGCACAAGGAGGTGGAGGAGAAGAAAGAGAGAGAAAGGAAATGGGGAGGAGCTTGCTGCAAATCAGTCCCAGGTGCAAAGCTCAAGGCATTATACCAAAAAAAAGAAGCACTATTGTTATTATTGACAATGTCATATACTCATAAACATTGATTCATGCTTTTATTGTTTTTAACTGCTCTAATATATTTAATGTCTTCCTGTGTAAATCATATAATGCTACTATAATATCTTTTATGATTAGTACTTATAGCAGGCATTGTAGTTACCTTTGTTCTTCAAGTTGTTTTTTCCTGTTTTGTAGCTCTATCTTGTTTTGTTTAATTCCATCCAATGCTTCATTATCTGATTGTTGCTCACGATTGATCTAAAAACAATAATTTATGCATTTATACATCTAGAAATGTTATAATTGTGACAAACATAAATAATTTAATACTTATTGCGTACTTCCAGAATATTTCTGTATCCCTACAATGGTTGGCATTTTGGAAATCCAAAGGGGATGGGGATCTTTAATTATGGAATTCCAGGGAGAGTAGGGGTAGTAGGGGTAAGTGACTTCAGAATGCCAAGGTAGAAGGGGGGGGGAGTTCAGTTTTATTCATTTTCCATTTCACTCAAACAGTATTGAAACAAGCTTTAGTCAAAAGTGAAGTTACAAAAGCTACACTAATTGCACGGACACCAAGTTTGCAAGACAATGTTTTACATGATATCAGTGTGTCCTAATAGGAGATCAAAGGCATACTATATACCCTATCAAGTTGCTGGCGCACTGCAGCTGTTTCCCTTCTGGCCTGTTCTTTTAAAATGTTGTACTCTTCAAGCTGTAATAGATACATCCAAAAATAGTGACTTGATAAATGGTAGTGTCATTACATGTAATATAGTGCTTTTCCTTTACCTGAGAGTCCATCAACTCCAAGTCTTCTCCTTGACTTTCAGCAGCAATTTCTTCTTCATATAGCTTTGCAAGACGTTCTACCTCTTCAAGAGAGCTTTTTAGCTCCTCAATCTAAACAAGATCATTATATTATTATATATAATATCATAATATACAGTAATATGCAGAAATTATGATCTTTTTGACTCATATCTCAAGTATATATAAAATATATCAGAAATTATGGTATATAATTCATGCCAATATTTTTTTTCAGAAAGTACTAGTGCTACAATTGTTGACAAAATCCTTGGACCATTCCAGCGAATTTCCTCATTTTAAGCAACACCCACAGACAATTTCATCCCCCCTGACCCCCTTAATGCAATGTTGTCATTGATCATGTTACCATAGTACACAAGCATCCAAAACAAGACCCAACATTGATGAAAGGGGGCTATGGGGAAAACTGTGAAAAAATAAAGGAGAAAAATTTTAAGCTGGAGACAAATAATTGTACGGTCCAAGGTGTTTTGTCAAATGATTGTTGTCAAAAAAAATGTCAGTGATGATATCCTATAATTTCTGATATATTTTATATATATTTGAAATATGAGTCAAAAAGATCATAATTTCTGCAATTTGCTGTATATTATAAAATTATAATATATTATATAAAGGATGTTACATGGGCACATGGAGATACGGATTTTATCTTCGAGTGTTGAAAAGATCTCCCATGAGTGAGCATAGCGAACGAGTGAGAGATGTAATATTCTAGCGAACATGTAATATTCTATTTATCATATATGGCTTAGTACTTGCTTAATATAGCAAGTTACAAATACAGATACCTCAGCAAGATGTCTCTTGTGGGCTTCTCTAGCCTTTTCATATGCCTTCCTATTAAAAAGAGAGTTGATGGTATTAAAGCATCAAGCCCTACAAAATACACTTTTTTGTTATGAGATTTGTTTAACCCTTTTCCTACAGACATCGGTATCATCAGTTATGACAGGAGTGATGACTTCAAAAATTTCCCAAAATGGCTAGATGCCGCTGAAAAACTTACTATTACAAGACAACAAGACAACAAATTCAATATTCCAATTAAAAGCATGTCTCGGAAATCAAGTTTTTTGGTCGTATAAGTCTTTTGTCTTGATGTGGATGCTCAATTCCGAATTTTGCACTTCCTGGGACAACAGMGAAAAGCTCACTTTTTTTACTTAATTTGCAAAGTGAAATTCATGCTTTTCAAGCACAAAATTGACATTTTTGAAGAGCTACATCCTCCTATTCTTGCATAATATAGGGATTTTTATTCGGAATACAAGAGCCGCCACTTTGACGTCCACCTTGACAAACTAGCATATCTCAAATGCACAACCCAAGTGCACCCTGGGAATGTTGACATCTATGAGACAAGGAATGGCCAGTAATCTTACTTTAGTACTTTTTTTATAAGTGCCAAGTCACTCACACCTACAGGCAAAATATCGCATCAACTGCATTCTTTGGATGTTAAAACTTGACAAATTTACCTTGGTAGGTTCAGAAATCTGCCACAGAATGACTAGGGAAACGACCTTTCTCTGACGACAACAATTCAAAGAGACCTTCGGTTTGTTGTCGTCTTCTTCGAAAAATCACTTTCCACCTCTGATTTCTTCCAGAAGGCTGTCTTTGCCGCCTARTCGAKCYTRATGATGCAGTCCTAGGGGCTTCTATGGCAGCAAATGACTTAAAAAATGCACTTATAAACCTTTTTTTGGCGAATTTGAGCTCGAGTGCTGGCTAATCTAGGGAGCTGTCTCAAATTCGCTGTGCGTTATTGAAATTTGCATTTCCTCAGGTATTTGAATTGACATTAGTTTGATTGACAGCGCCTTATTTGGAAGTTACGAAATTTATGGAATTCTAACACACACAAAAATACAAAATTCAAAAATTTATCACTGTAGGGAATGAGTTAAAATAGATATTCTTAAAGGAAATACAAGAAAATGCCATCCTAGAGCAACTTTAAGGCAATGTACATTTAAGCGTCTACATGGTGGATATATAAAAAAAATATAAGGGACATACGTTGAAGTTTCCAGTCGCTTGATAACATGAGCTGTCTTTTCCTTAGCTTTAATAAAAGCAGGCCTTTTCTTATTCAGTTCAACTTCCTAAAACAACCACATAGTTAATTATACTGTCTGTCTGAATTGACTACAAATACTGACAGTACTGTAACTCTGTTCTTATTTACCCTTTCCCTGATGGTCTTCTCAATGGTTGCCATTTCTCTAGTCAGTTTGGCATTTTCTGACTTCTTTGTTTTCAGCTGCTGTTCAATTGTCTGCTTTCTGCTTTCAAACTTGTCATTTTCTTTGTTCTTTGCCTTCAGTTCAGACTTAAATTCTTTAATTTCTTGCTCATTATGATAGAGCTTGAACAGTTGTGACTCAAGTAAGCAATCAGCCTAATAAATACAATATATCGTTGAAGTCTAAATCATTAATCAAATAATACTATTTATGGCACTATTGTCATTTACCGCCGACCGGTTAGCTCAGTAGGTAGAGCATCGGACTTAAGTGCGGGAGATCGCAGGTTCAAACCCCGGCCGGACCAACACTCAGGGTCTTAAAATAATTGAGGAGAAGTTGCTGCCTTTGTCTTTCTCCATCTGCAAATGGTAAGATCTTCTCGTCCTCTCGGATAACGACGTAAAATCGGAGGTCCCGTCTCTCTACACTTCACTCACTAACCTGTATTAGAGGGACGTTAAAGAACCCACACCACTGTTCGCATAAGATTAGGGAATGATTCCCGGTGTGTGTGGCTAGGCCTTACTACTAACCCATACTAATTACTAACCCCTCATGATTGTAAGCCGCGTGGCTGCCAATTGCGCCTTAAACAGCGGTCCATGTGAAATGATCTATACATGTGAAGCGCCTTTGAACTCAGAGGATATCGGCGCTATATAAATACCACATATTATTATTATTATTATTATTATTACTCACAAGCTCTTGGTTTAATCTATTGTATTTATCTGCTTCATCCTTCTCTAACTTTGCTTCTCTTTTCTCAGCAGCAATACCCTACAAGATTCAGACATTCTTAGGACTATTCATCTAGTAGTATGCTATATGATCCTGGTTTCTTAGCAACAATTTCTCTCCTCCCCCTTCCCCGCCCTCCCCCCCCCATCCGCCTCCCCCCTTAAAAAATGGAAATTGCCCATACATAATGACATCACAGCATGTTAACAGTGGGAATAAATTACTCACAGCAGAAATCTGGGCCTACCAGTATTCTCTACATCAATGTTTTATCTAGTTGTATATATATCAATGATTGCTCATTTGATTGTTTATATTGTACATTTCATTAATATGCAGTGATTCTGTACCCCTATGCCAGCCATAATCCTTAGCATTAAAACAAAGAAGTGTTTATGCCAGGCAATTCTGAATAGAGTGAACTTTTCCCACTGGAATTCAGAGCTTGGAAATCAGAAAGAAGCTGCACAGCACTTTGAAACATGGAATGCACATACTTTTTTCTTGTGATAATTGAAGCTTGTTTCTTCTTCAGCTTTTTGCATTTCAGTTTTCTTTCTTTCATAAGGTTCAGCAAGTTCTCCAGATCTATACATAGCAGATACAAAGTCAAACAGCAATATTGAGATTAGTACACTATTCACTGTGAGCTTACCTGCTTATTTTTTCAAACATTGCTGTTCTTTCTTTTGGGGTTTTCATAGCAATTGACTCAACTGTGCCCTATAAAATATACCACATGAATGTCATAAACAAATGCAAATATCTTCACAGTGTAATGTAAGATTTATTATACTATGACCAATTATACAAAGGGTGAACAGCATTATCCATCAGAGAAATCCTTATCCACTGGACTATAGACTCCATACAAAATCTATGAAGCAGACAACTTTACTGACCCTTCCTACAAACAATTCCAGATTATGAATGACATTTTACACACTTCCCTAACCATCCCTTTCCTTTATATCACAAAAACTGTTTTTACAACAGATATAATATTCACTAACCTGAAACACCAAGAAATTCTTTGCCTTGACAAGGATACCTAGCTGTTCAAGCTTACTTGTGTAGACTTGTGGTGTCACTACTTTGTCATCAATACGATACTCAGTGCCACTTCCAACAATCCTACAGTTAGACACAGTACTTAAGTAAATAAAATACACTTTACCATATTTATTTGGAGGGTTTTCTGCTCACTAAAATAATGAGTAGCTATACTATGACAAATGAATCTTTGGTGTATTCAATCATCATTATTTCAAATGAAAAGCACAGTAAATGCACAACTAACATCAAATCCTGTGTTTATCACTCACTTTCTTGTAAATCGTATTTCTGTACCATTTTCCTCCGCATAAACTGCAGTTACTTTGGCTGTTGTTCCTACAGGGCGTCCTACTGGTGCTCCATGAATCAAATCCTGGTGAATAAAACTTACTAGTGAATTGCCATTTTAATCATATAAGATTTACATCTTCAATAAAGAATACACTTGTATTGGGAAACAAAAGAAAATAACCCAAGCTACACATTTTCTTTTCTGTTTTAATATTTTCCTTCACAATGTATTGAATGAGACATTATATACACTGTATATTTTTTTCTGCATTCGATTAAATCATAAAAATGTTGAGTATTCTTTTACTGTATTTTCCTGTCTGTCTGCTCATACAAATTGTAATTTTATTACCTTGACATTTTTGACTCTCAGGCTTTGAGTTCTCTCACCAAATACAAAGCTGATTGCATCCATCAGGTTAGATTTACCTAATACAACAAAGTACATTTTCTATAAAATGTACTTCATTTAACAAACAATACTGAAGTGGTATTTTCCAATATAGGTGCCCTACAGTAATTTGCATATTTTATCCAATTAACATCTCCAGAAAAAAACCTGAACAAAATGAGAAACTTTTTACTTAAACGGCAGATTTAACCAAACTAATGTATTGTGGAATGGTTCTTACCGCATCCATTGGGGCCTATGATAGCAGTAAAGCGCATGAATGGACCAATCGTATGTTTGCCTTTGTATGATTTGAAGTTTTCTAACTCCAACCGCTCCAAATAACCCATAGCGATCTAAATGGTAGCCAGGTTAATCACTTCTAGTTGATAAATCAAGAAGAAATAAACATAAGCACTTTTTTGACCCCTCATAGTCCAGCAACACAACATTCAGCATATCAGCAGCGAATAAAATGGTGACATATGATTATAAAATGCCTAAAAATCCACAGAATATCAGAAATAATAGTTAACCTTACCAACCACTCCAAATTTCTTAGTAAACGATGCAAAAAGTGTAGACTTTCTGAAAAATTCACTTCAAAACACCGACAACTCAACTCTCTGATCGTTTTGGCGGGAAAATCCGGTGGGGACTGGAACCAGTTGCGTGCGCATACATACTAGTACATTCTACAATGAAATTGTGGGCTCAATTCCAGAGTATGAACTGGTGGTACGGTACATGATATTTAAGATATTTTGCTGATATTGTGCTGCACGCTACACACTGAAGACAAACTAAGGAAATATTGCAGGTCTGGACAATCATCAAACGTTATTTCTAAGTGCAGGTCTGGACGACTGGACAATCATCAAACGTTTATATTCTAAAGGTTTCGAAAATTATGAATGTTCCAAACGCTGAAGAGGTAGCAACACGAAATGTAGGTATCAGATTTAGATCGTTATGCGACCTGTCAGTTCAGGGCAGTTGAACTGGAGTGAGGGTTGGGGGATCAGGAGGGGGAGGGGGGACATTCCAAAGAAGCCATTTGATAGATGTTGGCTGTTTTGCCAATATTATCCAATCTCAGTTTATCAGAAATGCATTATTACTATACTCTTACTCAAATTTGTGAACTGCATTCAATTTGTTCAAATGATGCCTTTCCTAACCCACAGTTCAGAGAATTCCTGATGTTGTACAACAAGCTAACAGAAAGCTGCTTCAATTCTTGTGTTACAAACATGAACCAGAGATCATTAACAACAGAAGAGGTACTGTAATTTCATAAACTTGATGAATAAAGTTAAGGGATTGTTCCTATTACTATGAGAGGGGGGTGAATACTGCAAAAATTGAGCACCTCTGTGGCACAAGGAAATTTTTTTTCCATGCCACCTTTTCAAGCTAAAATATTTTCAGAGTCCCTCAAAAACAACAGCATCAAAAGTATCATAGATTCCATTCATCTGTACTGTATCCCTACATACAAAGATAACATAAAAAATATGATGTAGAGTAAAAAGTACTTCCAGTTAACACTGCTTACTCATAGAGTTGTCAATTTCTGTATTGATATCAAAAGCATGACTTTTGCAGGGGCGGATTTAGGGGTGGGCCGAAGGGGCCACGGTGGCCCCTTTTTCTTTAAAAAAATTTGAAAAGATCCTTGTCAATATCACTAAAAATGCTGGAAATCGCATTTTTGACGGTTTAAATTTCAAAATTTTTCGGGGGAGCATGCCCCCGGACACCACTATATATTCCCACCTTCTGCAGTCGATGCGACACAAAACCATTTTTAAGTAATCGGCCTCCTCTTTCTAAATACTCTGGATCTAAAAGATATTTTTTTAAGAATTTGTTTTTATATCACCTTTCATGTCAGAGCAGCTTCTTTTGAGACCAGATGGGTTCAATGTAGACTTGCCAAACATCTGTTTTGACAAAAAAATTGGAGAGACTTTTTCTGTTTTTGTCATACATGTAGTTGTTGTGTTATCTTATGTACATGCATATGTCAATTTCCAGATTTTACTAAAAATAAAGATGTTCCTCTTTGCTTGTTATAGTCAACTTGTATAGAGATATGCTCAAGTAAATGGGTTAACCTGAATCACAGACAGATGGCTGTTTTTATGGAGGTTGGACCTCTGGCAGAGAAAAGGCTAGGAATGGGACAACCAACGTGACATACATGACAGAACCAAGATTTACTGATAGTGTGAAAGTATTAATACCATTCACATTAAGCATCCAGAAACCCAAGCCTGGAAACATTCTTTGATCTGCAGCAAATAATGGATTAACTTTGAAATAATAATTGCTATCATAGGGATGTGTGCAGGGGTTTCATGTTGAGGATGTTCCAGCTTTTTTCTTTCTTGCAGCCTCAATACTTATATGGAGAAGGCAATTGACTGCAAAGTGCATGAGGCAAAACAACCTATTGGTATATCAGAAAACCCTCTTAGGTTTGCTTTGTTTTGTCAGGGAAGGGTTCCAGAATCAGTGGATTGAGAACCTAAATTTCCCAATTTCCTTTTTTAGCACCCTCTAAACAAAAAAACACTTAACCCTAAGAAAAACTGTTTCTTTTTGAAAGGTTTCTATGTTTATTTGGTCAATTTAAAAAAAATATTGGGTTTGAATTCCAAGTTTATAAAATCTTTATACAAGAAAAATCTTTTTCAGTTTGTACTCGATGTAATAGTCTTTCAAAAAGTCATCTGATACTGTAATTTTTGGAAATTATTAAAAATCAAACAAATCTAAACAGTTATTGTTTTGTTATACCCAAAGTATGATTTAATTTGTTGCTTGTTTGAGGTGAAAAAATTCTATAAAAAAATTAAGTAAATGGGTATTCTAGGTAAAGAGTTCCTTTTAAAAATCTCCCATGTTGTACCATACTCAGGAAATTATTTTTGGTTGTAAATAGCATATACGGGAGTGAATTATTCCTTAAATACTCTGTGAATATAGATATTGTAAGATTTGAAAAAGGTTTACTCGTGGATATTTAAAGTAAACTTTCCATTTATGAAAAATCAAAAAAAATAACAGCATTGAATGCCAGAGGACAATGGTCGTTTTTAAAATGGCTAACGTGGTAATACCTCCTTGGAAATGGTAATTTTGTGACCATTGAAGATTAGCATTACTGCTCTGGAATCAGGATTTAAGAAATGATATCTTTATAACATTTTCTTATGGAGAATTGCTACGATGGTTCAAAAATGACCACAACACAAATATTAAACATGCTACCTTTTTTATTTGTTTTTCAGAATATGTTTTTTGCTTGTATTATACATTGACCCTATGTATAAATCAAGTCCTTTGTTCAAATGCCTTGTGTGATGTCAACCTTTACAACTGTGTAGATTCCTGTGCCAATCGTCTTGCTATGTTGGCTTTTCAATTTAGAACACAGTCTAATAATTTATTTTTGTTTGTGCTTATCAATATTTATATTACAACCAAGGAATGTCCCACCTAAAACTTTAAAATAATTCACTTATCCAATGATATACTTTTATAAGACTTATTCTCAGAATTAAATGTATAATAATAAACGTCTAGGGGTGACAAATATTTCTCAAACCTGCGACTCCTTGATAACTTAACTGGTTTTAAGAGGGATCATTCTCAAGCCCTACTGGTGCTTGACCATCTATGGTTTTCATTTTCTCAAAATCTAAGGCCCTATCCATGCTAATGTTGTTTTGTGGCATTTCTGTATTGCTCTCATTTTGAGGAAAATTAAAGAGAAATACATATAATATGCCCCAGAACTGCATTTAAGTAGACCGAGCATTAAGTATTACAAAATGGTAATACAGTGTAAAAGATTACAATTATAAAAGTGGCTTGTAACCCCTTGACTGGATAAGTCTCAACAAACGTTTCGTACAAGTATTTCACTAAACCAACACCAACGCCATAGGATGGCATTGTTAAACAATAACCCAACATTCACATCACCTAAATCAGTTTCCATAAACCAATGAAACAAACATTAATTATATTGTATCTAATCTAGATGCCAAACTAGATTATAATTAAATGACCACTGACATACACACATTAAAAGCTTTGTCTAATACTTATGTTTCACAAGTTCGTGGAAACATGCTGAAGATAAAAAAATTAAAAAAAAAAAACACTTTCATCTCAGCCAATAACTATCTTTTTGTATTTTTGACATTTTGGATCTTTTTTTGGATCCTCCACAGCAAGAAACTATACTACTGAATACTAATATGAGCTACAAGTGAAATATTTTTTTTTGGTGGCACAGAAACACAGTCGTTTGTTCCAAGACTGACACTTTTACAAAGCAACAGCTTGTAAGGTATGAACTCCACTGGTACACCCACCACAGCCTTGTTGAGATTGCTGGCCACAAGCCATTGCCAACTCTGCCCTGCGGCGCTTGGTCACAGGAGTAGAATCCTCATCACTCAGAACTCCAACAGCAATGTTGCGAAGTCTTTTGAGTTCATCACGCAAAGGTTGTGGGTCAGCAGAGAAGCTGTCAATACTTGTCACAGTAAGAGTCTGCATACCTGGTTGCAAATGTTCTGGAAGAAAAGAGAAAACATCTTCTGGGCATTCTGGAATGGTTGCTAGGGAATGCTTGTAAGCTGGTTTGGAAAGTCTGCTCTTTCTTGGAAGTACGTGAGGAATATTATGATCAAAGACATCATGGATCAGCTCACGGCATCTGATCAGCTCTCCAAAGTCAACCCCAGTTAGTTTTTGGAGTTCAATGACAACTGCTAGCCATCTTGGTGACAAGCTCTCCAATTCTTGACTAAGTAAAGCCAAGGCTAACACAGAACCCTGTAAAAATGGATGTCAATGGTTTAAGCAATCTATATTAGAAATCTTGAAAAAATCAATACAACAGCACTATAGTTGGCATTATCAGTCAGATAATATCATATATATGGTCACATATTATACATAATGAGTATAATCATCATACCTTAAATTGAGTGAACTGAAAGTTGCACAAACAGTCTTCCAGTTTCACAGTCAAATCATTCAAATGCTGTGTTGGAGCCATGTTATGTTTGATGACTTCGCAGCTAGAGAACACCAATGCACCATACTAAAAAACAGATACCAGTATGTAGTAAGCATAATACACTCAATAATATAGTTAACTTCAATAGGGCCATGCAAAATAATGACATAAAATGAGTATAATAATATATAGGAATCTATTCTTGCCCAATTAGACTGAAGGGTGCATTAATCTGCATTCACAACATCTATTTCAAATAAGTATTTATTCATTAATAATTATTTGTTTATTCATATGTTCATCATGTGATCCACCAATGCACTGTCTTGGGGTCAAAGAAATCTGTTTCATGTGCTATTTGAACTTCTTGTAGAAATATAGAAAAATTACCAATTTACCTCATCTTTTTAATTCTTATTTGTGTTCAGTCTTTTATATGTGGGGTTTAGTTTTCTCACTCATTTCAAGTCTTTTCAATTTTGCAAAAAATAATTAAGCTTGAGATGACATACAAACATTAAATATACAAACAAACAACATGATAAATGGGGTTAGAACATATTAAGCCAAGGAGCTGTATTCACTCTTATTGACACATCTCTTTATCACTTTTTTACTTACAAGTTGTAGAAAAGACAAGGGAGTAGTTGTGTTTAAAGTCCACTGTAGTTTAGATAGAATAATGCGCTCCATGCGAAGTACATCAGATGGGGTGCAGCCACATTCACTGACTTTCACCAGCTCGGCCAGTGATGGGATGTTCTGAACATAACAATGATAATGTTAACCCATTTTATATATAAATGGTTAATGGACAGAAAAGTAAGAGAAAAAATAGTTATTCAGTAACTTATCATAGCACATTCAAGAAAGTGTTGAGCACCACAAACAAAATATTACCGGTATTTCAAAGTCTCACATAGAATTATGCCCTTGATTTTGAAGAAAATTATGATATCTTATTTGGCTCTTTAAACATTGGTATGTATATTGTTACAAGTTAATATTTTGTCCTAAGAGCACTATGCTATGATTTCTTTTCACCCCATACCTCATCTTCTTCCATAGTCTTGATAGCTAAGAAGTATGCAGTAATAGCAATACATCTCAGGTACTTTGGCTTTGCCTAATAAAATATCATGCTCATATTAGTAATAATTATTTTGAGGCAACTGTCTATAAGAACTATAAAAGAGACAAAGAGATTCAAACATTATATTCCAGCATCATTATATTCCAGATAGTTGGATTCCGGACCTAAAAGGTCATGTAATTACTGGTAATACCCTGCAAACAACTTACAACTGAACTGATAAAATCAAGTGGTAGGCGAAATGTCGCTGAGAGATATCATATCTATCTTAGGCCAAAAAAATTTTTAATTTAAATCTTTTATTTGAAAAATAAAAGATACCTATAAAATAATCAAAGTCGCCTTTTTGTTATTGATAAATAAGTTTCTTCTCGTTCTACTTTGAAATGCGCAAGTAGCATTTAACATTTACTAATGATATTCGTACAGGCTGTGCATGAGTCACATCTAACTGTATGTATGATTAAATATTTTAGATTATAATCATGCTGTTTGTAAAAATCTCACCTTAACCAATGAAAGAAATCTGTCTAAAATGCTCACAGTAAGAGAAAAAGTATCAGGAAGGTATTCAAAGTCATGATTGAGCAGCCATATCCAACGGACAGTATTGCTATACAAAGCTGGTGTTATTTCACTGCCCTAGAAATGAGACAAATTATTGTTTTATTTTATGAACTGCATATGAATTGAGAAAATGTGACGACAGGGAAATTTTACAGACACCATAACTAATGTCATTACAGTTATCTCAATAGAATCAGTATGGTGTTTTCATTGAAGACAATGACAAGTGCATAACTTATGTTATAGAAGGATTTACATTGTTAATATTAGACACAAAGGATTTCATGGATACATGTAGATTATAAAAGAAAACATATGGTGTACATGACTGATGTTGTATTAGATCATGCTGCCCTTTGTTGGAAGACATCCTTTTAATACCAAACCTTTTCAAACAATTAATGACATGTGGTAAGTATTTCATAAATAAAATAGTAGGTAAACAGAATGTGCAAAAGGTTGATGCAAAAATGCAGAAAATGTAATGGCACTGGTATCAAGTGGTGAAGGAAAAAATACTACTAGCATACTGATAAAAACATTTCACACAACAGGGCTTTGTTAGCCAAATATTTAGTACCAGTTTCAGTACAATGATTCAATTGAATAATAATACCATGGCACGCGATTTACATGCGAACAAGTGTGCAAAACTTTAAAAGATCCAAATCACTTGAAACGGAAATGCCCTTTGATCTGAAATTGGTCCAAGTGCATCCCGGGAAAGGTCCCAATATAAAGAAGGACAACAATAAAAATTGCTTTACATGTAATAACGAACACTGAAACTTGTTGAAATTTCACACTATTCACAAAAAGTTTCGAACTGTACAATAGGTCAATTGTCATAGGTACAGGTGGTTAGAACATTCATGTTTATAAATAAACTATCTCCATAACGAAAGCAAACGTTTTGCTCACTCACAAGGTCGTCTCTAACTACATGTCTCAAGAGTATTCAATCTCTCATATATCATGCTAAATAATATTCAAAAGTAATTCGTACAAATCCCAAAGTCATTAAGAAAGCGAAACATCGTTTCTGAAGAAATTTACATATTTGATAATTACGCCATCGTATTACCATCTCACATCGTTTCATTGCTATTGTTAAGTTATTAAGCTTAATATTTGTACTTGGCGCTCAGCAAGAAAAAAAAATGTATAAAGGTGTTTATCTTATACTAAACGTTGCTATTTTGATATTATGACAAATTCTTTGAAGATTATCTTTGGTGACGAGGTTTTTCCAAATTGTCATGAAATTTCGCATCGGTTAAGTTATGGAGACTGTCATATTACCCTAAAATGCTTAGCTGCACGATAGTATCTCAAAATACAATGGGATTTAAAAGAAATACACTGTTTTCTTATTACCTGGTTTTGAAGGATATGGAAGATCCTTAAGAAGTACGATTCGCCATTTTCCTTTTGTATATTTTCTTCCAGAACATTTGCAAGCCTATCAGTGTTCAGTTTTGGAGCAATACACATTGCTTGCCTCCTTTTGCATGACCCAGGAGAGTATCGGGAGAGGATTCTCCGCTGTAAAACAATAAAAAATGTCAGAAAACCGATTGATATTTCAAATATTTAGGGGATTTCACATGACAACTTATTTCAATGTCTAATTTTTCTCTATATTTTAGCTCTTTATATTGACAATTTTGTCGACGTCGACAGATATCTTCCATCTTTGATATAACTCAACATTATTCAATACACTTACCTTGGAAGGTCAAGAAAAGAAGGAAAATATTAGCTTCTGAAATAAATTTTGAAGATGGTCGACGAAGCTAAAGAGAAAGTGCTTTGTGTACAAAGATGCTAATCAAATGTAAGAAGATGTATCCAATCATAGCCAGATTATTTGATCACGTGAAGTTGAACTTAGGTCATGTGATATCCAGAGTGTGACAAGCAGACAAGCCCAAAGTTTTGTTCTATGCAAAGAAAAAATACGAAAATATACTAAAATGGGTAGAATGTTCGTTGGATTGGCTGTCTTGTTGCTGTAATAATTAATTACGGTTAAATACGAACGAATTTTTTGATGTAAATGTTATCCATTTGACAAAATCCTAGGTAAACCCCCCAAAGACGCCCTGTGACGTCACTCAACTTTATCCCAGCCAATCAAAACTTGACATATTGTTAGTACTCATTTGCATTAACCAATAGAAATCCAGTATTTTTTGAAAAACAGTTTGGCGCTCAAACTTTTTGCTTCTCTTTGTTTGTTTACATCGTCCGTTTCGCTGTCAAGAAACATTGAACAGCCAGCTGTAATGGAGGACTAGCTTATTCAACTACCTGAATTCGCTTGAAATACTCTCTACAAAAGATTATGAGAAAAAGGTTTTCTAGTCTACACTAAAAGCAAACGAGTGGAGTCTGACACTAAGTGTTGTCTTCGGGAAAGGTAAGTTTTGTGCACTGATGTTTTCTTTTAGTCTCCTTTGAGTGCATTGACGAACCTTCCTGGTCTTTCTCCCGCTTTGCTTTGCTTTTACAAAAAAAATCTTTGCTTTGCTTATACAAAAAAAAACTACATCATGAGTGCTTCTTGGACATTTAAGCTTATAACTTAAGTTCCTTTTGCAACGGCAAAACTGCGAACGTTTGGGCTCCCGAGCGAACGCTGGACCTTTGTGTTTTAGGCGCGGTAAACATAAGCTTATAAAGCGTCGCGATGTTAATAAAACGAAATGCAACCGTTTCACTGTTTTCTTCAGCAGAACTTAGCATAAAAGGAACAATTTATGACAAGTTCAATATAGTAATTATGTTATTCCTGTGGCTCAAGTCTAAAAAATACATTACAAGCCATAAATGAGCTGAGCACACTGACAAGACATTCAATTTTTGTAAGTTGTTTCACGATACGTCTTTGCTTTTTATCAAACTCGATAATCGAAACAAATTTGTGGTCAGAAGTTTATTTATTGTATTCCTTTTGTTTTGCATTTTTTTGGCTCATAATTTTTGGTTGGATTTATTTCAAGTATGACATTTCGTGACTCCGGGCCATTTGTTTTTAAGTTTAATAAATTTGTTACGTTCGCGATGACGTTCTCGCAAAAGCCACTTTAATATTTCGTAATATAGATTTTCTGTCCACCATAGATGTCATTTGTCCTAATAGTCCTGGTTCACAATCACTCACTCCTTCGGGGATATTTTGAGTAAAGATGGCGATAATACTCTGAACAATTTAACAGTTTAAATTATTTTATGCTGTTGTGGATCAACTCTAAGGTTGCTTAACTACTTAAAGCTATATAGGAATCACAGTTTACAAGGAAGGTCCACGATTTTAAATCGAGTGTACTGCGCTGAACGTAATGGTGAGATCCTTTTGACGTAACTTACTTTTAATATTCATTTTGAACTGAAATATTTCTACGCCGAATTCATTTCTTCATAGGCTGTAAGCTTATTTATAAGTAATACCAGTAGCGGTCCATAGAATTAGCTTTGTATATTCCTGCACAAGTTTTGTTGATATTTTGTCCTTTAGGAATATTTGCTTACGTGGATGCAGGTATTATTCTGTAGATTATGCTACTCATGTTTATTTGATATATTTTAACAGATGAAGGTTTCTGGGGGTCTAAATGCTTCTCGTCTACTAGCTGCCTTAGAAGATGGGCTTATGAGAGAAGGAAAATACAAGTCAAACCTTAAATGTCTTGCAGGAAGAAAGGTTAGTGTTAATATTATTATGATTGTATATTTTGACTGTGCTGAAGCTATCATTTTCATTGTATTCTGATGACCTTGAAACTAAAGGTTTTAAATTTCAACATATCTTATCTACATTTTGGGTAGATTTTATTACGTTTGACGGGAGGTGGATTTCTTGACCATTATTATAATATTAAATGTTTAGGTCAGGAATTAGCATTTTAAATTATTTTCCATATATAAAGTCAGTCTCTGCCACAAAAACGTGTGCCTTGATAACTATGAATTTAAAAGATCTTATTAACAAAGCGTGAAAAAAATATATGCTTAGATGGTAACCACAAAGAGAAAGTACACAAAAGCTTTTGTATGTGAAACACAATAAAGATTCATAACAAAATTAGAGCCTATAGATTGTAAACATCTTAAAAAAAGAAGTTCACGCATATGTGTATAATATATTGTGTGATGATATTTTTTATATCTTACCATGATTTGAATAAGCACAACTTACTGTAACTACTTTTATTATTATTTTTAAGGATTTTGATGAAATCAGTTTCTTCCATCGCAACAAAATGGTTAGTCTTCTTCTTCGCCTGAACAGACATTGTGGCTTTCAACCAGAAACATTTGCCTTAGCTGTCAACTTATTAGATCGTTTTCTCACTGTAGTAAAGGTAATATTTGCATACAACCATGTAGAATCTTTTATTACAGGATATCTTTACTTATCCAACAATCTTCTTTGCACCTTTAATGCTATTTCTTGTGTATTTCCAGGCACGGCCAAAGTATCTTCCATGTATGTCTATCTGTTGTCTGTTTTTGGCAGCAAAAGTAGTGGAGGAAGATGAGGTAATTGTGCAAAAATATTCATAATTATTGTATATACATATATATTTGAATTATTGCTGACAAAGTTACATAAGCATTAATTTGCATGTATTTCTAGGCAATCCCTACAGCTGGAGATTTAGTAAGCGTCAGTGGCTTGAAGTGCACACCTTCAGATTTATTACGTATGGAAAGAATTGTACTTGATAAGCTTGGTTGGAATTTGAATGCCATAACACCACTCTATTTCCTTCAAGTGGTAAATATTTCATGTCAAACTTTGATGCACTAAAAGTGAAAATATTTATTGATCAATGCAGTTCTTGACTATATATATGCTTCTTCTTGTCTATGTTTCAGTTCCATGCACTGTGTGTTTCCAAGGGTTATCTCGACAACTGCCCTGTCACACAACATCTACAACAGATTACACTCAAGCTTGAACAACTTCTATGTCACCATGCGTTTACCTTTGTTAATGTAAGTCAAATGAATCAATTGATTGTACAAATGTCCAGTTTGATTTAAATTTGGCTCATGATTAACATACTCTGTGTCTTGATTTTACAGTCATCTACTCTGGCTCTTGCAGTATTGAGCAGTGAGATAAGCCTTTTAACTGACACTTGGGCTGAAGCAACAATCTGTCTACAGGAGCTTGCAAAGGTTGGATAATTGTGTCCCAGTACTAAAGTGTGTGTAAAAGAATCTTTTTATGTTTTCACCAATTTTCAATTTTAGACCTTTTTTGGGGACATCGTTTCTATTATTAATTCTGGCTTGTCCTAATACTTGCTGTACTTATTTTATTAACTTGGTAATTTGTATTGCAGATCCCAGAGTCTGAGTTGAATGATACCAGGCTGTGTTTACTTCAGTACAATGATTCTCTTATTACCACAGCCATCCATGAAAATAAATCAGGATCTAATCCAATGATACAGGTAAAACTCATCCTTTATCTATACTTCTTTCCTTCTTTTTTCTTTATCTATGATTAATTTAAATTATCTCATATTGTTGTTGTTGATTTTTTTATACTTTTGTTATTTTCAGAATCAAGAAAATGTAGACTGTACAATTCATCATACTGTTTCTCAGACGCAACCAATAGTTGCCCCAGCATAAAACCACATCATTTTATATTATAATTAAGAGAAATTATCATTTAAATAGTCCAAACAGAATGATGCTATTAGGAATTTTAATAAGTTGATGTAGGTATGTTTTTAAAAGATGTTCAAATCTTTTGGAGTTGATTTTATACACATTTTACAAGATTTAGATAGATGTCTGTTAATTGTTCTATGAGTGTTTTCATTTCTATTATTGTATATTTGTAAAGTTTTGTAAAATTTGTACATTGGAAAAGGGATATGTAGATTAGACAAGGTCAAGGAGGGTTTAGTATTATAATTGTAAATTCAAATAACTAAAATGCTATATCTTTTTTTTTTTTGCTTTGTTGTATTGTAATCTATTATGATTCACCATCAGCTTACTTACAGTTTAAATATCTCAAATATCAATTTTAATAGCTTGTAATTAGTGCTATTCTTTTGTATACATGGTATATATGAACATACTGTACAGATTTACATTATTGCTAAATTATAAAAAAATAAATTGAAAAAAAATTTTTCCCTAATGTTATCACCTTTGCTATAAAAGGTTCCAGTATCCACCAAACTGTGGACCATCATGAATCTGTTCTGATTGATTACTGAACTGTGATCATTAAAAAAGCAGTTAAAACACTGGTCAACACTCGTTAACTAACCCTTGCCCATTTCAAAATTTCACCGTGAAATTGTCCAATAAAAAAAATTAACCTTCACAAGCAGTCAAATAGATACTGATATGAGTGGAAATGTTGTCCCGAAAATACATATTTTTTAGGAAATAGAGGATATTACATGGGCATGTGGGGATACGTATTTTATCTTCGAGTGTTGAAAAGATCTCTCATGAGTGAGCGTAGCGAACAAGTGAGAGATTTTCAACCCAAGAAGATAAAAGCGACCATGTATTAATATTCTGTTTATCATATAATTACATATGAAATTATGTCAAAAAATACCTTTTTTCTTACTTTTACTATAATAGAGAAACCTCGAATGTGTTATTTTCACTAGTAAAAATATCAATTTTACGAAATGGAGAAATATAGGTATTTCATAGATGATTATATGATAAAAGTAGTTATGGCACAGGCAGCCCAAGCTAATCAATTGACTAATGCCTCTAGCGATATCTATAATGCATGCACGTAAAAATGACATTTTTGAATGAAAAACGAAAAAAAAGATTGTATTACTTTGTGATGTGGTTTTATGGACGTTAAAGTTGCCGTTATTCTTGATATTTGCTGTCCCCCCTCTCTATCACTGTTATCTTTACATGCATTATCGATATCGATAAATCAGCTAAGTCAAGTGCTTAGCTTGGGTTCCCTGTGGGTATGGTCTCAAGAAGCGTTTAAAACGCTTAAATAGCAATGTTCTTGTATTCTAGGCTTTATAAACTTTTGACGATGAAACTATGCTACATACATTCCCTTATACAAATTCTAATCCTGGGTTACCTGTGGCTTTACTCGTGATTGGATGACGCCTCTAAAATTCCGAGAAATTCTGAAAAGGTTTAGTCCTAGTGTTTTTCTGCGAACCCGAAAACTGTTGTCGAAGTGAGATTGTTATTTTTTTTCTTCTCACTCACGAAGTTTTAGTTCGTTATAATTGGACAGTATTAAGAATACATTTTTTGGATCAGCTGTGGTGTTCCCTGCTAGCAGAGGCTTACACGGTAAATTCTGTCACGTAAAAGTAACAGAATTTACCATGTAAGCCTCTGCTAGCAGGGAAGCTGTGGTGCAGCGATGGGTCAGATAGTAAGTGAAAAGAAAGTGCATTATTTTAATGCTTTTAGATTAGACTATAGTTATACATTAGTCCTGTGAGTGTTTTATGAAAATGTATTGTATTCTAGCTTAACCTCCTCAAATCAGATGAAAAGAAATCAGAACAGAAAAATCACAATTTCTACCGCTCGGAAAGGAGACAACACTACGAGCATCACCCTTCCTTTAGTCCTTACGACAGTACATCACACAGGTCGTTGCTGCGGCAGGATTCAGATTGGTTAAAATATAATGATGGAAATAATGCTGTATCACGGTATGGCGTCTCAAATCACAGCAGTAATTATGGAAATGTCCGTAATTCTATTCGCAGTCCAGCACACCGTGCCTTTGGTGAAAATGTGACAAGTGAGCACAGAAGATCTATACGAGCTAACACAGTTCTTACGAGACCAGCTGTACCAAGACTCAATACAAATGATTTGCAACATTCTCAGTATGGACACAGATCAACTGGTCAACACGCTCGTGGTAGCATCTATTTAAAGAGAAAAAAGGTGAGCATCACAACACTGCCAATTTAATCATTTTTTCTTTACACTTGCACAAATTGTCAAGTTATATTTAATCATATACAAAACTTAAACTCTGCTGTAGATAACTCTTTACCATTACACTACGAATGAAAATGCAAACACAATATGCAGAGAGAAACTGGTTCGAAGTTCATCGATGAGCACACCGTGGAAATACAGACAACATGGCTGCGGTGAGTGAATAAAAAGAAATTGAACTACAACATTTGTAGCCATGCATGTCATGTAAAAGGCGATGGTTGTAGGCCGTCTAATACGACGACTGCACTTTAATTTGCATGCTTTACACGGCTACTAGAGAGTTATATACTTAATATGAGTGTGCATAGATGATAGTCAACTATCCCAATATATAAGTGTGATGAAAACCATCTCATTATAATTTGACAACAGTAAGATATTTTACTTGTTTTCTATTCCTGTTTTTAATTTAGCTATCGGAATACGCGATTTGCACTAAGTGATCACGTGATCTAATCCGCCATTGTGGCTGGTCGCGCGACTACTTTTCGGTATGACAAAAATGTAAACAAAGATGGCGGAGCCGGCTTTTTCGACTTCAAAACAAAGGTGAGTAATGCCATTTCTACGTAGTAACACACCTTTTCTTAGTAAAAATATACATTTAGTTGCTTTTTGCTGTTGATTTGTGCCTAGAAATCGAAATGTAAATTCAAAAAACAGAGTTTTTCTTGACATAAACGACGTGCATGTGTGAAGTTTAGATTTTATCACGACCGTCATTTTTCGTAACCTGACCTTAGTTAAGCGGGACTTTTGAAAAAAATCGCTTCAGTTTTGGACTTTTCTTAGTAGTTAATTAAAGAATATGTGTAAATACAACTATTTTGATGCGGTTTATTGTACTTTGACACATTATATCCTCATTTTACGACAGTGAAACTTTAAGTCTTGACACTATTCCTAAACTAACTTTCGCTGATGTCGAGTGCTACACAAAGAAACTGAGTT